AAAAAAAAAAGAGTAAAGAGAAATAAAGAAGTGAAATTTTCCTCTTCTTTTCCTGGCTGCTTCCATCTTCGTCACATTTCTTCTTCACTTCTATCTATTTTGTTTTTTGGTTTCTTTATTTCTCTCTTTGAAGAAAAGAAAAGAAAAGAACCCTAGAACCCTGTTGTTTCTTTTTTATGGTAATTCTTTCCAAGTATGGAAATAAATAAGGGTGTATTTATAGTAATTTTAATAGTAGTTCTGAGTGCTGGGTTGGGGTCAGCTGGGGACATAGTTCATCAAGACAACGTTGCTCCAAAGAGACCTGGTTGTGCTAACAACTTTGTTCTGGTATTCCTACAAAAGCCCTAAACTTTTACTTCTTTTTTTTATGGTTAATGTTTTCTCTTCCTTGCTGTGTGTTTGGTTGCTGAGGAAATGGAGGAAGGATGAAAGAATTTAGCTTTTTGCTTTTGTACTTGATGTTGGGTTATGATGTTTTATTGAATTTGATAAGTAGTTTAATTGTTTTTGTTGGGATTTATTTACATAAAGTTTTGACTAAGTCTTTGGTTCTTCCTGTTTGATTGCTGAGAAAATGGTGGGACATGTTTTTTTAAGGTTTATTATTGTGGTTTGCAACTTTGATAGACAAGACCTAAATTTATTAGCATGCTATTCGTTCCTTATTTTTCATTTGCCTGTCAAAGGAAGAGAAAGTAAAGGTGTGGTTTCTTTTGAGTTCCTTTTTTTGGCTTTAGATCAAGGGGAAATGAAGTAGTCAATTTGCTATGAGCTAAGTTTTTTGGTATCAGCTTTTTATTTTTATTTTCTTCTTATTTGTTTATTAAGTGCTGGGAGAGAAAATTCATCAACTTTATTGAATTGTTTGTTTCTAAGCATTGGAAAGGAAAAATCTTGGTTAAATTAAGCTAAGTAGTTGTTTTAGGCTTTTAGTATCAGTATAGTGGGACAGTTTTAGACATTTTCTGGCAGCCACAGAAAGCTTTAATCTTCCCTCAAAATTTAAAGTAGACCGAAGTGGATTTTATTTGGATGATAACTTTTTATCAGAATGTCTTTAATCTCCGAAGAATTTGAAACTTGAATTCAGCTTATATAAGTTAAGTAAATAGTTGTATTAAGATAAATTTCTTAAGTAAATAGTTGTATTAAGATAAATTTCTTCTTTCTTTCTCTAGCAATGAAAATGTTGAAATTAAATACTTTAATGAACATAGTCTGTTATCTTCTTTTTGCTTTTAAATTTTGGACATCATAATAGAATTTCTTACTTCTTTGCTGCCCTTTGAAAGTTGATTTAGAAATGGTTCTTGTTTATTTGTAATGTTTTTTCTTGGAGTAGTCATATTCTTTGGTATTTCTTTTTTAAAATTATTAATATGGCGTTTGTATATTAGATTTGAGCGAATTTGTTTTATAGGTAAAAGTCCCAACCTGGATTAATGGTTTAGAAGATAATGAGTATGTTGGTGTTGGTGCTCGTTTTGGACCTACTTTGGAGTCCAAGGAAAAACATGCAAGCCATACAAGGCTTGCTCTTGCAGATCCTCCTGATTGTTGCAGCAAGCCTAGGAATCAGGTTTTCAAATTTGATCTTTTTACAATGTATTCATACTATTTGACTCCTAGATATATTCTCACCGACACGTGCATGCCAGTTGCCCTTATTCTTGTTCCTTCACTCTTTATTAATCTTGAATATCTCGTCTGTTGGTAGCTTACAGGGGAGGAGGTCATTCTTGTACATCGAGGTAACTGTAGTTTCACAGTGAAAGCAAATTTTGCTGAAGAAGCTGGTGCTTCTGCCATCCTCATAATAAACAACCAAACAGGTATTTCATGTTCTTTTACCACTTCTTTGTGCAACTCTTAAGAGTTTGTCCATCTTGATGGCCTGGTGTGGAAAAGATGGGCTCCATACCCAATACTTATTCTTGTACTATCTGCCTTCTTAGATGTATTCACAGCATCTTGATGGATAGATCTTTACTTCCACTACAACTGTGATAAAAAAATTACTCATAAAGTTACTCGTTCTGTTCTTTCTGACATGTCTTTATATATTGTTGCATTTTATCTGTCCAAGTTCTCTAGATAGCTGCTGTGATATCATCATTTTTAATCCTTGAAGGTTACTTGGGCTATGGTTGTGGTCTTATCAGATCCTTAATCAATTTACCCATAATAGTATAGGAAATTTTACATTAAAGATGATAGAATTTATTATAATGGCTAATTACAATTATTATGAGCAGTTGTGAAGAGCCGGAATCTTGTTTTTGCTTTCTAAATACTGAATCAGTTAATCTTAATCTACAGAACTGTTCAAGATGGTTTGTGAATCTGATGCGGATGTAGATATACAAATACCAGCTGTCATGCTCCCTCAAGATGCTGGTTCAAATTTGGAAAAATATATATATAACAACACTATGGGTATGGCTTTCTTTCTTTCACATTTCTTTTATATCAATGTCATAGTTGACTCAAAAAATACTTTTCTGATCTTTTTATGCTTGGTAATTCCTCATCTGCCATTATTTCAGAATGGATTTTAATTTTTCTGCACTTTTCATCTTTATTTAGTCTCTGTTGCGCTTTACTCTCCAAAGCGCCCGGCAGTTGATGTTGCAGAAGTGTTTTTGTGGCTAATGGCTGTTGGTACCATTTTGTGTGCTTCTTATTGGTCTGCATGGACTGCTAGAGAAGTTGCTATTGAGCAAGACAAGCTACTAAAGGTCAATTTTTATCTTTTTACGAGCAAATTTTATGCATTCTGTTTTAAATTCTGTTCTAGTACATATGTGGCAAAAGTTTTTTCAGTATAATTTAATCATTCACCACAACGATATGCTGATTGAATTTGTTTGCACAGGATGCATCAGAAGAATTTCTACAAGCCGGAGGTGTAGGTTCCAGCGGTTTTGTTGACATAAATACAACATCAGCAATTCTCTTTGTTGTGATTGCTTCATGTTTCTTGGTCATGCTTTACAAACTTATGTCATTCTGGTTTGTTGAGGTTCTGGTGGTTCTGTTTTGCATCGGTGGAGTAGAGGTGCGTGTGTCTTCATATACTTGTATGCTTAGTACAGTGTGGTTTATTTCCTCCATCTTTTTATCGGTAGTTCACTAGTTATTAGTGAGCCACTTCAAATCAATACTTTCATGGGCAGGTTTTGGATTTTACTAATGATGCTAGTCTTTCTTTCCTTATATTTATTTGCTTCTCTTCTCCCTGTTTTTGGTCTGTGCTTCTTTGGAAACTTACCAAACATTTTAAGCGAAGCTTATTGGGCTGAAGAGTCATCTTTTGACTCTATTTTACATTATCTACAATGTCCCCAAGTGTGACTAATAGTTATGATTTATGAAGCCATTTGATGGAAGCCACAATGTTGTTGCACATGCATATCTTCTGCATGGCAAGCACCATCATCCTTGTCTCAGTGCTTTTATGGACTGTTTAACACATATGTGCACATCTTTAGAAAAGAAAAGTTTATTCAACACGATAAAGATCTTGAATCTGTCCACTGTGATATTAAATAGTTTCAGAAGCTGCAATCAGGGATACCTTGTTCCTTATTGGTTTACACTCTGATTTCTATTCCTTTATGTTTTTGCGGAGGTTAAGATTTTTGACAATGTGTTGAAGATCTTGAATGCGTGAGATGCAAGGCTCACAATCCTTTCAGCTTAAATCTTATCAAAAAGAACATAGTGTGTCGCCTACTAAAAAGTTTCTCATGTTGCTTAATGTAATTTTTTAATGTTGAAGACAATAATCATGCAATCTAACTTAGTGCTGGAAATGATAAAAAACTTGCAACTTTGACAAGAGTGACTAATCAGTGTCTGTGCCCAATGTTTTTCTGAACCTCAATTTGAAAACATCTGTTGAATAAATATGCCTGGATGTAAAAATTACTTAATCAGGAGCCCCAGTTGAATTCACATTACATTTTTCTGATATTCTCTAGTAATAAGGCCTGATGGAAAGGGTAGAGGGTTGGGGGGTAGGGGAAGACTTTCTTGAGATGAATGCTGATCCTTGATATCCCTTTATGCTTCCAGGGCCTGCAAACGTGTTTAGTGGCTTTGTTATCATGGTATGCATATTCCTTCCCCGTTGCTTTTGTGTTTACATGGGCATATTCTTGATTGTTCTCCTTCCCTGTGACTGTAATTGAACATCACTAAGACCAAAGTCTCTCGCAGAAATATGTGGAAAAGGAAATCAGCAACACTTTTCCAAACAAAATCTTTATCAGAGTGTTATAAAAATTACACTATTCATAGAATACATGCTTTTTCGTTCCTAGTTCTAATGAACAGGTTACAAATAATATGACACTGACAGCTAAATATATATAGTTTCAGGTGGTTTCAACGCTTTGCAGAATCATTTATCAAAGTACCCTTCTTTGGAGCTGTTTCGCAGCTGACACTGGCTGTTTGTCCCTTCTGCATAGCATTTGCTGTTGTTTGGGCAGTGTATCGCCGTATCTCCTTTGCCTGGATAGGTCAAGATATTCTTGTAAGACAACATTTCTAGTATCTTCCCTTGATATGTTGTTATGGTATCTTTCTTAGTTAATCAATTTCTTGAGGTGATCGTGTTGTATTGCGTGGAAGGCATGCTTTTCTCACTCATGTGTCTATTTGCTTGTAATGATATCTCTTCTCATTGAAAATAATATGCTTGGAAACTTAGTTTGATTTACACTCTTATTATTGTAAAATGATGGTATATAAACCTCCTCTTTTGCTTGCTCAATCAGGGTATTGCACTTATAATCACAGTTCTTCAGGTTGTTCGCATACCAAATCTCAAGGTGAGTATTTTGATTCATTTGGCTTTTTCGGCCTGCTGCTTGGAGATGCATGCATGTTTTGCTATTATATGGGTCTTATCTTCTCTGTGTTTCTGTACACAGAGGATAAAATATGCATGTGTCTAGCATACATATGAGAATAATTGAAATATTGAATAACTTTTTGATGTTTTTATTGGTGAATTTTTATTGAATCAGGTTGGAACGGTTCTTCTGGGTTGTGCTTTCTTATATGATATCTTTTGGGTGTTTGTTTCCAAATGGTGGTTTCATGAGAGCGTGATGATAGTGGTAAGCAATTATCAACATTTTTTCCCACCATAGAATTCTAATAATGGCTGATATTCTTTTTGTAGACCTGTTGGACAATTGAGAGAATGACGATATATTATTATTTTTCTTCTATATAGGTAGCTCGTGGTGATAAGAGTGGAGAGGATGGCATACCAATGCTACTAAAAATTCCACGCATGTTTGATCCTTGGGGTGGCTACAGTGTTATTGGATTTGGAGACATAATCTTACCTGGACTGCTTGTGGCATTCTCTCTAAGGTTTGAATTGCATGCCTACCAGCTTTCCATAGAATCTCAACATTAAATTTTGCTCTTTGATGTCTTTGCTGATTCTTTATGCTTTTGTATAGTTTTAAGATTTTATAACCATAACATCCAAACATGCTGATTGTACTTTGTGAATAGACCATATTTACAAGATTTGCATCAACAAGTCCATGATTTGTGTTGCTGTGGGTTAAGGATGTGCTATTGATTGAGCTAAAGATTGGTTGGACCAAATTCAATGTGCAGCATAGTTTAAACTGGAAATAATCGCTTCTGTTTGTTTTCGTAGTACTCTATCTTCGTTCAAATGTTCATTTACTTAGATTTGTTCCAAACAATGAGATTGGTTTCTGATGTTTGGTCTGACTGTACCTGTGATTTTTTGCAGATATGATTGGCTGGTGAAGAAAAATCTCCGAGCTGGGTATTTTGTATGGGCAATGACTGCTTATGGCGTAGGTATGAGAAATTCTAAATCTGCAGAGCCATCCTGTTGATATGTGGGGGTATTATGGACCAAGCCGAGCATGAATTTTACTTTGTTCCAAGTTAGCTTAACCTCTGATTAACAAGGCTCAAGATCTCAGTGCTAAGGAAAAAGAAAAATTGTTTGAGCCTGACGCAGAGCTTATCTAGCTTTAAAGTTTATAATTCCATAATCCAAAAGGGCTTGAAAATGATATTTCCCAGATTTGCTGGGGGCTTTATTTAATGTGACCGGAATTTTTTTTTTTTTTGCAGTTTCCTTTTCCTTCTGTCTTGCAATATAAAGACCATTGGCTCATTAATGCTCTATTCTATAAATTCATTCTACAGGTCTTCTGGTCACGTATGTGGCTTTGAACATGATGGATGGACATGGCCAACCAGCTTTGCTTTACATCGTTCCATTCACACTTGGTAAGTGGAAATGAGATTAAGAATAGTGCAGTCTCTGTAACATACATTGCCATGCTCAGAAGCCCCAGATGAAACATTATCTCCGCTGTATGTTTCTTACCAATCTGTTGTGTGGGCTGCAGGGACCTTTATCACATTGGGAAAGAAGAGGGGAGATCTCAAAATTCTCTGGACAAGAGGTGAACCAGAAAGGCCTTGTCCGCATGTCCAACTTCAGCCCTTACAAGAAAAGTAATAATGGTAATAAACAATGAAAAATAAGTACCTCGGTTGCATACCTGTTTTGGCTTTTAGTACAGAACCTGTTGAAAAAGCTTTTTACCCTTTTAGGTTGTAGAGGAGCATGTAATATTTGCATTATAGTTATTGCAATCCGTTTAGAAATTGACCAGTAACAGAGCACTTTAAAGCCACTTCAACTAATTTCATAGAAGCTTTACTGTTGATTCTGTAAAACTATGATCAGATGATCCCAAAGTAAAGGCCATGGTTCCAGACTTATGAGTGATCTTTTTGTACAAGTGGCATCCGAGAATATATTTCATTCAAGTAAATTCTATGTTTGTCTTTTGAGCATATGTATGGAGTCTCCTGAAGCCAAACAAATTTGTTCATTTCCTTTTTGGTTCTGCGAACATCATTATCAATTATTAAATTTTAGCTTAGATTTGGTTCTACCAAATCTCAATGACAACTCCAGTGAAATAAACGGATAAGCCAGGATGAATAAAACCAATTAAAACTAAGCAGGTAGGATAAATCTGAAAGCTCCAAATCATAACAAAAACGGTTGTATTATGCCAATCATCTTTGAGGTACTTTGCAATTGGGCAACGTCTATATTTTGTTCATTATGATAGCGTTTCCAACTCTCGACAAAGTATATACAACAGTATAACATTGTACATTGTAGTATAAGGAAGAGCATGAAAAACCCAAGGATGGAAGAGCAAGATATATACAATGGAACCTTATGAGGGAGACGTAGTGAAACATGTTCCTGGAACAAAAATGCAGTTTCAAGTTTTCAATGATGTTGCTGCCACTCCCTAATCACAGAACGCAGAGCATGGTTAGGGACAAGAGTCCGATGTGAAAGCCTGAGGTTTGTCATAGGGGAGGTATCATGGTCAGCCAGCCATCCCTGCAATGCCGTTGCCTCATAAGTATAACCATCGGCTGCCACATGCGGATCATTCATAACTTCCTGCCAGGCAATTATCAAATGAATTTTTGAATACTATGTTTGCAAATATAATCCAAATTGGTTATTGTGTTAACAGTAAAATGGGACAATGAAATGGAATGCAGCTAACCTGTAAAATGGGACAAATGAAATAAGATGGAGGCTCACGATTATCTTCATCAGACTCGGAAATGAATGAGAACGTGGCTCCAGAAGAAACTCTCATCGTTTCAAGCACTCTCAAAACATCTGAAGCAAGATCAGGTCGACGGCTTAGACTAATGTCACAGCATCTAATAGCCAAGCGGGTCAACTGTGCAACTTGGTATGGCCAGTTTCCAGCTGAAGAATCCAAGAAGGAATTCAGATTTTGTAGTGCATTTTGCGCAGTCTCAGCTATACCCTGAGTTGATCTCCCACTCAATAACTGTAACAGTATAATGCCAAACGGGTACAAGTCTAAACTGTGAGATAATCTTCCAGTACTACGAAAATCAGGATCTAGGTAAGGCTGCGCGTTGCTTGAGTTTTCCAGAAGAGAGAGTGCACGGCAGGCTCCGAAGTCGCTAAGTTTGCAGCCAAAGTTGGCATCAAGAAGAATATTCCCAGGTTTTAAGTTGCCATGCACTACGCTCTGAGGTTTACTGGAATGTAAAAACATGAGACTAGAGCAAATCTCAGTAGCTATATTTATCCGAGTTTGCGATGACAGCGGAGGGGTGCCATTCCTGCAGTTCAAACGATCTTCAAGGCTTCCATTAGGAAGATATTCATAGATTATAGCCCAAATTTCAGGGCAGGCTCCAATGAGAGTTACTAGATTTGGATGCCTCGTTTTACTCAACTCATCAACCTGAAATACAGGAGAACAAGTTTTATTTCGCTCTATTTGTATATATATGCAACTTCTTTGAATCTAAAATTTGTTGCTTCATATGAAATCTAATTAGAAGAAGACATAGACAAAATTGAAAATGCCCAAGGAATGTAAACTTTAGAACAATAATCTGGTAGAAACTCAATATATGCAGCGAGTTTTCTTACCTCCTGCTGAAATTCAGAGGGGTCTTGTAAGCTGTTTTGGCCAAGCACCTTTATGGCCACATCCGTGTGACGAAGGACACATCTATAGTAAACGCTCCCCCGAGTTCCTTCTGTAATCTTAAAGGATGGGTCAAAGTCCTCAGTCGCTTCCTGAATCTCTGAGAGAGAAAACTCTGTAAAGGGTTGCTGCATATGTGTGCCTGAGGTATCGTCGGCTTGTTTTCTTAAAAGCTCGTCAGTTATCTTACGAGTATTTTCAAGCTCAACCTGCAACTCATCTTTTTCTTTCTGGCAAATTTGTAACTGATCCAGAGTTGCATCGTGGATCTCTGAGGCAGACAACTGGTCTGGGTAGATTTGCTGCATATGTGTGCTTGAGGCCTCTTCTACTTGTTTTCTCAAAAGCTCTTCAGTTACTTTGCGAGTATTTTCAAGCTCTACTTGCAACTCATCTCGTTCTTTCTGTGAAATTTGTAACTGCTCCACAGCTGATGACAACTTATCTTCCAATTGTTTTATCCTGTAATCTGAGTTGGCAACTTGGCTATCGAATATCGACTTTTGTCCCACGGCAATTAAATGCTCTTCATCTCTCTGCCTCATCATCTTTTCAAGCTCCTCCTTCTGTTTTGCAAGGGCTGCCTCAGTTTCTCTCTTGCATTCATTGTACAACCTTTCAAATGCTTTTGCCTATAAATAAAGGGCAGGGAACTGTCAGTAAACGTGTTAATCTTTATGACTTAAAAGCACAATCTTCAGTGGAAGTATAAATTCAATGGTGATCATTTGTTCTCAATGCCAAAAAGCAAAACCATCTTCACAAAAGAGAGGAAACAAGGGCAGAATTTCAAAAGACATTACTTGGCGCATAGCCCGGACAGCATCCATTTCGGCCTTGACACGCCTGTTGGACTCTTCATATGCTTTTCGGTTTGATGTTTCAGCTTCCTGCAGTGCCTGTTCAAGTTGATCAAAGAGTTGATCATTGCTGCTTCCTTCCTGCCAAAAGCCATGAACCAGGAGGGACATTAGCAATAATGGCTTAAATCGGAAAGTGCTTGATTTTTCAGGATTCAGTTCAAAATCGAGCTAAAGGGATGGGCAAAATGAACGTGGTGATGATCAGCATATGACAACAGAAATTTGAATTGTGGGCATTCTCAACATGGAGCTTTTATAGCAGATGAATGGAGATTGTACTACTATGTTCCTGTACATTGGGCATTGATAGAGGATCCTGATCCTCTCCAGAGCGAAGCAGTTCAAATGGATCAAGCTCACATTCATTCTCCTCTCTTTCCTCAAACACAGCCGCGTCTGATATACCAGCAGCTTCACTAGAGCTTGTCAAATAACTGGAACCTGATGGGCTTAGTGCATGTGATGATTGCCCAAACCTGCAGTAAAGACCTTAAAGTCAATATAATGAAGCAGTAGGAATGTGCAGTCTCATTTTTGATAAATTGATGAGAGTCTGAGAGAGAATTTTTCACCCATTAGCTTGAAATATGCATCTCAAAAGTTCCAACGGATAAGACAGAAATTAGAATCAGGATTTTGGCAATCATTGAGCATACCTTTTGTGGACAAGTTGCTCCCTGCAAATGAACCAAATTTGACAGGAAAGTGGTGCATTATCGTTTACATATTGTGCTTTCTCAGAGATAAGCCACATTCCCCTACAGTGTTAAGAGCAAGTTCAGCAGATGAGTGCAGGAAATACATAAGATCATGAATGTTAAGGAAACTGAACGAGTTAGTGGTACTCTGAAAAGTGCTCGGCAGCTGCTGCTCCCATGACTAGCTTCTTGATATTGTGCCGATGAATAAGTTCCACAATCCCCTTTGCAACATCATCCCTTTGAATATATAGTTTTTCTGCTCTGACCTACACCAAGACAATGAATGGCAATATACCTGTTTTGTTATAAAAAGAGTTGGACCTAGTCATGAGAATAACTGCTTCAGAATAAAAAATTCTTGAAAACTGTTGTTTATAGGCATCGACTGGGCAGTTTTTTGAACTTTCTCCACCCAAAACAGTTCTCTAAGGAATAAAATTGGATTTGTATTTGGTGTCAGTTCCCCATGGTTGAAAAACTAATGTAAATTCCACCGCCAAACCCTTAGAGATGTGTCAAGAGACATGCCTGGGGTTCTTTCAATTCACAATCACCGATGTTTCATTATACAATTGCATACCGTTTCCATACTCGACACTACAAAACCCTATAAATCCAGAAATAACTTTCCATTAAGCAAAAGAGATTCTTCTGCTGGGTTCAGTGGCCATTAAAAGTGCAACTGTACAAAAAGAAGACTGAAGAAGAAATAGTACCCCTGCTTGACTACAAAAAAGAACGCACTCATCCATGATCCGGTGCATCATGTCGTTCCCAACGTTTTCTAGACCCCTGAGTTGTTGGTGGTGAAAAAGCATTGCAGCTAAATTCCCACCAACTCCTTAGGGGTAGGGGGAACGAAAGAAAAAACAAATCAGATTACATATAGCAAAGAATCTCTAAGTAGAAATCAACAGCCCAACATGTAACTATTGCATGGAGTTAACTTACTGGAGGAGATCATCATGGATGGCTGATGAACATGAAGAATGCAAACTTTTAGAGGACTAAGATTATGTAACGTCCAAAACAAAGTGAGCTCACTTTCGTCAAATTCTCCTACTGCAACATAAATGGTATCATCACTAGCCATGTTTTCCAGGAGTTGTTTGATGATCTCTCTCCTCACCACTTTGCTAACTCCCAGAATCCACCTGTTTTAAAGTTGTCAAGGCAACTATTTCCTTCTCAGTCTTTATCTGATATAAACCAAGAAACCTTCAAGGCAAGTTCCAAGTCAATCCGGCGTCAATGACTATACATACAGAAAAAAAAAAAAAAAGGAAGATTCCCTACGTTAAGGCCTGGTGATGTAAGAGACTTGTCATGGCACGGAATTAATCACTAATATCAGAATTAGTATATATAATATATCAACAGGAAAATATTTGTATTCTCAAAACAATCAAAAGCCCAAAATTTTTTGGCTGCTTTAGGATCCAAAAGCATTCTTTTCCTACCTTTTTAGTTTCATTGGTCACTGCTGGAGCTGGGTTCCGCGAACCAACACCCATTCCTCTTTTTCTCATCCGTGGTTCCTTTTACCTTCTTTCTGCCTTAACGCGTACATCTCTTTCAAAGTGAAATTACTTTTATATATGACAACAAAGTTAGGAGAGAAACGCCCTTTTTTCATTGTAACTTTTTTATGGTTCCTTTCACTGTATATGTTTGCAGGGGCGATAAAAGCCTTAAAGCTAGCAAAACCAAGTAGGTAAACATTTGTCTATGTCCTGGTTTATGTTGAGGAAGTAACCGGTAAGGATCAGGGTTGTCATAAAAATAACAAAAAATGGTAGGACAAAATCCGATAAGATGGACGCCAAAGTTTGTCCCCCAGCTTCTTTAAGACTTGGGCTCCGGTCATGGACAAAATAAATGACGTGACAAGAGCTTGACTCGGATCGGAGAATACAATGATTGTTTTGAACTCACGGGCTCACAACAGAAAGTACAAACTGTAAAAGTGAAAATCTTTTCTCGTCCATTTTCATCCATTGTAATTCTTGTCTCTTTTGTTGTTCGTTCACATTGAAACTCTAGCTGGACGGCAGGAAGTAGAGAGGAAAATTAACCCCCTAGACATGCAACTGAATGTCACCCAATGGTACAGATACATGGAAACGAATTCGACAAAATCGTAAGTTTCCCTGCTCAAAAGTAGTAAATCAGATAAGCAAGTCATGATAAGTAGAAGCAGAGTTGGCAGATCGTGGAGGTAAATATCATATATGTACAATGCATTACACGTAAATATGCATATATCCTGTTTTAAACAAGCAACCACACGTAAAAGAGAAACATACAACATGTGGAATGCTAGGAAACTAGTCCAATATGTTCTTAGAACAAGGAGCAACGTGAAAAGACATAACATGATTTAGCTCAAGGTCTGGGGTTGCCTGTCATGAGCAAACTAAATTAAAATACAATGTTAATGCTGCTGCTGCTGCCACTCCAAGATTGCAGAACGAAGTGCATGGTTCGGGACCAGATTGCGATGAGGAAGCTTGATGTTTATCACAGGGGAGGTATTGTGGCCCCTACCCAGCCATTCCCGCAATGCCAGTAATTCATACGTGTATCCATCGGCTGCCACATGTGGATTTGCCATGATTTCCTGCAAACAGGAGCAAACCAATTCGATATGTTCTATTGGATTCAAATACAACCCAAACTGGTTCTTCCATCAGAGTCAAGAAGAGTTACAGCTACATTCAAAAAAATCATAACACCCTCTAGGTAAGTTGAGTTTGCTAAGCCTCCTGTGGTTGTCACTGTTACAACAATTTCAGTTCTGTTATTTGCTTTTAGTTTTCTCAATCTCCACAATGCATAAAAATTGATACGAAAAGTATGTATTAGGTTAATAGACCTATAAAAAACCCAATATGCATCAAGAATCTAGCATTTGACAAGGGATATGTGAAGGCTTTGAATTGCGAGAGTTAACTGATGGTGGTATTAACTTGAATACGTGATTGTGGAAATAGTGACAGAATTAAAAGACTTCAGTCCTGATAAATAAGCCATTGGTAAGGATGGAGGCTAACCTGAGTAATGGGGCAAATGAAATAATGTGGAGGCTTATGATGATCTTCAGACCCAGCATGGAATGTTGATAAGGGTCCAATAGAATCTCTCATCTGCTCAAGCACCCTGAAAACTTCTGAAGCAAGGTCTGGTCGACGACTTCGGTTATTATCACAGCATCTCAAAGCCAAGCGAGTCAACTGCTCAGCTTGCAAATATGACCAGCCTCCAGCCGAAGGATCCAATAAATCATTAAGATATCCTCCATTTAGTGCATTCTGCACGTTCTCTGCTATATGCAAGGGTGATCTCCTAGTCATTAACTGTAGCAATATAATGCCAAATGAGTATATGTCAGAACTAGGAGTCAATGATCTTGTTGTAAGAAACTGAGGATCCAGGTAAGGAAATCTGCTGCTTGGAACAGTCATATTGCTTGAATTTTCGATAGAAGAGAGCGCATGGCAGACTCCAAAGTCGCTAAGTTTGCAGCCAAAGTTGGTGTCAAGGAGTATATTTCTTGGCTTTAAGTTGCCATGCACTAACCTTTGAGGCTTACTGGAATGTAGGAAGATGAGTGCAAAACATATCTCAGTAGCTATATGTATTCGAGTTTGCCATGACAATGGGGGAGTATCAGTCATTTGGCTCAGACGATCTTCAAGGCTTCCATTAGGGAGATACTCATATATCAGAGCCCAAATTTCAGGGCAGACTCCAATGAGTGTAACCAGGTTTGGATGCCTCAGCTTACTCAAAATATCAACCTGAAATACAGCAGATGAAACATTTATTTCATTTTCTCTTTATGATAAATATCTGATTTCTTTGAATCAAAAAAGCAATAGTGCTTTAATATGTAAATGAGCAAAGAATAAGTATATATATTCAGCAAGTTAGAAGCTTCAGACTTCATAGAACTGAAAATTAGACTCACAGTATTTTGTACTCATGAAATTTCAATCAAAGGCGTAAAATCCTAACTACTCCAAATTAAGCCACATTGAGAAGTTATATTTGTCTCTCAATTATAAAATTAAAGCCACAAAATAATCACAGTATGTTCACAAATTAATAGCTTAAAAGGATAATTCTAGTGACACTAGCTTACCTCCTTTTGAAATTCTGAGGGGCCCTGTAAACAATTTTGGTGGAGCACCTTGACAGCCACTTCAGTGTGACGGAGAATACATTTATAAATTCTCCCATATGCTCCTTCTGCAATCTTATAGGAAGGGTCAAAGTCCTCTGTTGCATCATGAATTTCAGTGACAGTGAACTCCGAGAAGAATTGCTGCATATGCACACTTGAAGTCTCTTCTTGTTTCGTTGAATGCTCCCCAGTTTGCTTGCAAGTATTTTCAAGCTTTGTCTGCAACTCATCTCGTTCTCTCTGGCAAATTTGTAACTGCTCCATAGCTGAGGATACCTTAGCTTCCAATGCCTTAATGTCACCTGAGTTGGAACCTCGACTCTCCAATAATAACTTTTGAGCTCTGGCAATTTTGCGCGCTTGATCTCTCTGCTGCTTGATCTGTTCAAGTTCCTCTTTCTGTTTTATAAGTGCTGCTTCAGTTTCCCTCCAGCGTCTTAACTCTCCAGTATATGAGCTTTTCAATTCACTAGCCTATAAGTTGATAATGGCTGTGATTAGAAAGTTCTGATAAATGCTTTCTTATGGCAATGGGATTGAAGAAAGCAGGCTGGATTAAAGAAAGATAGCACGAAAACACTGCATCTTTGGGGTGCAAAATACCCAGATATTTGTAATTTTGAGCCAAGCCTGACTTAAATTAGCAGATACCGTGTTTCCTTCTATGATCAGTAACATAAGAGCTAGGCACAACCTTTTCCTTTTTTGTGCTAAATTTTATCTACAAAAATTAATGTAACTATAAATTTGAGGGTAACTCGTTTTCTTTTCTTAGTCCAAAAGCAAATTTTATCTACAGAAAAGGAGAGAAGAGGAAATAAGAAAGGGGTACATTACTTGGCGCATCACAGCATTGAGAGCATTCTTTTCAGCTTTCACACGCTTGTCCAACTCTTCAAATGCTTCTCGATTTGAATTTTCAGCATCCAATAGGGCTTGTTCAAGTTGATCAAAGAGTGGACCATTCCTACTTAAATCCTGTGAAAATTCATAAACCATCTAAGACATTAGCAAAGGTTAAGATTTACAAAGACTGGATTTCACTGACTTCATTCAGAAACATAAAGAATTTGACAAAATGGAAAATTGGAAACCTCTCATTTCTCACATGCTTTATGTATATATAAGGTAAGTTTTAAATTTCCCTGTATAATCAGGCATAGGTGAATAACAAAGATCTTCCCCAAAGTGGAGTAGTACATGAAACTCAAGCCAGTCTGGACTCTCCTCTGATGTCTCAGAAACAATCAGTTCTGAATTGGTAGCCACTTTGCTAGGGCATGTCAAACAACTGGAACTTGACGAAGGACTACTCAGGTTTGATTGTCCAGTTTCAACGATTGACCTACAGTAAGAAGTCCTTACATAAGTGCAGGACGCATAATAAACTTGGAAACAGATCAATTACACTATTAGCGAGCATACCTTCCACGGGCGAGTTGCCCCCCACAAATAAACCAAATTTGACAGGAAGGAGGCGCATGTCGATCCACATATTGGGCTTTTTCAGACTTGAGATCAGTCATTCCCCTGCAATGTTATGGCAGGCAGGTGAGAAAGCTTGGCCATCTATAGAGTTTAGCCAGCAAAACCCAGTAACAGGTCTAGTTCAAACATAACAATAATAGTTATATGCGTAACAAAAGTTACCTACTACTTGAGAAATTGAGAACAGGGGATCAAGCTTGTTATTGTTTTTTCAAGACAAAAAAAAAAAAAAGAGTTCACTTTTGCTTCCTTCAATAAAAAGACAAAAAGAAAAACGATTATTTCTACATCAATTGCTGAGATTTTTTCAGCAGTTTCCAACAGTTCAACATTTGCTTCTATCCTCTTCTCCGAAGAAAGTATGCCATTGCTTGATCTCATGGACTCAGGACATATCGAATCATTAACATAGTTGCACAAGAAAAACAGCTCTGGGACAAAAGAATTAAATAGTAGGAACAATTATTATCATGACTGCCAGAGTAAATTGAGAACTAGTGAACAAGTTATTTGTACACTGAAAAGTGCTTGTCAGCTGCTGCTCCCATGACAAGTTGTTTGATATTGTGCTCATGAATCAGCTCCACAATCCCCTTTGCAACATCATCAAGTTCGATGTGTCGCTTTTCTGCTTGGACCTGCGTGAAGAAATAATGAAGGCACACATAACTAAGGTTAAGAGCACGATTTGTAAAAGAATCAGTTGACCCTTTACCAAGAACTGCTTTTGAAAAAAAAAAATCTTGAAAACACTGAAAAAAAAAAGTAGTGTCTACAGGGAAAGCAAGGTAGTTTTCTGCAATTTTGACAAAAATTCCTCTCAAGAAGCAATAGTACCTTTTTCTGGCCACAAATGAGAAGGTAATCATTCATGACCCTATCTAACATCTTCTTCCCAACTTCATGTTGTGGAAGCCTACTTGTTAGAAAACTCACACCATCTAAATAGTACCAAGGAACAAAACAGGAAGAAGAAATCAGCTATTGACATAGCAAAGAATTCCAAAGAACATGATATAACTAAACAAAACTGTGACTACAACGACTGAACATACTGTTGGTGATCATATTGCCGGGCTGATGAACATGAAGAATACAAACTTTTGTGGGACGAAGTCTCTGTAATGCCCATAACAAAGTGTGCTTGCTTTCTTCAACAGCTTTTCCTACTGCAACATATATGGTTTCAGTAGCACCAGTCATCTGATCCATTAGTTATGTTCAATGGTCTCTCTACTTCTTGCCACTAAACTGATCACTTGTTTTTCAGTTAGAAGCCAGAGCTGAAGTTGAGTTTAAATTTCCTGTGTGGGAAGAAACTTTCCGGGCAAGCTACAAGTCAATCAAATCAAAGGTCAATGCACTGTGCATGTTGGAAAAGACAAGATTCTTTGCCTTAGCTTAGGACTGAAGTGTAAAAATAAGGGGCTGTGATAGCACGCAATTTCTATATCACAGGAAAATAGGTCGAACCCTTTCTTCTTGTTTATCTGCTTTTTGACTCAAACAACTTTTCCTTCTGCTTTTTGGGTTTTCATTGGTCACTGCTGGGTTCCACACGCTAATTTCCTACTCATTCCGTCGACCCTTTCTGTAAAAATCTTGCATCACACGTTGGTTTCCTTTCACCGTCCCTGGGAGTGCTTATTTCAGTGAATACTAAATAGTAAATTTTAGGTGGCTGATGCATGAAACCAGGCACAGAAACATTTAAATATCACTAAAATAGTAACAAGTTGTAGTTTTATTTGATTATATCAGGTATATCGTTCGGCTTTTCAAAAGAAACGTTGAGCACATCATTCGGATGTTCCCTAGTGTTCTGCCAATCTGTCATCACCTAATAGTAGCAGTAAATTCTAAGTCGTCATTAATTACTGCAGTTAATTTGTTGCACACGTCAAAGGTGTGCTCGGGTTTCTGTAAGACTTGGCAGCCTCCTGGACAAATTAAAACAAAAAAAGACGACATGAATCGGTTCAGATCGTACGATGATTGTTTTACTTTTCTCAGTGCCTTTAATGAAAAAGCAAAAGTTGCAACAACTGTTTGGGATATATCCAAATCCCTTTCCAGATTGCCACTATTCCCATTCTGGATTCTTCGCTTTTTGAGTTGGGTCTCCCTTGGGACATTTTAAATATTGTTGGATCCAGAATGCAGTAAAATGTCAGATGAGGCCCCAAAATGGAACTGGAAAATGCCCAGCCCTCTACCTGCTTGCTTCCAAAGTTCTATACCTAGAGTTCAATGATGTCATGACGGCGAAAAGCTTTCGTAGAGTTCAAAGACGTGGATCTTCCTTCAATTTTGAAAACCTAACGATTATAACACATCTAATAAGAAACTCACAGAGAAAAAGAGTTTACTATTTGCTGGAATCTAGCAAGGGTCATAGACATCCAGTAAGGCAAAACCCAATTTTAACTCAGGCAACCATGTATAGAAAATTTGCGGGAGACCAGGCGTTCAGTCTCACAAAACCATCTGGCCACAAAGGCGCAACATTTAATATTGGATGCTTTTATTTCACTAACATACAACCAATCTCCTCTATACGAATACAATGGATGATGTTATAGTGTGACTGCAAGGTCTGAAATCCCGAAGGACAAGTACCTATAAAAAGGGTTACAAATTTATGTACAAGACAATTTGCTGGTTTTTCTTACCTTTTGGCTACCTACGATGCAACTATAAACAATAAACAATATGTTGAATCAAAAAGGGAAAATGATAGTACTGTATTTTAGTGTTGTTGCAGCCACTCCTGAATGGCAGAGCGTAGAGCAAGGTTAGGGACAAGATTGCGGTGTGCTAGCTTATCGTTAGTCATGGGTGAGGTATCATGACCACTATCAAGCCAACCTCTCAAAGCCTCTGCTTCATAGGTGAAACCATCGGCTGCTACATGAGGATCTTGCATTACTTCCTGAAATGTTTAAGCAAATAGAGAAATGAAATTTAATTGATGAACAATGTTAACTTTTTATAGGAAATCAAAATTTTGTAGCTAGTTTGTAACCCTTATAACCCACAGTCACAACATTATTGGTAGAAAACACAAAGAAAGTTAACTGGAAAAATGATTGTTTTTGAGAGTATTATAATACGATTTTATATTATATGTCTTTTCTTTTCTCCCTTTCTGAGACTGGACTTTGAAGAGGAGTGTTCATGAAGCAAATCACAACAGTAGAGAGAAAGTACGTGTAAGAATACCAGTATGCATTAGAAATGAAGAGTTTGCGACAGTTGTGAATTATTTCCCGAGGGATGAAAACAGTTTTTTTTTTATCATTCTTTTCGACCATTTCTATGGGGGATGAGGGAGGGAGAACTTGGTCATTGCAGATGTGCCACTCCAAGATGTATATGAAAGATAGGAACAGGATTAGCTTACCTGAAAAATGGGGCAGATAAAATAGCAAGGAGGTAGGCAATGCTCTTCAGAACCCAGCTGTAATGAGGATGAGCCTCCACAAGAAGCCCTCATTGGCTCAAGCACCCTCCACACATCTGTTGAAAGGTCTGGGCGACTCTTTCGGTTCATCTCACAGCACCTCAAAGCTAGGTTAGCCAATTGCTCAGCTTGCACAAATGGCCAATCTCCAGCCAAAGGATCCAAGAGGTTTTTCAAATTTCCATTATCTAACGCATACTGCACTTCCTTTGTTATACCCAAGGCCTGTTTTCCTGTCAACAGCCGTAATAATATGACTCCAAATGAGTAAACATCGGCCTTTGGAGTAAGTTCGCCTGTTGCGAGAAACTCTGGATCCATGTATACAAAAGTACCCTTGGGGTCAGTTCTGCAGCATACAGTTGTATCATTGTTCACCAGACGACAGATTCCAAAGTCACTCAATTTAGTAACAAAGTTGGCATCAAGGAGAATATTTGCAGGTTTCAAATCTCCATGCACTATGCCATGAGGTTTGCTAGACTGAAGGAATATAAGAACAGAACACAACTCAGTAGCTATACGGATTCGTGTCTGCCATGATAAAGGGGGCGAATTGTCCCTGCAGTTAAGTCGGTCTTCAAGACTTCCATTAGGAAGATATTCATAAATAAGAGTCCAAGCTTCAGGACAGGCTCCAATTAGCGTGACCAGATTTGGATGCCTCATCTTACTCAAAACATCCACCTAGCACAGAACAAACAGATGTCATCTGTGTTAACTAAACTTTAACGGAATACAGTTTTTCTCTTCTAAGTGTGCAGTTTTATGCCACTTCCAAGACATAAAATATCCTTTCATTACCCTAATGCAAAATTGTTAACACTATCAAAGTACAAAATAATGAAAGTGTAGGTTTTTTGTTCTCACAGTCAGCAAATCCAAGAGTTTTTCCTTATGTAGCAGTCTCCATTTTTTTCAGTTCAACTCTTACTCAAAGAACAAGGGAATAAAGCAATTATTTTATATGCACACCATGATACTACTGTTAACAAAGAGGCAAATTTAAGCTTATTCATGAGCATGTGAAATTGCCAGAGGGAGTAAACAAAAAACATCGCTAAGATGCAAATACAGTTCCAAGACAATGGACAATGAACTTTGAGATCTGTACAAATAAGTGTGCTGCAAATACAGCCAAATAACAGTACTTCACGTTAAATCTTTTGATTTCTGCTAGTTATACCCTAGGCTCTGTTGTACAACACAGACAACACTAATAACAGGTTCAACAAAATGTAACATGAAGCCAATCCAAACAATAAATAAATAAACAAACGTTAAGGGGATTATACCTCCTGTTGAAATTCTGATGGGCCTTGCAAGCTATGAGAATGCAACCTTTTGATGGCCACAGTGGCATGGCGCAGGAGACCCTTATAAATGCTCCCATATCCCCCTTCCCCAACCTTAAGGGATGGGTCAAAGTTGTGAGTTGCTTCCTGAATCTCGGAGAAAGAGAACTCAGTGAAAAACTGAGGCATATGTGCACCTGAGGTCTCAGCTCGACTTCTCCGCAACTCTTCAGCCTCTTTGAGTGCATTGTCTCGCTCCATCTGCAACTCCTCTCTTTCTTTCTTGTAATTCTGCAAAAGTTCAACGGCTGAGATTATCTTCTCTTCGAGCTCCTTAACCACCTTTTCAGATTCCACAATCTGTTTCTCCAGTGATGATTTCTGATCCAAGGCCTCTTGAAGTTCTACCATAACCTCATCTCGCTGGTTCTTCATCTTGTCAAGTTGCTCCTTTTCTTTTGTGAATGCTTCCTCAAATTCTTTCCTTTGTTTTAACTCCTGTGCATACAAGAATTCCGATGCTTGGACCTGAAATTAGCAGCCATGATTGGTTCTTTGAAAAAACTTGATAATATGTTAACATTACATTTTAGAGTAAAAAAAGATACCACCATTTAGTTTAAAGATCATTCAAATGCTCATCTTACAGATATGAGGATATGATTCTTTTTAGATCTAAATTTCTCCAGCAACGACAGATTGAATTAGTTAGAGAATGTTGTGCGCATTCTGCAATTAAAAGGTCAACCAAATTCCTATTTATTGTCATATGACGGGACAATTGAGCACAATAAGTGAAATACATGCAAGATTTGCTTTTCCCAGAGTAAAAACATCAAGTATTAATTTCTGACTGCCTACAATACTAGAAAATTTATTAAAGAACTGTGGGTGTGCGTTTGATTTAAATGAACCAAAGCTGAAAATTTACCCTGCGTATAGCTTCAAGAGCACCTTTCTCAGCTTTTGCACGCCTGGCTGCCTCTTCAAATGCTTCTCTTCTTGAGTCTGCTGCCTCTGCCATTACTTTTTGAAGTTGATCGTAAAGAGTATTATCTATAGCTCCATTCTACAAGAATCAATCAATCATTTGTGAACTTTTTAGATTGTCTAGATACAAAAGAATTGGCACTGCACTAATTTGGTTGGTCAGTTTAAGATAAGGAAGAAAGTGAAGCTTAAACATTCTCAGAGAATAAATGAAAGTTTTGTACATACCAGAACACTGGGAAAGGATGACATATTAAAATTCTCTTTAGCCTGAGACATTGCAATAGATTCTAATCCACTTTCATTCAACTCAGGTCCCATATATGGGACCAAAGCTGCATCAGCCATTCCGCTGGAAGAGGATGATGACAGAACTGAACTCCGAGGACTTCTTCTGGATAAACCATCCGATTCATCAGAACTCCCTTCTGCATCAGATCTTCTCTGTGGAGTTGATAGCCCTCCATTACCACCAGGGAAAGTAGAACCAAATACACTTCCCGCACGCCCATAAAAATTTTCAGATCTCACTCTATGCAGTGAATCTGGTGTACAAGTAGAGGGTTTTACTTGACTAGTTTGTAGCAGTATAACAGACCGTGACCTGAAGTGATTTTCAAAGTTTGAACTTGCTGGCAGTGATGATGATGATGCATTCTCTGTATCAGTTACATCTAAACTTATTGTCCTGTTTCAATATTTCATTTATATTAGTAACCATAATCATTGCAACCAGTAATAGGTCAAATTCATAATCTTTGTAGACAAGTGTACTATCTCAGTATCTCTCTAATAAGTCAACAACTGAGCATCTGGTACAGGCATTCTGAAAAGCCTATAAGCTGCTTCAGTTTAAAGTTAGATTCTCGTTACAATCAATTATACCTTGTGTAGATGAGAAGCCCCTTGCAGAGAAACCATATTGTGTGGCAAGAGGCAGGAGCATGTTCACGCACAGCGATGGCTTTCTTGGACTTGAGATCCACCGCTTTCCTGCAATATAAAAGAAATGAGGTAAGCAACACCATATCGGTGCATTATCAAGAGGCAAGACATGCTAGTTCCCTCATAGATCCACAATAGATCTAGTTGAGCCCAAGGTGGTATGGACGATTACTTATGTGGTTTGTACTTTGAATAATGTTTGTCTGCTGCTCCTCCCATTACAAGCATCCGAATCCCATTCTCCGATATCATTTTCAAAATTCCCTTCTCAATGGAGTCCATTTCAATGTATAGCTTCTCTGCTTGCACCTACAGTCCAAGATAGAATCTAAAACACATCAGATATGCTGCAAATGAGTCGATTTAGTATTTGAAAATGAAATATGTGATTCAAACCATGCACTGATCGGGGTAGCTCTTGTAGTAGTTGAAAACTTGAGCTAAATTACCACAAATAACTGTCATAATCAATATTTATTAATGTTGATAAAAGTTGCTCTTTTCTTCTCAGAATTACAAACTCCACTGATATGAATTGAAATTGAGTAACAACCGTATAAACTAAGGTCCAAGAAGAAACTAATACCCCGCTTTGGAGACAAAGCAGAAGGTATTTGTCCAGGTTCTTCTGCATTTCTTGTCTTTCAATCTCCCAGTATGCCTTGACTTCCTGTTCTTTGAGTTTACTAGCTGGAAATTTTGTACCCACTGCAAAACAAAAACAAATAAAACGGTTTCTCAATTGGGAAATACAAAATCAAGCCAGAGAAAAGATTGCTCAGAATACAATTGACCATCGAAAATTATCCATTTTATCCATCCAATAATTTCCATCAATCAAGGTCTCCAAAATTCAATCGAATTTAGGCAACTCTATCCTTAGTTTTGAGTATTTGACCCCTCCCTTTGTTTTTCCTTCTGAGTATTAATCAAAATATTAATAAAGAAAGACAATTGCAATGAAACTTACTGTCTGTAAGTGGAATCATCTTAGCTTTCTCGTGAACATGGAGTATGCAAATTCGTTTTCCTCCGGAATTTTGCAAAGCCCAGAATAGAACTGATTTGTTTCTTTCCACATCTTTGCCAACCGCCACGTAGATTTTCTCCTCAATTACACGCGCCACCGGTTCCTCCGTGATTTCTCTTCGACCCGACATGATTCCCGGAGCTCTGACGTCGTGAAACCTCATCGAATTCACACCTTGCGCTATTACAGGCACCGGACTCACCACAGCCATGCTCCGATCAATAAAATAATCAAACAAAGAAAAATTTCTCAACTAAACTCACCAACAACCAATACAACAATCATTTCTGCTCACATCTTTGAATGATAAGCTAAAAACGACGTGGTTTTGGGAAGATGAAGAAGGAGGAAACGATGAACGGTGAATGGCTTAATTTTTTTTTTTTTAACTTAGGCAGGCATAAAAGGAAGTGCTTGTCTGTAGCTCTGATGACAATAAAATAAGTAAAAGACAACGACTGCAAACGAATAAGAAGTTAAATTAGATAAACACAACAGCAGGCTCCATTTTCTTAGTATCATGCATACAATGTTTCCTCTGTTTTGAGGTTCCTCTCTCTCTCTCTCTCTGACTAAACTCTGTTTCAGATTTTGATGCGTTGAGCTTTAATTTCCTTCTGTAAGAAGCTTCCACCAACTTACCATTGGGCTCCACTCCTTCTGTTTGGACTTTGGAAATGTAGCTTAATTATTTTTATTATTTGAAAATGACAATAAATAATAAAGCCATATACATGAATGTTTCCTACAATCTTTGATATATTGGTATGATTAAGTTCTTTGAATAGTTAGATCACGATTGAATGTTGAGATAATGTTTTTTACAGTAAACTATGAAAATACCATCTGAACAATTTAGCTTTGATTTGATTGTTTAGTTACTGGGGAATATACAGTATTTGATAATGCAACTCTTCCCTACGCTACATCGCACACACTTGATAAAAACTTTGACGGGTGAAAACCTGAAAATGATGACTTACTGTACTAGTACCGGTTACCGTGCGATATTATACCAAGAGTCAATACTCTAAAGTCGACATTCTTGACGGTGATGGAGTGACCATTTGCCAAAACGTACGGAAGAGTAGGCCACCCTGCACCCACAAACGTCCGAGGAATATTCTTGGTAGATTCTTCTCCAAAAACCGTCGTGCTCGCTGTGTTCCATTCAAAGCTGTCAAGGATGGTTACCTCTAGCAAGCTCATGAAAAATAAAAACAATGACTTAATTACAGGAAAATAAAAAGGAGGAAAAAATTTTAAAAAAAAGTCCTCAACCGCGTTGATTTTTTTCCCGGTTGTTCAGCGGCTTGCTGGCCGTTATCTTCCAACGGTTGTAGGTGGCGTACACTAGCCTGGTAATTGGAGAAGCAAGTTAGAAACGGCCACGTGTAGTAAACACACCCAGTCACATCCGTTAACGAATAGTCAAACAGAATTTTAAATAGATTATTATATTTAAAAGAGTCATTAAATTATTTCAAATTTTATTTTTTATGTTAAATCAAATTATTATATTTTATTTTTATTAAATAAATTTTTATAAATAATAATTAATTAACTATTATTAATCAAAATACTAATCATCATTTTTTATATCACGTTATATTAACGTAATATATTAAAATATCATAATTGATAATAATGTAATATACTTATATAGTACAATAAAATAATTACATAATATTTTCACTTTCAACATTATCATTGTTGACATAAAATGAAAATAATATTTTAATTAATAATAATTAATCAATCATTAATTATAAATGTTTACTTGACTCAAAATAAAGTATACAAATTTAATTGAGCATAATAAAAAATAATAATTTACTTAAATTTTTTTAAATAATTTAGACGTTTTTTAAAACATAATACCTTAAAAATGAAAAAATGTAATAATAGACTACCAATTATATTAATTCTCTCTAATTTATTAAAATTTTTATATTCATTTTTTAATTTCATGTTTTTATTGTGTATGGATCAGTACAAGAGGATTAAAAAGAATATATATACATATATTTATATCAAGTTGAAGTTTTAAATCCGATAATGGGATGGCTATTTTATTATATGTTTGTTGTTTTAAACCCTGTTAAACTTCATTATCAATACCATGCCAAATGGGGTTTTAAAAGACAATTTAAAAAATAATAATAACCTCGGATGCCTTAAAAGACAAGGCATGATGTTATTTTCTCGGCAGTTGTCCAAAATTTTGGTGCAAACTACAAGAGGAATCTGTCTAAATACATAAAACAATGGGGCATTATGAAAAACATAAACATTTGAATGTGTCTTCTCTCAATATTACTTTATGACCTCTTAACAAATTATATTGCCACTATTTACTTTAGAAATACATTTTAACTTATTAATTTAACTTGGATGCGTTAAATAATCATATATTTGATTCATGCCTATTTGACAATAACGATAATGGCATATTGAACCATGGCCGGAGTGTCTTAGTTTTTTATGGTAGATTTTGTCACAAACTCAATTGTCCACTTAAACTTATTCTTGTGCTTCAAATCTTCAATAACTTTCCTTTTTTCTTGTAACAATAATTTTATATCATAATCGGATTAAATTCATTGAATTTATATATGTCACGTTTATCATATTTAATTAATTCTATTATCGTATCATTTCGTATGATATAATTTAGTTTAATTCATTTATAATATCCATTTAAATAAATTAATTGTATTAATTGAATTTATCATGTCATATCATAAAAATTTTAATTCAACTTAATTAATAAATGTATTAATCATGTTATATTGTGTAACATATATAATTAACATATTCACATATGTAATTAAAATTTTGATCAATTTAATTATTCCTATCATGTTCATTTTTATTTATATAATAATTATTATTATTGTAAAAAATTTACAAACCACAAAATGTCAAATATGAGAACTTTCTTGAAGGCCGAGTGCTATAAATGTGGATTAACGTGGGCACGTTCAATTCTCTGAGACGCGGTTTTGACCATATTTATCAATTGCAGCCAAAATTCGTAGAAATGACAAAATAAGAATCCATTAGTCAGGGTCACCCAACACTTATTTTCAAAGTTAAAATTTAGAACAAATTTCCTGTCGGGAACAGGAATACTATAGGACGAATGTCTCTGTAAATCTTTATCATTTAATGTAAAAAATGGGACCACTTTAAAGAAAAATTAGGCTCTCTTGTCTAATACATTCAATGAGTATGACATTGAAGATAAGTATATAGAGCAAAAAACAAAGAAATTAACATTTTGTTTTTTTTTTCAATATAACACATTTGTTGTACGCATCGTTTTAGTATAAATCGTAATATTCTTGAGGTAATAATACGGCTGAAGGAGATATGTGAAATGATTAATTTGGTTTAGCTCAATTGCTCTTGATTGAGAAAAAAAAAAAATGGTTTAGGTCAAGATAAGGAATGGTCTTTGTTTGATGCACGGGTATTCGTTTTGGCCACAAACCGCCGTAAAGTTGTTGCGAGAATCACATTTTGATATTGTGAAACATGTCAAAGTAAAGAGTCAGAGTTCATAATTAAATATTAAGGACTTCACCCTTTTGGGTACCTGGGAATATTACTGATCTTAATTACAAAAAAACACACACATGAACAACAGGATTCAAATGCTTATTACCAAATGTCAATTAATTTGAAAAAAAAAAAATTGCTTCAATGGTTGTTTTAATATAATTAAAGTAGGTTTAGTGTAGGTTTTGTGTACTAAATCTTGAATCTTATAATGCATAAAATATATTTTAAATTTATAATAAGTTGAAATTTAAATTTAATCTTATACGGGCTCACGTTCATAATCTAAAAGACATACCTAATAAGTGATAAAAATCTGACTGATGTATTAGTTCAGATTTATCTTGACTTTTGTATTTTTTATGAGGATTTACATCAATAAAAATTCGAGTCTACTCTGATACTAAATGTAAACTTAAGGTCAATTTTGTCACGGATTGAAACTTACTTATCATGGATCGAAACTTAAGACTAATATTGTACTATTTTAAATTTGAAAAATAGAGTTTTAAATTTATAAATCACGAACTCACATTTTTTATTCAAAATACGTATCTGCTAGATAGTGAAAGATATATTTTGATATACTCAATATCCATCCTATCTCTTACGAATGTGAAATTTGTGACAATAAAAATAATGATAGATCTATTCTTTTATTTATACGAAAACATTATTGATTCTACTTATTGAAATATTATAAATCAAATAGGATGAAAATTATAATGTATTGAATCTCAACAATTAATTTACTCATTATTGTTTTTATTGTCAAATTATAAATAAAAAATAGAGTACACTCTTGCATTTAAATTTCAATTATAATGAATTTTGTTTAAATATATATATTTTTTGAAAAGTGAATTAAACATAAATTAATTATGTAAAAATTTTATCTTAATTGATAATATAAATTCCAAATGGACTAAAAGATTTTCAAGCTGTAGTTCGTGGGCTTTACATCCAATGTGCAAAACAGTAAGAGGAGAAGAAAAAAAAACTAAAGAAATGCTTAAAAAGTACTAATATTTAGAAAAAGAGAAGAAATTAAATGGTAATTTTGAAAAGTAAAATTCCATTTACTTAATAAACAAAGTATTAAATGTCAAAGAATGTGACTTAAAAAGTCTGGTGACAGTTAACCTCGTTTGTTGGGGACACATCAAGAAAGCTCTATCTCCATTTCTTTCTTGATCTTTGGGTAATGCATTGGGCCCCATAAATTTATTTTATTCCAAACACATGTTTTAATAGTAGTATAAATTAATTAAATGTCTCACTGAAAGCAATCCGATAATGCTTTCATTATCATTATTATTATATTAAAAGAAAAGTCAATTTGTCTTCTTCAACTTCACTGTCAAATGTAAGTTTTGAAAATTGAAAGAGGTTAAAACTCCCACGCCAACTAATTTTCGCATGTCCGGCAGAACGCAAGCCAATTAAGACACTGTGCATGCTATATATATATATATATATAAAAACACATAAATTAAGATCTATTATGTACTTAAATTCAATCTATAAAAAATTTAACATAAATAATCATATAATGTAATTTACGTGATTTGCTTCTACGTGCTATATATATATATATATATATATATAAACACATAAATTGAGGTCTATTGGGTATTTGAGTTCAATCTATAAAAAAATGTAGCATAAGTAATCAGATAATCTATTTTGCGTGATTAGCTTTATTTGATTACTTCAATCTACTTTAAAAATTATATTATAAAATCTTTTTTAAATTTTGCCTAAATTCAATCTTTATTTTTAAAAGATTTATATTCTATATATGTACTATTACTTAATGATAATAATACCTTGTAAATATGTAAAGTTAAAAATTCAATTTTTATATATATAGTTTTTAAAAATTATGAGTATACTTTGGATTTCTTGATTTTTAAAATTTATTTGTTAATAATATAATCATATTTAGTTAAAAGATAATGTATAAGTATTATATATTGATAGTGCATCAATTATAACTCAATTTTAAATTGAGTTAATATTTGATAAATTGTTAAAAAATATTTATTTTACATGATTTTTAAATATTTATTTTTACATATTTATGAGATATAAATATTGATAATGCATTAAATAAAAAATATTTTAAATTACGTATTTAAATTTTAAATCAAAATTCATTATCTCAAACATACTCCACTCAAAAAAATTTTCAAAAATCAAGATTCCAACTCAAGAGATGTGCTTCACATATACAACCTTGCACAGCTTGGCCGAGTCATTATTTTATTTTAAACAAAAGTCATAGTCGTACTGTCTTTAATTCTTTGTTCTTTGCTGGTACCGTCTTTTTAATAGTAGCAGGTAACGTGAGTTTTTGCTTTAAGATGGCAATTCTTCTTCCTCCATTTCCTCTTGCCTCTTGCAGTCTTGATGATTTTTTTTTATGCCCAAAAAGCCAAGCTCTAATTTATCAATATTGCAAGGCCCGATCATAATTAAAAAAGTATTTTTTAAAATTTTAATTAAAATTATATAAAAAATTATTAATATTTATATAAAAATTATTAAATTTTAAAATAAACATTTCACTCTAAAAATTAAACATAAATAATAGAAGTTATAAAAAATTAAAATATTTATTTTTTATTAATTTAAAAATTTATTATTATATTAAAAGATAAAAAAATGGAGAGTATCGGTGCTCTCTAGCTCACTAAGAAAGAGGAGCATCGGCGGGTGCTCCCAAGAGAAGGGATCGATGCTTCCACATGGGGAGTTTTTTTTTTTAAATAATAAAAAATATAATAATTATTATAAAAATTAATTAATGATAAAATTATTTTTTTATTTTTATCAAATCAGCAAGTTAGATAAAAATATTAACGGTTGTAGCTACATGCTTAGCAAAAATTTATTCAAAATTTTTTTTGATTAAAGTGTCTATTCTAAAAATTAATATATTTTTATATAATTTGAATTAAAAATTAAAAAATAAGAGTATTTTATCTTAATTAAAAGTATCAAAATCAAAATTTATTATATAATTAAAAGTAACTCTTAACAATGTGTTAGTTAAATCATTAATTACATATTCAATCTCCAACTCTGATTCAGGCAAACTTTACAAAAAAATCAATTAAATCACGTTTGCCCATTAATCAAAGTGAAATCTCATATTTTCATGCTAATAGTTTTAGACCTCTATTAATTATGTGAAGCTTGAACAAAAGGGTTTGAAATCTCTAACATAGCTTTCAAAAGAAAACCCAAATTAACTACGTTTATAAGTAAATGATAGACATGGAGGGAGGACTTTTACTTTATTGGTGTTTTTCTACTCATTTCTATTCTTTTGCTCCTTTCTCGTTTTGCTGGATAGCATACAAAAAAAAAATTGAAGCAAAATGAGAGATATGAAATATTTGAATATTTCATTTATTTGATTGATATATTATTTTTTATTTAAAAAATAAGATTCGAATTATTATTTTTTAATTATAAAAAAAAAAAGAGAGATAATGAGGAGGAGCATAGTCTACTACATAGCCCCTCCCTTTAGCCACGTTTAGGCAGCTAGAGTGTTGGGTTGTAATTGGAGAGTGTTGTTCACTCGCTTGGAATAAGATGTGGGCTTTTTGTCTTTTTATTTTTTATTTTTTAATAGTCTGATCGGTGATTGGTTGTCTTTTGCTACCTAAAAAAGTGAGGGTTAATCTTTTCTCTTGATTCTCACATACCGATTTACTATGTGCATTATTATCCCTTTCATAGAATATATATATATATATATATATATTTCTTATAAAATAAAATATGAAAATAAAATATTTGGGTCGATTTTTATGGATTTCATTCAAGTTTGACGTGAAACAAATTTTTAATTTTTAATGAAACTTGATAGGGATCACAAGGTGGATTGATTCTAAATAATTATAAAGGTATAAGATAAAAAATTTTAATTAAAATTGAAGATAATTTAGAAAATTTCATCCTTAAAACTAAAAAATTTTTAATAAGTGTAATAAATATTCATTTTATTTTAACTTTTAAAAAATATTTATTTTATTTTAATTTTATTATATCAATTATATAACTTATCAATAATTACTTTTAAAATATTATAATTTCTCAATATAAATTTGATTTCGCTATTAGAATAATGAAATTAACTAAATATAATTATATCAACATTAGTATATATTAAGATATAAAAAATCAATTTTTTTCAAAAAAATTATTTAAATAAAAAGTTTTACTAGCAAGACATGAAAAAATATTTTAAAAATAATCATTTTTTAAAATAATTATCTTTAATTTATCATTATTACTATTCTTTATAATGTTTTTAAATTTAAAATGATTTATCTGTAATTATTATTATTTTATTTATAATATTAAATAATTTAAAATTATTTTTTTAAAAAAAAATCTCCACCCGCACGAAGCGAGTCACCACTCTAGATTTTTTTAAACGAAGGGCCCATGATAGGACGCAACATCGGTTCGGGTTGATTTTGCTCCGAAACCTAACAATCTACGGGTACCCTTTCCCGCCATCTTCGTGTTTAATATCATCATGTCATTTCCTCGTTAGCCTTTTTTCACCTGTAACTGACAACTCTCTCTCCGAGATAATTCAAACTCCAACCATCGTCATCGTCATAAAAAATAAAAAATAAAACGATTCTCTTTAGAGTTTTGGTAAATTGGGGCTTGAATTTGTCATCTTCACCGATTCCGGTAGAAATGAAGTTGAAGATCAACAAAGCCTGCGATCTCAGCTCCATCTCTGTTCTTCCTCCTCATACAAGGTTTGTTTTCACCTCGCATGATTGTTGTTTGTCTTCCGAGAAAATGTATTTAAAGGTCAGCTAATTCAAAAATTAAATGTGAAGGTGTGATCATACTAGCTTAATCGAGCTTAATTTGCGGTTTCTCGTATATGGAAGTGTAGAGATGAGCTTAATCTTACTAGGTTTTCCTCAGAAAACGCAATGTCTAGTTCATTTTTGTTAATTTTTTAGATATTTGAAGGAGATCAATTCTCTTTTGAGCCTTCAAAGATCTGTTTTACTGGAGGGAAAAATTTTCAAATTTCTTTTTCTCACATCTCTTCTGTATTTTGAATACTTCGACGCGAGTTTCATATTTTTTTCCTACTTCTTTTTATAGGAAAATAAGAATTACTAATGAAATTTCAATTTTGAAAAGAAAATAATCTTCAGACAATTTCAAGATTATCATCATCTAATATCTGAGAGTTTAAAATTTCAATTTGACTCTGTTTGGTTATGCAAATATATGTGAAGGAGACCGAGCCTGGCGCCGAGTGGACCACAATCATCACAGCTTAGATCACAGCCATCACAACAGTCATTCTCACAGGGGATTTCATCTCAGCATGCCTTGTTTTCTCAGATCTCGCAAAGCTCACTCGAAGAAGTCGTGACAACTGACCAGGTTGAATCTCATCTCCTTTGATTTTCAGCATTTGAGGTTGCATGTAAAGGTCTATACCTTATTCTTGTGAGAGTACATAAATTGTCTTTTTATTTCATCTTTGCAGAGATATGGTTCTCAAGAACGAGAGAATTCTGTGAAGAAGTTTTCTTGCTTGCCTCCAACCAACTTTACAAGAGACGATAGTCAAATGCCAATTTCAAAAACTTCCACCAACCTAATACGCAAATGGAATTCGGCTTCTACTCCAGAACACAGATGTAAGTTTGTTATTTAGTTATACTATTATAAGCAAGGCTTACGTTTAATATGACTGGTTTAATGACCTTTCCTTTGGGTAGTTTAATTAAGCTTTTGAACTACATTTTGTTATGTAACTGCTGAGGATGGATGCTGAATCTTTTATTTGCCTGACCAGGTCAATCTTCTCAAGAACTTGAGCACCGGCTTTCAATGGTTGAAACTTCATTAAATAGATTTGGAATGATCTTGGATTCTATTCAGAGTGATGTAATGAAAGTGAATAAAGGAACGAGAGAAGTGCTGCTGGAGAGTGAGTTGCCCTGTTCCTTAATGTTACAAAGCCCTGAGAGATGAAAGGGATAATATACTGCTCAATGGTTATAGCTATTAATAACTTGTTTGTCTGCATAAGGTTGTTATATTCCTGTCATTCCAGGACATGGAAAGAAAGGAGAAAATGGAAGCTCTATTTTCTGTAGTTCTAACGCATATAATTTGATGTAAGGCAATAGAAACCTATTTTTGTCATGAAACTTGATCTTCATTACTACAGTAAGCAACTACCAATGAATGTCTATAATTTAGATTTTGAGAGGTGTTTTATTCCATCAGGTAGGCTTTTTAATGAAATAATAATACCATGAATTCAATGAACAATTCTGAAACCTCTGAACTTATCTAAATTGAAGTTTCTTATCAATTATATTTCAGTGGAAAGGATAAGGCAGAAGTTGGTTGCTGAAGATACCTTCTTACAGCTACTGGTAACAACACAATATTATGCTCCGTTTTCACTTTTTGAATTGACTAGCCTTGTTGTTATGAGCATTTGTAAATACATATTTGTTAAGAGAACTGAGATGTGGTAAACAGAACAAGGGACAAGAAGATATTAAAGCCAGCCTTGATGGAGGCATGAAAGCTATATCAGATCAACTAAACAAGGATATATACCGAGACAAGTTACAACAGATTTTCTTGGTGCTTTCTGCATTGCCAGAACAGACAGAAGCTTCTCTACTCAAATTACAAAAAGAGATTTGCAACACCTTCACTAACGTAGTAAAGGCATGTATCGTGCTGTTAGAGAGAACTTCAAAATGCATACAACTTCAAACTTTAAAATGATGCATTCAGTTTCGTGGCCTCAAATGAGATGAAAACTCTGTTGAAGTAAATCATCATTTCTGGTTACCAATATAAACAACTCCGAAATGTTCCCTATTTACAAACTTTTTCTGTCAAATTCATAAGACTTTCTGTGTTGAATACTGCCATGTTTATCAGCTTGTTCAGAAAGCCTTTGTTTTCATTATGTTTCAGGGAATTGCTAGCAATGTGGAGTCTCTCGGCCAAAAAGGTCCAGTTGGTACTGCTCTTCTACCTAAGGTGCTTTATTTTTCTCATTGAATAACCCTGAATCTTTTCAAGCAGGCATGTCATGACAACAAAATTTCTCAGTAAAATTTTCTTATTTGTGAATATGCAGTGTACTGGCTGTGCGACCCCACAAAGCAAGCCACAGCCAGTTATGAAGTATGTAAAATTCACACTATACTGTCTTGGTTATTCCTCTGTTTGTTCAGCCAGTTATGATCGAGTATTTTTCCTCTTTCTTTAATTTGCTCTCATTTAGAGGAAACACATGTGATATTATTGTTTTGGAATGCCAACGCAAAGGATATCGGTGTTTATTTTGATGCAGATTTAAGGAAAAGTTTTCTTTTTCAAATTTAAAGTTCTTGGGCCTTCTCACTTCTCACAGTTCTTAAATTATTCTCTTCCCTCAAGGCAAGCTGTGCCTCCAAAACCCACTTTAGCTCCAAAGGTAGAAACAGGAGGCTGGAAATCTGTAAAAATGAAACAATCTACTATCAATGAAAGGGCATTCTGTAAAGAGAACAAGAGGAAAGGACTTTCTTCCATTGAGCAGGTGTTTCTTACTTTTTATTTGTTTGGATTTCTCCTCCACGATTTGCATGATATTACGAGTTGCTTGGACTTACGTTCCTTAAATCCACTTGATATTTCGTTTTAGCTTATTTGCTGCATGGGTTTGTTTCTACTGAATTGAAATGCCACTTCATGATACAGGAAAAATACAGAATCTTAATTGAATCGGATGAAGAGATGGATGGAGGCTTTTCCTGCTTGCTTGATGACAAGGAAACAAGTACTCTCTGAACTAAATAAGAGACTTAAGTTACATGATTCATTTTCTGCTTATTAGTTATTATTTTTATCCTGTTTATAAGTTCCTGATGGAGGCAGACACCATGACTCCTGTGATCTGCTTGACATTAGTTACCTAGATATTTAAATTAGCATTTACACAGATTACTACTGATGACCAAAATTCTGTATATAGAGAGATGGAACTCAAACTCTAATTAGTTTTATGACCATGAGGCATCATCCTAATAGCAATTCTGCCCAATAAACAGCCAACTTATTAAACGTTAACTAAATATTATTGTAACTTACAAGAATTTAAGAAGCCATTTAAATGCATTCTGAAGCTGAAGCATAAGAAAAAGTATAATATCTATTATAAGGGTTTGCTTTATTATTTTTCTTATTTCAACTGATGCAAACTGGACAAAGACATTTGTTCTAACCAGTTGGGTTGTCTTGGTTTATCGACAGCAGATTGATAGTATAATTCTATCTGGTTTACTATTACTTGCTGCTATAAAGTTGTAGTTGCTCTTTTCCATCAACTTTTCTGAACTTAACCCCTTTTTTTTTTCCTAAAGAAGACAGAACAAACTGTTTGATAAAGGAAGCTACGGAAGAGACAGAAAGGATTTTGAAGAAAGCTAGGAGGCGAAAGAGAAAGAGCCAGAATTTCATAATTATTAATTGAAGGTACTTAAGCATAAGCATTTCAGGTTGGCATTTTTCGCAGTTACCCCTCAGCTAAAGGTTTCCACCTCTCCTTAGCATACTGTACTCTTTAGAGTGAGTTTAAACTTTCAGAAAATTAAACAACAATCGCATAGCATTGAATTCGATCTCATGTTTTTACTGCTTATCCTGTAACTCCACTTGGGCTAAAAAATATAAAATCAGAAAAAATGAGTCAATATGTGTTCTGTTAGCCTGCAATGAATGACAACACTAGCGTTTGCTCATGGTGATGCACGTAGCTATATGTCCTGCATCGTACATGCATAGTTTTGCTTCAATGACAAATAACGTTTGTGTATGCCTTTGTTAGTTTTTCAGATGCTAGATATCTCCATGTTGTGATGACCCATGGAAGAACATTTGGAGGTTTTCGCTGAAGCTTCCAGTGCAATTGGTTGCCAGTTTGGGCAACCTCTCGATTTATTGGTACATTTTTTAGCGACGTCCAGTTGCTACATGCAAATGTTCCTCCGTATTCTTTTTGACCTTTGTAAACCTTTTTGTATCATTAGCATTTGACTAGTTAGTTTGCCATTTTTTTTCCCTGTGGATATCTGATGAGAGTGCAGTTTGCTCATAGTATGAGCAACATTGGTGCAGGGAGGAGCCATCACCCGATCAGGTTGAAAAAAAGTTACTTTATTGTCAACTATTAATGGATGATGCATTTCAAAAACCAACAAAACAAAAAACCCCAAAAATAGGAAACAGGGAAGATTTTTAGTTTCTCCCTTAGCTAGGGCACCAAGAACCAATGAGAGTAATTTAAGATCACTAGATTACGGGTGATTTATAATATTACACCAACTATGATAATATAAAATAATACCAAAGTTCATCAAAAGAAGGGTTCTTTTTTTTATTTTAAAATTTAATAAGTTGGGCTTTTGGGCCATATGTTGGGTTCCTATTGGGTTGGGCTCCAAAAGACAAAAGGATTAATTTGAGCCCGATTAAAGTGGACAGAGCACTTTGAAGGAGCAAATAGGCCTGTTTTACTTTCATTATCTTCTCTGTCGTTGTTGTTATTACTTTTAAGTAGTATTTGGTATTTTATTGAAAATGAAATTATAAGAAATATGATTACTGAGCATATATGTAATTATTAAAAATATAATTGTTAAAAAGATAATTTTAGAATATTTGGTATAACATGAAAAAGTAATAATTGGGTGATTGTTGAGAAGTTACATTATAATGTTTGATTTGAAAGCATTTTACTGATAATGCAATATAAATTTATCAAATTATTTTTATGTTTGAAAATATAAAATTGAATAGACTTAAATTTTTTGATGTAAATATTTAACTTTTCAAACTTTCTCTTCAAATATTAAATAATAACATGACAAAATAACATAATATTTGAATACTAGTTATTTAAATATTAAAATATGTAAAACTACTAAATATTTATTTTTATAATAATACCTATAAATATTAAAAATAATAATTTTGTAATAATACCTAGAATTATAACATAAATAATAAAAAAATTATTCAAAGAGTTTTTTAAGTTTTTTCTTTTGCACTTCTTTGATTAATGATTTCTCCTTTTATTTTTTAAATAAATAGCAAATGCTTTAATAATATTACTAGTAGTGTTATTTATAAGTATACATAAATAGTAAATGCAAGTTTATATTTAAAATGATTAAACAAAAAATCTAAAAAATAAAGATAGAATAAACTTATCTAAGTTACCATTTTTATATATTTAAACTAGATCTTAAATTTAGTCTTATTTTAGTCTATCTTTATTTTTTTCAAAGTTTCCATTCCTTTTGATAATTTTATTTTGTTGTCACTCCACTTTAGTTCACATGATAACTTCTTCCTCTACCTTCTTTATCCCTCACCACAAGACTGGAGTGAAGAGCGAAGACTTCCTGTCACTCTCTTCACTCCGAGACTCTAAAACCTCAAGCTTTAAAAACCCAAGCAACCAAGAAAGGCCAACATAGATAGAACCATCAAAAGAACTCAACAAATCAGATTCAGATCTCTACCTTTGATCGCAATGTGTAAGTGAGCGGTTAGGGTTCTTATGTCATGGTCAGTAAATCCGTGATCAGTCCAACCCGACATTGCCGATCCAGCAGCATGCATGTCTGCTGTCCAACTAGCAGTAATGACTGGGGCAATGAGTTTATTGAGGAATGCAAACAGGCAGTCCGCAACAGGGTTTCCAGATAACCCAACATCAGGGTAGTCGGGCTACAACAACAACACAAAGGCCAACAAGTAACACACCCTACGCCAGTTCAACAGACATGGCACGCCAGCATGGCATGCGCAGCTTACACAGCCACATGAGAAGCACACTGGGTGCGCATTCCACAAATTCGCATGCCGGATGCATTAGTGGAAGTGGGCTACACAGCATGGAGCCTCGCGACAAGGCAAGCAGATGAGTTGTGCAGCAAGGGGCAGCGCGAACACAAGCAACGCACATTACAGCCTCGCAGGAGGAGGCTGAGTGCACATCAGCCTATCACCAATCGGCTGCGCTACATCAGTAGTGTGCACGGGTCGCACGCCATCAGCGCTTGTGTGCAAGATCCATAGGCAAACGGACGCATGGGCCGCACACAACATAACCCAGCGATATGGGTAATCAATTATCGAAAATGTGTTATACGATACGCGATATGTATCTTACGATGCGGAATATATCATACAATATTGTTGATATTTTTATATGCTTAATTCTAACTAATTATTAAAAAATTTATTTTTTATTATTTTTTTGAGTTCAAACATGAAAAATTATTTTTTATGAGTTTCAATGTTTATATTTTAAACAAAAAAATATTAAAAAAATCAAGTTTCCTTTTGACTTCCACAAGATAAGTGTTTTAAAATTTTTAATTAATAAATTAATATAAAAATATATATTATTAAAGAATATCTTGACAATTTAATTTAAAAAATTAATAATCTTTTCAACTTATATCTTATAATTTTCAATTTTGTTTAAAATATAATTTTTAAAATTTTTTATTTTATATAAAAAATTTTTATAATTAATTTTATAATTTTTATTATATTTTACTATATATTATAATAATTAAAATTAAAAAATAAAATTTCAATACACGTATGCATTTCAATTTCACAACTATGATGGCGATCACTCCAGTGCCCCAAATCATTCTCGAACGTGTCGAGAGACTTGTTAGAAAGCAATCCCACTAAGTCTGGGCCCTCATCCCTTAAAGCAATCCTTCCTCTTGGGTTGAGCTCCATCTTGAGCAGGGTTAAGGTGGACAGAGTTCTTGCAAGGTGCAAAAAGACCTGTTTTACTTCTATCTTTCATCTCGTCGTGGTCATAACTCTTAGCACCCGCAAGAACAAGTCCATTATTACAACTTAAAAATGCACACCAAACCAAAAACCCAATGAGCTTATCTGACCAAAGAGAGTTTCCCAAATTTATCTTTATCAAATTCGTTCGTTCGGCATGAAGCGTGATTGACAAAAACTTATCAACGAATTAGTGTAGATTTCAGCCGTATGTAAAGATCATCTAGTTTTGAATTGTATTTAAGAAAGCTGTGTTGATCCCGCAGGTCTTTTCTAACTCTTTTGGTTAAACTAGCTGCTTAACCATCAATTGTTAACGCATATTTCTACCTTTTGCTTTAAGATAAATCATCATTGTTTATCTAGCCAGCAAAAAAGCAACCCATTGTTTGAAAGATTCGGGTCCTCTATCCACCTTTAAAGCTAATTCTCGATGACCCCTTTTTTTTCAATAGGAGGGGACAACATTGATTTCAGAGGGTTTGTTTTTGAATGGAAATGCTGACAACTGGAATGGATTACAAGGCATTGGTGTTTGCTTGATTGAGGCAGAGTACGTACTTCTCCAAGTTCCCCTAGTGTATAATTTGCTAAACATAACTTCCGGCCTATCCTCATTGTGTAATTCATCAATGCCATTGACTGGTACTTGACCTGTTGACCAGGTAGTAAGGATTAGGTAGCAACATCGTTGGGCCCGATTTGACGCTGAACTTACAGTGTTCAGACGAGTTTAGCTTCAGCTCCCAGCTCTTGTTGGTAATGGTACGACTTTATTTAAAGATATACTCTGTTCTTCCCGAGTCCCGTGAAAGTTTCCAGCTAGCTTGATATTGAAAGATCCCAATTTTTAAATTGTTGTAGATAAGATACGATTTAAAGATTCATCCACTTCTTCTAACAAAAAGAATGGCCCTTGTTTGGAAGAATTGCATAACCAATCGTTTTTACTGAAAGCTAGAACCACCCCTAGACTGTCTTATCTTCCCACCATGCGCATCCGAGAAGTCAGAAAAAGCTGTGGGTGGGGGGGGCGGGGGGAATAGAAAACATTGGAATTCGAAAGAATCCCATCACTGTGTTTCATATGCCATGTTCTGGGGTTCAACTAACAGTGCGAAAGGGTGTAATAATGGTTGAACTATAAAAAGGATCGTGAACACCGCCCATGAAAGGAGACAAACCCAACTTTTTTACTCACATTCCCAACCCAGCACAGCCTCCTGTCAAAGATAGAGAGATCGAAATGAAACAAAATGGTTCATAAACTTGTCAAATGAGAAAAGCTTTTGGTTTCCTCGAACGGTTTTTCTGTCGAACAAGTCCACGAGAAGCATTTGGTTACATTCCCACTTTCTCAAGGCAACAAAGTCACTTTTTGTTTGTTCCCTTTGCCTGGAAATGGACCAACTCGTGGAGTCACTCACAGGGAACAGCTCTGTCTTTGTGGCAAATGCAAGAGCTAAGCTTCCCGAGAATCCCTAGTTTCAGCCATTTGTGTTAGTAAGGGATATATAGGCTAACTTGTGACAGAATAATTTTTTTTTTGGTGTTATTTTGCCTTTTACCACCTTTTAGTATGGTAGGTGCCTTCCTTTCAAAGTTTCAACAAAATTGAAGCCTTGGGGGAGGGATGGGTCCTGGAGTGCCATGTTGTAATTTGGAAAAAATTTTCATGAATTAAAGTATGATTTATGCGCTGTAGACGGGTTAAATATAAAATATTTATGCATGCAATTTGTGGAGTCTATATCTCTACAACTCACATGCATAGTTTTAGACTCTTTTTGCAAATATTGTTCAACTTTTTTTAATATCTTCTAAAATTGACACGTGTTAAACGAATAAATCTATTTGAAACTACTTTCATGTTATAGATTTTATTGCACTTTGGAATAACCTGGCAGTTACAAAGACAACGTTTTAGATATTAGTTGTTAAATATAATAAAATGTGAAGTTCAAAGTTTAGGTGATGACATATTTTTTAATATTTGCATGTTTAAATATTTTTATATTTCAATAACGTAATAGAAAAGAAAATTATTAAAAACAAGATAGTTAAAAGTTTGCTCTAATTGGAAAAGTATGGCCTCAAGCACTGCATCAATAATTGGAAATTTGGGCATTAAACTCACTTAATACAGTTTACTATACGGAATCCAATTAATTCCCCATTTTATCCCCACTTTATATTTTCCTCATCGTTTGGAGGATGGATGGAGAACGCGATAAGGGGGGAGGGCAAAATAGGAAAGTAAAAGATTAGCAAACAACAAATAATAATATTTTAATGAGTAGATCGCCCTCAATTTCTCCTCTTTTAATTGTTGAGCAGAGGAAGAAACAGAAGGCCCGAGGCCGTCATCGTCATCATCAGCCAAAGCTAAAAAGAGTCAAAGTCCTCAAAGCCCGAGGCCCTTCTCTCCTTCGAATCTCCTTCTCTCTCTCTCTCTCTCTCGAAATCCTCCTTTCTCTTTTTGTAGATTTCCCCCCCCTTCCCTTTTTTCTCTTCGAAATCCCTAATTTTTATCAGAGGTACGCTGTAGTTTCTTTGTCTTGCAATCTCAATCTTCTTCATGTATATTTTTGTTTCCCATTTCATCCCCGGCTCCTGACATTATTTTAGGAATTTGCCATCAAAACCCTAGCTTCACTAATCCGCAAAGAGGAAATAAGAAAGGGGGGTCACTGTTTTTAGCTTATTAGCTTATCTTTCTTGCATCTGGCATAAACCCTAGTTCTCATTTCTGGCTTCGAATTTGTATTGCTTGTAGTTCTAGAATCGATGATTTGGTTTCTAATTTTACCCTTTTGCATGTAAAAGTAAATAGCTTGGGTTCAGTTCAATTTGGGGGTTTGCTGGATTCTGGAGATTTGGTTCATAACTGAATCAAAACGGTGAGTTTTTAGTACTTTCTTGTGTGTTTTTGATGGTAAACCGGATTGAGTCACCTGGGTGAGAAATATTTTGAATTTGACAAGTGTTGCTTATTTCTTTTGGTTTGTTTTTATAGATCAAAGTCATTTGATTATTTTTATGCTGTTGTTTTACTTTATGTATTTCGAGTTCGTGGTTCCAGATTGCATTTCCAAAGTAATGGGAGCTGTTTTACTTTAAGTTCAAAATTTAATAATTTGTGAAACATTTTAGAGTTTGAAGTTTTGTTTGGAATCATATTTTTGCAAATTCAAGCTAATGTCTTATATTGTTATTCGAATGGTATGATACGGCTTTATAAGTTTATTGGATCAGTTCTTAGCAACAGAAAGGTATTGAGTTTAATTCATATGATATTCAGAGTTTTGCTAAACTGTTATTCAAACTGGTAAAAACATGAATTTACCATTTCCGTGGTTGGCATGGTTTAATTTTGACCTATGCGTTATCTGTTAATCGGTCATTGCTTTAAGCTCTAAACTTATGTTTTCATGTTTAAAGCCCTTCTATGGCAGAAATGATCAGAATTCCATCTCCTAGAACCTCTAATCATTGAATTATTTATCCATAGCTTTTATTTTATTTCTCTTTTTTTGAGCGTGAGTAGTAAGGCAGTTTATATGTATATAATTTGATTTCTCTAACCACATGAAACTAGAAGCTAGAACTGTTACATTGGAGTGGGTGCATAAATGTGACAATTTTAAATAATCAAACGCTATATCTTAGCTTTGATGACTTAAGTTTGACTGACGTACATACCTTGTTTCAAAAAACTATATTGGAGATTGAAATTGTGATTTCCATTCCTCAATGGTGTGCTTTATTTGTCTCTTAGTCTCTGAAAACATAAAATAAAATTTTCTGCAAGATGTGATGTTTTACTTTCAATGTTCTTGACAGGTCAGAGGGACGTTGATAAGCTAATTTGTAGATTTCATGTTTCAGGTGGCACACTCAGTGAATCTATTCTTTCTCAGTTTTTATTTTATCAAATTAGTATAAAATTACTTATGCCTTACATGGTGATTCTAATCTCTAATTATTATTATATTTTTGCATGAATGCAGTTTGGATTTGACATTTCTTCTTAGGATTTGATGCTGGAAGCAGTATGCCGCTGATAGTTGGGAGAAATGCAAAGGTATCATGCTGCCAGCTGCACTAGTGCAGTTAATAACAGTGGAATAGGAGGAGCTTCTGCTAGGGATACTGCCCGGGTTGACTCATCTTCTTTAGCACCTAACTTCTCGTTAAATTCTAGGTAACTGTTTCAAAATACCATATTCTTTTGTGCTCTGTTCACAGATGTCTTCTTGAATTGACTTCATTTATTGATTCTAAAACTAGTGTTTGATTATATTTTAGGATATCTTTCTTTGATGTTTTTTCAATTAATGACCACATGTTTAGAATGTTCTGCTCTCACTCATAAGTAGAACACTATGAATCTGGATTAGTAGTTCTAAGTCTAGCACGGAGCACTTTGCCCTTTTCTCTGATTGTCTGATTGTGCTTAAGCTACATCCCATTGTTATAGTGGCGGCTAATGCTTGCATATCTCCCAAAGCTTTCTTGTTTCTTCAAATTATTTTTTGTATTTTTTTAAAAATAGAATTGTGATACTAAGATGAGACTGTTAATTTATTTTATTCAGAGAACATATTTGTCTTTACCATTTTTTGTTAGAGCTGTATAGTTGTCTAAATGTGGAAAATACACTTTTTCTGCCTGGTCTTCTAAATTATTCTCATTTTATAGGCGGCAAACTCAGCTATCACCCTACAAATTAAAGTGTGACAAGGAACCTCTTAATTCCAGGTAATTTCTGCAATTGAATCTAAGCATTTGTTGTTGTGTTAGTTATTTATGCTGAATGGCTTCATTATGACTTTTGATTGTTTTATGATAATGGATTGCAGCTGACTAAGTTGATGATTTATCCTACTGCTTTGATTTTTAAAGTTGTCTATGTTTTGGAATGTAGTTTTTATCTTGAATACTAGTAAATTTATTGTTGTTCCTTTTCAGACTTGGGCCACCGGATTTTCATCCTCAGTCCCAAACTTGTCCCGAGGAGACTCTCACTAGAGAAAATGTGCAGCAGGGATATAAGGAGACTATTGATGGGCTGGAGGTATGATCTTATGATTGATTTGTTCACTACTGTTTCTTTGGTTTTTGTTTTTCTGCAACATCCATGTCGGTGGATGCTGTGCTGCATGTAACTGGTGGGTTAACTATGGTTTCTACGCAAATCTATATGAATTGCAATCATATCTTTTTTCTTGAACTTAATGCTCAGGACACCATACTTTACCTTTTTGAGCTAAGTAAAATGATTCTAATTGGGTCTTCATGAAAATGAAAAGATTGGATCTGGTTTTTTGTTGTTTGTTACTTATAATTGAAGTTCAAGATGCTATTTTTCTCTATTCTGCGAGAGAGGAATTGGGCAGGTGCTATTATTCAGATATATTAACACTTTCATATGGTTTGGGAACTAATGTCTGCATATGCTCCAAGCTTGGGATTCTCATTATTTTGTGGCAGTCTCTGTCAAACCATACTTTCTTCTTCTTCTTCACGTTGCTGTTGATACAATTATTAATTTGCCTTTTTGCTGTTGATACCTTTTTGCTGTTGATACAATTTGGATACTATCTGTGTGAGTGCTGCTTTGAGTTGACGCTGAGATTGCAACTTAGTAATATTTTAAAGCCATATGAAATTTGAACCTCCAATTTTTTTAAGATAATTTTGGGATATTAACTTTCTTTCCATTAGCTTCTTTTATTGCCATCATTTTGTCTAACATGGTTCTACATGCTGTCCGTTCAGGATTCTAAAGAGATTTCATTGACTCAGGTTCAGGCTTTTACAAAGCCAGTTGTCTTAAAATGCAGAGACGTAAGTTACTTGATTTGTGATGTTATGATTGTCAAGTAGGCTGTTCTAGGCATATATAATTTTTCGTGAAATATAACCGTCAGTTTTGAACTTCTTAAGAAGTAATTCGTTTCTCTTCTCTGCAGGCAATTAGAAAGCGTCTAAGAGCTATCAATGAGTCTCGTGCTCAAAAGCGGAAGGTTTATCTGCGTCCTTAGTTGTTTCTTGTTTCTGTACTTATATTATTGTTTTTTTGTTGGTTCTTCTTGAAGGTTCTGGATCTTCGGTATAGAAATTAAGGCTCTATATTTTTCTTGTCAGGCTGGTCAAGTTTATGGTGTCCCTCTTTCTGGTACACTGTTAAGTAAACCTGGGGTTTTCCCTGAACAAAGGCCGTGCAATGAAGATTTCAGAAAGAAATGGATTGAGGTAGGTTCATTCTCCGCTAAGTTCATGACTGGTTGCATATAACTTTGTTCCTTATTTTTTTTTTCATTGATTTCGAGTTCTTAAAACTTGGTGAAAGGCAGAAACAAATTTTACACATTAACTCAATGAGTTGCCTTCATAAACTACATATGCAATCGTGATAAACTTTTCTTAGACAAAAGACATGCCATGTGGCAAAATATATTATGATTTGGAATCAACTTGGACCTCAGTTGTTGAGGCCTGATGATCAATGATTAATGTTTTTTGATTACTTGCTTAAAAGAATTCTTTGACGAAGTTAAATGAAGTTTGTAGTTTTTAATTGTTGTGCTCTTATTTTTCTCAGGGCTTATCACAACAACACAAACGTTTGCGTTCTTTGGCTGATCAAGTTCCTCATGGGTATAGGAAGAAAACACTAATAGAAGTTCTTATCAGGAATAATGTTCCATTGCTGAGAGCAACTTGGTTTATCAAAGTAACTTACCTTAACCAGGTATTGTCATCAGTCGATCATGCTCTTCGTAATTTTACTAGGCTACTCTTATTATTGGAAGGTAGCAGATTATGGTTATCTTTTGCAGGTTCGTCCTGGTTCTGCAATTTCTCCTGGAGCACCTGATAAAGCTCAACTATCTCGTACAGAGCTCTGGACAAAAGATGTTATTGATTACTTGCAGACCCTTTTGGATGAATTTTTTCCAAAAAGTAATTCTCATTCTACTCAACACAGTAGAGATCGATTGCCACAAATGCTTTATGCTGGTTCTTTGCAGCATAGGAGTGATTCAGCATCAACAATCCTTGATGGTGAGGAGCCGTCCCTTCACTTTAAATGGTGGTATGTGGTGCGACTCTTGCAATGGCATCATGCAGAAGGACTTGTTCTTCCTTCTCTTATCATCGATTGGGTTCTGAATCAACTGCAGGTATTGAATTTTGGTGTACTCAACCCTCAGTGCAAATACTTTGTCCACCTTTCTGAGATGCACGTTCGTAGAGGAATCATGAGAGTAATTATGAGCTTATGAACACTCTTTCTGGTTTCTGATTGTCATATTTGTTCTCTTCCAGGAAAAGGAATTGCTTGAGATTCTGCAGTTGCTATTGCCTATCATATATGGAGTTTTAGAAACCATCATTCTATGTCAGACATATGTACGCAATCTTGTAGGCATAGCTATTCGCTTCATCCGCGAGCCTTCTCCTGGTGGATCTGATCTGGTTGATAATTCCCGGAGGGCATACACAATATCTGCTCTTGTTGAGATGCTTCGCTATTTGATACAGGCTGTACCAGATACATTTGTTGCTTTAGATTGCTTTCCTTTACCAACTTATGTAGTCTCACATGCATTGAATGATGGTGGTTTTTTATCAAAGTCATCGGATGATGCAGGGAAAATAAAAAATAACTCAGCAGATGCTTATGTTCTCAGAGGTAAAGGATTTGATTCTCAATGCCAATCATTGTCATTTGATCATGTTGTTTCCACTATCCAGAAATGTGCCGATAATCTTGCTAAAGGCACGAGTGTTGGATATCCTAGCCAAAGTGTGGCTAAAGCTGTGCAGACCCTGGATAAAGCTCTTTTGCAAGGAGATCTAATGGAGGCTTATAAAAATATCTTTGAAAATCCGTGTGATGGAACAGTAGGTGAAGGTTGGGTTGCAGAAATCAGTCCATGCTTAAGATCATCATTAAAATGGATTCAAACTGTGAATTTGTCATTGATTTGCTCTGTTTTTTTACTTTGTGAGTGGGCAACATGTGATTTCAGAGACTTCCGGACTGCTCTGCCCCGTGACTTGAAGTTCACTGGCAGAAAAGATTTTTCACAGATATATCTTGCAATTCAGCTTTTGAAGCTGAAGATAAGAGAGTTGCAGAATCCACAACACAAGAATGGCAGGGCTTCTGGAGGTAACAGCACTGCAAAGAATATCAGTCATCAGAATAATTATTCTTGCTGGAATTTGTCAGGAAATCTATTTGAAGTTAAAAGCAAAGTAAGAGGTGTGGATGGAAGAAATAGTAATTCTTCAGATATATTTGACAGCCCAGGTCCTCTGCATGATATTATTGTGTGCTGGATCGATCAACATGAAGGGCATAAAGGAGAAGGTGGCAAGCGCCTTCAGCTTTTTGTTTTGGAACTCATACGTTCTGGAATCTTTTATCCTCAGGCATATGTGAGGCAACTAATTGTTAGTGGAATTATTGATACAAATAGACCTGTCAGTGACTTTGACAGAAGGAAGAGGCACCATCGAATCTTGAAGCAGCTTCGTGGGCAGTTTATGCGTGATGCTTTGGAAGAAGCAAGAATTGCTGAAGGCTCAGAACTACTGGAGGCTGTAAATGTCTACTCAAATGAACGCCGTCTTGTCCTTCACAGGCTTCTTTCTGATCAATATAATAATGCAAACAATGCTCATGTATCTGCTAAGAAGCGGAAGTATCATTCGACCTCTGGAAGGAATGGTGCTTCCCAAGCTGCAGGTGATCAGCAGAAAACTGTTCAGTCTTCAAAGGCCTTCATAAGAGAGGTGGACCTTGAAGAACTGAAGTCTTCCATCTCAGTCTTGTTGCAATTCCCTAGCTTGTCTTCTACATCTGCAGATAGTGGAGTGGATGAGTCTCAAGGGAGTGTCAAGAGGCCTATTGGGTCAGCATGCAACAAGATGGACTTGTTTGAAGTTACTCCTGGGTGTGAAGATTGTAGAAGGGTGAAAAGACAGAAATTATGTGAGGAAAAAAGTTCATATCTTCAAGTACCTTCACCAATTCCATCAGATGACGAAGATACTTGGTGGGTGAGGAAGGGGCCAAAAAGCTTAGAGCCTTTCAAAGTTGATCCTCCACTTAAGTCAACGAAGCAAGTTTCTCGGGGTAGGCAAAAGACCGTGCGTAAAACTCAGAGTCTTGCTCAATTAGCAGCTGCTAGAATTGAGGGCAGCCAGGGAGCATCTACAAGTCATGTATGTGATAATAAGATAAGCTGCCCTCATCATAGAACTGAGGTGGAAACTTTGAAGCCAGTGGATGGGATCAGAATAACCCATTCTGGAAATATTATTTCCATTGGAAAGGGTTTAAAGCAGCTTCACTTTGTGGAGAAGAGGATAGTTACAGTTTGGTTGATATCTGTAGTTAGGCAGCTTGTTGAAGAGTCTGAGAAATCCGTGGCCAAGGTTGGCCAGTATGGCCGGCCTTTTGTTGTGGCTGATGAGAAGAGTCCTTTAAGGTGGAAACTTGGTGTGGATGAGCTATCAACTATCTTGTATCTAATGGATGTTTCTTGTGATTTACCTTCAGCTGTCAAATTTCTCCTTTGGTTGTTGCCAAAAGTTATTAGTAATCCCAGTCCTACCATTCAAAGTGGGAGAAACATTCTAATGGTGCCCAGGAATGTGGAAAATCATGCATGTGAAGTCGGGGAGGCATACCTTTTATCATCTCTCCGAAGGTGAATTATAATTTTTCTGCTTTTTTTTGCCTTTAAAAAAAATTGTTCCTGCAAATCATCTCTGGCTATCTAATTTGTTCTTCTTTAGATTAGTGCCCATTGCATGCAGTATGTTTTATTTCACCTGCTGTGTCTTGATCGTATTTTAGCAATAATTTTAGCCTCTTTTTCCTCCTAAATTTGGGCTTTCGAAAACTGTTTAGGATGCTTTTGCGTCTCTATTATTGACTGCATGCAAGCATTTCAACAATATATTTTTTCTTGGTTTATGTTGGAGTAGACTAACATCTAGGAAATCATTTTGGAGATTGGGAGAACTTCAACATATTTCCCTGAAAGTTATTGTTATTGCTCAGGATTGGATTATCAAGCCACTGGATCTGTCATGGCTAAACCTTTTGTCATTCCTCTCTATGTTTTGGCTTGATGTTCATATGTATGTCTTACTTGTTCAGTGATGAATTTTGTTCAGGTATGAGAACATACTTATTGCGGCAGATCTTATTCCTGAAGCTTTGGCGGCTACAATGCATCGTGCTGCAGCAGTTATGGCCAGTAATGGAAGAATTACTGGTTCAGGAACCTTAGTTTTTGCTCGGTATTTGTTGAAGAGGTATGGCAATATTGCCAGTGTAATTGAATGGGAGAAAAATTTCAAGGCAACTTGTGATAACAGACTTTTGTCTGAACTTGAATCTGGACAAGCACACGATGGAGAGTTTGGGTTACCACTTGGAGTTCCAGCAGGGATTGAAGATCCTGATGATTACTACCGTCAAAAGCTAAGTGGTGCACGGTTATCCAGACTGGGCTTGAGCATGAGGGATATGGTTCAGCGTCATGTTGATGATGTCTTGCACTATTTCTTAGGTAAAGAGAGAAAACTTTTTGCAGCCAATGCACCAAAAGGTCCTGCCATTGAAAAAGGGGATGATGGTTATCAAGTAGCGCAACAAATTACAATTGGACTACTGGACTGTATTCGGCAGACTGGAGGTGCTGCTCAGGAAGGGGATCCAGTTTTGGTGTCTTCTGCTATTTCTGCCATTGTTACCAATGTTGGACCAGCCCTAGCAAAGATACCTGATTTTACTGGTGGCAGCAATTATTCAAATTATCAGCCACCTATGAATTCCTTGAATTTTGCCAAGCGCATCTTGCGCATTCATTTAATTTGTCTATGCCTACTGAAGGAAGCACTTGGAGAGCGCCAAAGCCGAGCATTTGAGCTAGCTCTTGGAATAGAGGCTTCTTCTGCTTTAGCAGGAGCATTTGCTCCTGCAAAGTCCTCTCGAGGTCAGTTTTCATTGGCTCCTGATGCTCCTGATACTAATGCAAACATATCTGGTGACAATTTGAACAGTTCTGCCAAAGTGACTCTTGGGAAGACAACCAAAATGGTAGCTGCTGTTTCTGCTCTTGTCATTGGGACTGTAATTCATGGGGTTATTAGCTTGGATAGATTGGTATCAGTCTTAAGATTAAGGGAAGGTTTGGATGTTGTTCAGTTTGTAAGGAGCACAAAAACCAGTTCTAATGGTAATGCTCGATCTGTTGGGGCTTTTAAGGTTGACAACTCCGTTGAAGTTTATGTGCATTGGTTTCGGTTGTTTGTTGGTAACTGCAGAACTGTTTGTGATGGACTGGTTTTGGAACTCTTGGGTGAACAATCAGTTGTGGCTCTTTCAAGGATGCAGAGATTGCTCCCTATCAGTTTGGTCCTTCCACCGGCTTATGCAATATTTGCATTTGTTATATGGAAGCCCTTCATTTTGAATAGTAACATCGCAAGTCGTGAAGATGTCCATCAATTATATCAGTCTTTAACAATGGCCATTGGCGATGCCATAAAACACATACCTTTTCGAGATGTTTGTATGAGGGATAGTCGTGCTTTTTATGATATTGTGGCTGCAGATACCACTGATGCTGAGTTTGCAGGCTTGCCAGAGTTGAATGGGAAATCAATGGCCTTTGTCCCTCTCCGTGCAAGGCACTTTCTGAATGCTATAATTGATTGCAAGATGCCTTATTCAGCTTTTTCACAGGATGATGGGAATCGGGTTTCTGGACATAGCGAGTATAAAGCACTACGTGCAGAGAGTGAGTCAAATCTTTCAGATAAGCTTGTTCGTGCATTGGACACTCTGCAACCAGCTAAATTTCACTGGCAGTGGGTTGAGTTAAGGCTTCTTTTAAATGAACAAGCACTCATTGATAAGACGAAGAACCAGGAGATGTCCTTGGTAGATGCTGTTCGGTCTTCCTCACTCAGTTCTGAAAGAGCTTCTCCTTCTGAGAATGAGAAAGTTTTAATTGAGATCATCTTTACCAGATTGTTGGTCAGACCTGATGCTGCTCCCCTTTTCTCAGAGCTGGTTCATCTTTTTGGAATGTCATTAGAGGATTCAGTGTTGATGCAGGCTAAATGGTTCCTAGGGGGCCAGGACGTTCTTTTGGGACGGAAGACTGTTAGGCAACGGCTCATTAATTTTGCTGAAACTAACTGCCGTTCTACGAAGACCCAGTTTTGGAAGCCTTGGGGATGGTCTTACTCTGGTGTTGACCCTGTGACAAACAGGGGAGAGAAGAAGAAGTACGAAGTCACCTCTCTCGAGGAAGGTGAAGTCATTGAGGAGGGCATGGAGTCAAAAAGGTATTTGAAGGGTTCTAGTCAAGTTGATATTGAGGGTTCCAGTATCAGCCTGCAGCATGTAACCGAGAAGGCTTTCTCTGAATTGGTTCTTCCTTGCATAGACCAAAGCTCTGATGACTCGCGCAACACCTTTGCAAGTGATTTGATAAAGCAGTTTAACACTATTGAGCAACAAATAAACTCAGTTACTCGTGGCATAAGCAAGCAGACTGGAACAGCCTCTTCTGGAATTGAAGGTTCTACTAATAAAGGAAGCAATCGCAAAGGTATAAGAGGTGGTAGTCCTGGATTGGCTAGACGAACAACGGCAACGGCATCTGCGGAGTCTGTGCCTCCTTCCCCTGCAGCTTTGCGAGCTTCTATGTCACTGAGGTTGCAGTTTATTGTCAGATTGCTTCCAATCATATGTGCAGATGGGTAAATACATGATTTATTTGGCCCCTGATTTCAGTTTATTCCACTTTAATCTGAGCATGTTCAGGTTCTATGCTTACTGGCTTCCTGTTGTGTGAGACCTTTTTCTTTGTCCAATAAACTAAGAAGATTTTCTTGTTGCTATGAATTTGTCAGTTTTTTATTGTTTAATTTTCTTGTTTCTATGTTATCTAGTAGTATGTGAATCATTCTGCTGGAAATGAATATGCTCTGTACTTATTTTTTGTTTCCTTTATGAATTCCTCATGGTTAATTGTGTTTTATCTCATTTTGGTCTCAACTGAAGCCTTTCAAGTTTCATTTATTCTGTTGGAAAGGGGTCTGATAAATTAGCTTTAATGGTGCTATGTTATTTATCTAATACACTGACTCTTTTTTTCAGTACTTGTAAATTGATGCCTTAGTTTTTCAGGGCAAGAATATTTAATTTTGATGGCTTGTTGCTGTTTAACAACTGAAGTAATTCTTTTTTAATCTCTAATTCATAAAATTCTTAAATTGGAAACTTCACTGCTTAGATGTGTTTTATATCGGATTTGAACATCTTTTCCAATATCTTATTGCGAGGAAATCCTTTTTTTATTTAACTTCTCGTCCCTATTGTTCACAGTTGAATGTGAGGATCTTTTTCTTTATGGGAGAGTGCCAGGAGCATCAATTTTATTTTTTTTTTTTAGTTTGGTCAATTTTTATGCTCCATTGACTTTTGGTCTTCTACTGGAAACCCATGTTTTTTCAGTTGTTTCATCCTAATTAGTGTTCATGTTATTGTGTAGCCTTGATGCAACAATGTCATGAAATCTGCATTATCTCATTTCAAGTATTTGACACCAAGATTCATTTGTTGGATTCTTCAGGGAGCCATCAGCACGAAACTTGAGGCACATGCTTGCCTCTGTAATACTTCGATTGCTTGGAAGTAGGGTTGTGCATGAGGATGTTGACCTATCTTTTAATCTCGTACAGTTGAAGAGGGACATGGAGCTGATGTCATCTGTTGCATGGTCGGAATTGTGTGGAGATTGTCTTTTTGATCGCTTACTGTTAGTTCTACATGGGTTGTTAAGCAGTTCTCAGCCAAGTTGGCTAGGGTCAAAGCCTGCCTCCAAACATACCAGTGAATTTGCCAAGGATTTCTCTGGATTTGACCGTGAGGCAGTGGAGAGTTTGCAGGTTTGATCTCTATCATTGCACTAATTGAATTTACTGCAGCTTGTTTTGGTAAATAAACCTAAATTTATTAGAAATGAGAGCTTTCAATGTCCTTTTTTGTTTACTCCTCAAATTAAACATTTTATTATACTCTACCTCGCAATGGTAGACTATATCAATTTACTTGGGGGCAAAATGTGGTAATTTTTCCTGTCTGCCTAGTGGTTGGAGCCTATTCATTATCTGAATATTTATGATTGCAATCATAACGAGTATGTATGCTATGACTTCATGGTTTCTTAGCGGTTGAAGGTTTGGGGGATATTTTGGTCTTTTTAGCATTATAAAGGTACAAGAAAATTGCAGTAACATTGTGTGGAAATGAGGTCCATGAGGTGTTTGTTGCTGTACCTGTAATATAATTAGTAATGAGAAATATAGATGCATGCAACGTGCTAAAGATGTACAGTCATCATAGGCACTTTTAATTTGACTGAATGTCTTTTTTGTTGGATTGTGGACTTTGAAATTTTTCTTCCATTCCAAAATGGGTGTTTCTAGTTGTGGTTTATGATTTTATCATGACAAGTTTTGTGAAATATTCAATCCACAAGTTTTTGAGTTTTTGAGATTTCCTTTCTGTCAATGTAGAATGCAAGTGATTTTAATTGCTCTTGTGAAATGATTTAGTCCTTCTCATGAATATAAAGTTTTTAAGAATTCTTGCTGTATGTGTAGAAGTTATTATTTAAATTCACCTCTGACACCGTTTTTCCTGTGGGTGCAGAATGAATTGGATTCTATGCAATTGCCTGAGATGATTAGATGGCGTATCCAAGCAGCAATGCCAATATTATTTCCTTCTTTTCGCAATTTGATCTCCTGCCATCCACCTTCTGTCCCAATTGGTGCTCTTAGTTCGCTTCAGCCCAGCATCTTTGTCCCTGGATCTTACGTTGGAAATTTGAACGCACCTCAAAGACAGGTTCCATTGGCACGAAATGCAAATAATATCCTGGGAAAGTCCAAGTCGATGCCATTACTTCAGGAATATGATATGGAAATTGACCCATGGACACTTTTGGAAGATGGAGCAGGATCAGGCCCATCTTCAAATAGCACTGTTGTCATTGGCAGCAGTGACCATGCTAATCTTCGAGCTTCTAGTTGGCTTAAGGGGGCTGTAAGGGTGAGACGGACAGATCTCACGTATATCGGGGCTGTGGATGATGATAGCTGATTGTAGGTGTGACTTCATTTTTGATATGGTATGAGGTTAGCAAACCCCCCACAACAGGAAATTTAATGTGTCATTTGTTGTGCATAATTGGCATCAAGGTCACATCTCTTGCCCCTCCCATGTTGAATAGTGGAGGGAGAATTGTTGGGAGGGGCATTTTTTCACATCGGGAGGGTGAGGGGTTGGGGAGGTCTGCTGCGCATGCCGCAGCCCTTGTAGAAAAAGATGTGCTCATGTAGGCCATCTATTCAGCTTGCAGAGCCTGTACAAACTACTAACGTTTTAATGCCCTCCACTATCTGGGCCGTATAGTCACAGGTACGGTTCCAGAGGCTTTGTTGTATATATAGAGATAATTGTTTACGTTTACCAATTGATCAAGTAAAATATCTCAAGAATGACATGTAGCTGTTCCATTGCTAATCAATCTTTGGCTCCTCGTTGCCCTCTCTCTCTCTCTCTCTCTCTCTCTCTCTCAAACACACATTTATAGAAATACATTGAATACTTATGTCGGAGTCGAGCATGTGTAATTTCATTCTTGCATATATATGTACATGTGCGAAGATTAAAATTTCCTAAGGTGGAGTGGCATTGAGTTATTCACTTCTGTAACTTATATGAGATGTAGGTTGAAGAAATGTTTCGATAATTCTTAAAACATCAGCTTCTGCATACTTAAATGATGGCGTCATTGTTGGATAAGGCCTAATCTACAACTGATGAATGGTTGGGTCACAGGACCACCTTACTTAGAATTTGTAATATGTATCAGTTATGGGTATTTGTACAAATACAATTGCATTTTTCTTGATTTTAACAGATGTAAGACTTCTGGTTGTTTCAACTTTAATTACTATGGTAGCTGCTGGGCAATGATGCAATGTTAGCAGTTAGATGTTCCTGTTTATGCAAATAAAAGTCTGAAGATAGATGGTTTTGTAGATGAACTCTAAATCCTATGGTACTCTTTAGTTTTGGTTCTAGGTCAAAGGTAGTTGCCTTGTGAGGATATGAGCTAACATTCGTGAGTTAGTAATGTTTTTGGTTCATTTTCAAAGAATATGGAGCACATCTCAGCTGTTCCAAGTTAATCTTATCTCAAATTCTGAAAATCAGGCAAGGTAACTTGATTGATCTTGAGAGTAAATTAATAGGCCTTAATCCAATGGTCCAAAATGAAATTCTTCCCTCGCAAACGGACACCAATGTATTCCAAGAGTCCAATTGGCTACTTACCCAAACTCTTAACCATATATTAGTAGGTTTCAATCTCTGAATGCCCATAGCATCCTCTTCATCAATGGTTGAAGAAGAATTACTCTTTGATTATCACTAATAGCTCAAGCTTTTACGGCCAAGTGTATTTGATTTTCATCTTTCTTGCATCTCCAGCCCTCCATCCCTGAATATCTTTACGGTCTCCATTGGCTTCGGAATTTTCGAGATCGAAGGATTCATAAATAATTAAATATATTTTGATTCTAATATCATGCACTACATATATTTGTCTAAATCTCAATTCAAAAAACTAATTAATTAAGTGATCTTTATGTTTATATATTTAAAATCTCTTAAAACAAGCAGATTTCATTCTACTTTTTATTTTTTATTTTTAACCAAAAAAGAAAGAAAGAAAAATCAAATACAAATAACAATAAGACATAAATATTAACCAAATAAAACCTTATTGATTGGATATACGCGAATTATAACCACATGATTTATGAGTCTATTGTAAAGTTCCTTCTAAAAATTTCAAGACTAAAATTTGGCTCTCGACTTAGAACAAAAAATAAAAAAAAAAATAAAAAGGAATAAATAGGAAGACAGTTTTAAAATTCCGCTCCTTTCTTCTTTCTTTTAAAAATTTCTCTTCCTTTATCTCCTCTCTTCTCTTTGCTTCGTTCTGCTACCTATTCCCCTGCATCTCTCCTTCCTTTATTCTTCTCATATGTAAGATTTAACTTTACATATGATATCAAAAATCTAAATTTGTGTGAAATTAAAAATCAACAAAATTTAATAAATTTATTTTGTAAAATTGCATATTGGAGTATATGTTTTTTTTTTATCCTCGGATTCCTATTTTCCGATTTGATGTTTCAGATTTGAACATAAAATTCAAAATTTAGTTTTTAACTAATCAGTTATATTTTATTTTATGTGTTTTAATTCAAATTGCTATCTTAAAATTAAGTAATATATGTTATAGGATTGATATCTAAAGTTAAATTAAATATAATATAAGTGTTTTGCAACAGATTTAAAAGAAACTTAAAACGTGGATTTATCTAGATCTTTGGAGTGTTATGCATGGGTTTTGTAAAATTAGCATCTAATTACGTGTCAAAAAATCTAAAAACATACAAAAAAATGTACTAAAAACTTAATTAAGTGTCAAAAAATCTAAAAACATATAAAAAAATGTACTAAAAATGTGTGAAAAGCATGGCGAGTGTGGGGCTTAAGGAGGTTTGATTTCAACTCCATTTTGATTACTTTTTTCAACATTTTATATGATTTTAAAATAATAATGATTAAATAGTTATATATTTTATGGATGTTTATATATTTTTCTCTAATTTATATGTATGTATTTTATAAAATTTATTTTAGTATAAAATATTTTGGCAAAAATGGGTAAGAGAAAAAAAAAATTTTAGCATAACAACTTTATATAACATAGCGTCTGCAAATTAAATTATATACCTCAAAACTTACCTAGTGAAGTTTTTTTACAAATACATGAAAATAAATTCAAACATTGACAATGACAATCGAATATTTACTGAGTATTACTATGCTATTTAGTCTTTTTATTTTTCTTGCGTTGCTTTCTTAAAAAGCTTTCACCATCATTTAAAGATTAACAATATGAAAATAAATTCAAATATTGACAATGACAATCGAATAGTTACTAAGTATTTTTGTACAATTTAGATCTTATATTTTTGCGGGTTGATTTCTTAAAGAGCTTTCGTTATCATCTGAAAACTGTGCAATAACTATGGCCACAAACGAAATTAGAAGATCGATATATTCAAAACCTTCTTCGAATTTTTCAATCTTAAAGACATGGTAAGAACATTTTGCTCTTCATTGTATAATTACAGTTGGCACACTATTAGTGACTGTAGCAATTTCAACATCTTCATTCTTAAAAATCAATAATGTTTTACTCTTAAGCTTGATTGTAGAATTGTAGTAGTTGGCACACAATTATTTACCGTAGAAATTTCAACCTCTTTATGTGTCGATATGTTTGCTACGACAGATATATGGATAAGATGGATCAATGTGTTTGTTCCAGCAAGTATAGGGACAAGATAAGAAATACTTGAATCCTTAAGTTTATTCAAAGCAACCTACAATTTATTTTTAGACTAGATAATCTCTTAAGGATATGTTCCCTACCTAGAATCATCATGAAGAGAAAAGACATACCAAGAATCATTAAGTAGATAGAGAAAAAATAATAAAACCACAAAAAAACTATTCTTTATAATTCAAAATCCGTTTGTTGTTAAAAATTATAATAACGTATGTTATAATGGAATAATAATATGTTAAAATTTTCTATGTGAACTACTATTAAGTTGTAATTTCAATTTTGATACATGAGTTTTGTGAAATTATGTTTTAATTAAGTTTTTAGTAAGTTTAATTCCATTAAAAATAAAAAATAAAAAATTATAAAGAAAATTTGAAACAGACCTGTGGAGTATGTGTTCTCCTTAAACGTGTGAAAAACATATTAAAAAAGTGTGAAAAGAGGTTAAAAATGTATGAAAAGTGTGTTAAAAATGCGCAATGGTGACATGTGTGCTGTGTGTAAGGTTTATGGAGGTTCAATTTCGATTCTATGTTCACTATTTTTTCAAAATATTATATAACTTAAAAATAATTTTTATTTAATATTATACATTTTTATACATGTTTATATATATTTTTTAATTTATATACATGTATTTTATGAATTTATTTTATTATAAAATATTTTGACAAATATGATTAAAGAAAAAAAATTTTTGTTAACAAAGTTATATAATAGTGTCTTTTATCTAATAGATAATGCAAATTAAATTATATATAAAAAAATTTATCAATTAACATACAGTAAAAGCTTTTAAAAAGATAACATGAAACTAGACAAAAACATTAAGAATGACAATCGAAATACATACTAAATATCATTCCACAATTTAACCTTTTTTTTTTCACCACCACTTAAGATTGTGCAATTGCTGTAAACACAAACGCAATTAAAATATCAATGTTGAAAACCTTTTTCTAATTTTTCAATTTTAAAGACATGTTGAGGACATTTTGCTCTTGAGCTTGGTTGTAGAATTGCAGTAGTTGGCACACTATTAGTGATTGCAATAATTTCAACCTATTCATTCTTATGGATCAATGTGTTTGCTTCAATAGGTATAGGGCTAAGATGGGAAATATTTGAATCCTTAACTTTATTAAAATTAACACAGTTTAACTTTGGAGTAGATAATTTCTGAAGGTAAATGTTACATACTTAAAATCATCAAAAAAAAAGGAAAAAATAAAACCAAAGAAAAACTTTTCTTTGTAATCTTTGGTAAAGATGTTTCCAAAATTTGTTTATTGTTAAAAATCATGTATGTTATAACAGAACAGTAATAAATTGAAATTTTTTGTTATATGGATTAATATTAATTAGTACTTTTAGTTTTAATGCATGAATTTTTGTAACATTAGGATCTAATTAAGTTTTGATAAGTTTAATTGCTTTAAAAATGAGGAAAAAATTGAAAAATCTAAAAAGAATCTCCAAACAGACCTAGGGAGTATGTACTTTCCTTAAACGTATAAAAATATGTTAAAAATATGTGAAAAACATGTTAAAATGTACTAAAACGTGCAAAAAGCATACAAAAAATGTGTTAAAAACACGCAATGAGTGGTGCATGAGGCCTAAGAGGTTGGATTTCAGCTCCATTTTGAGTATTTTTTTCAAAATTTTTTTATTTTAAAATCATTATTATTTAATATTTATATCTTTTTATCCATATTTATATAGTTTCTTTAATTTATATGCATGTATTATGTAAACTTAGTTTATTATAAACTATTGTGGCAAAGATGGCTAAGAGAGAAAAATATTTTTTTGTATAGCACCTTTGTGTAACAAAATTATATATACTAACATCCTTCATCTAAATGATAATGGAAATTAAATTATATATATCAAAACTCATCAACTGACATACAGTGAAATCTTTTTTAAGACAACATGAGAATAAGCTGAAATATTGAGAATGACAACCAAATACTTAGTATCATTGTGCAATTTAGCTCTTTTTTCTTTTTTAGGGTTGCTTTCTTAAAGAGCTTGCACTACCACTTGAAGATTGTGGGACAGTTATAGGTACAAACGCAATTAGTAAATCAATATGTTTAGAATGCTAATTCAATTTTTTCATCTTGAAGACATGATGAGAACATTTTGCTCCTGGGTTGTAAAATTGTAATAGTTGGCACACTATTAGTGACTGTAGCAATTTCAACCTTTTCATTTTTATGGATTGATGTATTTGCCCCAGTAGGTGTAAGGCTAAGATAGGAAATGATTGAATCTTTCGACTTTATTTAAAGCAACATACAGTTTAATTTTAAACTAAATAATTTTTGAAAGAAATGTTTCATACTTAGAATTATAAATAACAAAAATAAAACCACAAAAAAACTATTATTTGAAATCTTTATCAAACGTATTTTCAAAATCCGTTTGCTTTTGAAAATCATGATGACATATGCTATAAAAAAACATAATATGTTGAAATTTTCTATTATGTGGAATACTATTAATTAGCAATTTTAGTTTTGATATATGAGTTTTGTAAAATTAAGATCTAATTCAATTTTGGTAAGTTTAATTGTATTAAAAACGAGCAAAAAATCAAAATATCCAAAGAAAATCTCAAAACAGACCTAGGGAGTATATATTGTCCTTAAACGTGCAAAAAAAATGTTAAAAATATATTAAAAACATATTAAAAATGTGTTAAAAATATGCAAAAAAACATGCTAAAAACGCACCCTGGATGGCATATGTTTGATTTTGACTCCATTTTGAGTATTTTTTTCAACATTTTCTATGATTTTAAAATAATTATTATTTAATATTTATACATTTTATGCAAGTTTATATATTTTTTAATTTATATACATATATTTTGTAAATTTATTTTATTATAAAATATTTTGGCAAAGATGGGTAAGGGAAAAAAGAATTTGGCATGACAACTTTGTGTTACAAAGTTATATATAGTAGTCTACTTGATAATGCAAATTAAATTATATATAGCAAAACTCATCAATTGACATAAAGTGAAGTATTTATAAAAACAATACGAGAATAGACTGAAACATTGAGAATGACAATTAAATACATTGTAAACAAATTGTAATGTTATGTTATTGTTATGGTATTGCCAATTACCATCTTAGTGGATTTAATTATTATTTAACATGGCTTTTTTTTATAAAGAATAAATTAATCTAATCATGATAAGTTAAAAAAACTTCTTGTTATGATTGATTATAAACAAATTAGAAACTCATGTTTGTCACCTTTAATCTTGACATTAAAAATGAAAAATCAATAGTCAAAGTAGTTAGAAAGTCTTTATATTATAATGTTTTATTCAATTTAATTCTTCTTTTCAAAATTTGATTAATTTAATACATATATTATGATGTATATAATTAAGTCTTTATGAATAATTTCATCCAAATTAATGATTAATACTGTTGATGGTTTGAATCTCTTAGAATTACTCTTTGATTATCACTGATAGCCTAAGCTTTTAGATCGAAACAGTAACGAAACGATTAGTCTTATGCCATGACGTAAAGATTATGAAGTTGTATGTTGTAGCAAGCGATAGCGGACAAGTGTCACAAAAAATGCTTCTATCTTACATCGGACAGAAATGAAAGGTCCTAGGCCCCTTATAAGCGGGTGTGCTGCACACTCCATCAAGTGCGTTTTTTAGAAAGAAGGTAATGATCCCGTGACAAGTGGTATCAGAGCAGACCGGATCTCATCCGACTCACGCCAAGATTCCCAACGAATTGAAGTAGGTAAGGTAGCCAACGACAACGAAAACGTTGTAGAAATCAAGTGGAAGAGTATCACAAAAAGTACTTTATCCCACATCGAATAAAAACAAAAAATCTTAAACATTTTATAAATAGGTGTGTTATACACCCCATCAAGCACGTTTTTTGAAAAAAGGGTAATGACCCCTTGACACAAAGGCTCCCTACCTCCCTTAACGAGGTCAACCCTCCCCATGAGACATTTACGGCCAAGTGTATTTGATTTTCATCAATCTTGCATCTCTAGCCGTCCATCTCTGAATATGTTTAAAACAATGGGCGGCCGAGAAATCAGAAAAGTTTTGCGACGAAACTACATAACTCCATCGTATGTGAGTACGAGTCTTAGTCTTTATAGAAAAACATGGGGAAGGCTTTTTCCAAGCGACTGGTGACTCTGGCTATTTCTTGCTCATCTTTCCTTTGTTAAAACCAAAAAAAAAAAAATTATTCTCCTACTCTCTCCCTCTGCTACTCCACTTAATCCTTTAGTTTTCTCTGAGTAAGTTCATCAGCTTAAAAATTCTGCACCCTTTTCTTTTCTTCGTTTCCTTTTTGGTTATGGTGGACCTTTTGTAAATTGATAAAGAACAGTCTTGTTCTGTTGGGTTTCAGAGAAAGGTGGTAGGAAAATCAGTTTATCTTGAATTCTTCTTCCATGTTTAATAATTCTTGTTGTTTTTGACTTAGGATCAGGTCAGAATATGTTTTCGTCTCTCTGTAACTAATTCTTCTTTTCATTTTTTTCCCTTGACATACTTTTTTCTATCATCTTTCAAACGCTGACACTAATGAAAGAATGGATATGAAGCCCAAAACTTTTGTGAGGGGTTTTTTGTTTCTTTTTCTTCCCTATTTGATCATAGTTGTCTGATCTATTATATTTTTAAATCTTATTTGACTAGAATTCTTGTTTGTTTACAATATTGAGTTGTATGGATTTAAGCTTCTTGTTCCATTCTAATCCCATTTTTCTTACTTTGAACTTTTATAATTTCTAGGATGAGCCTTCTTAGAAGGCTGTTGAGGATGTGTAAGGGATCTTAGATTGACTTGGAAAATTTAGAGGCCAATTAATTGTATTTTAATTTTTCAGTAGTGGAAGAACAGTGGACCTAGGTAAGAGGTCAAATCACATAAATTTTTATGTTTTTCTGATTTTTATGAATTTTATCTTTCTTGTTTTTTAACAGTTCATCTGTTAAAAAATTTGATACAGGCTTCCGAATCCTGTGGTTTTTGTTGATACAATGGATCAAGAGAAGGAGGTGAATGGCGTTGTTGGTGGTGGTATTGATGAGACAGAGAAGAAGACTTTGGTTCAAGGCAAAGCTGAGGCCTTAGAGAAGTGTCTGGAAGAGAACAAAGGAGACAACACCAAATGCAAGGCTAAGGTTGAAGCTTTCAGATCATCTTCCTCTCCAAAAAAACCCTCTAAGTCTTTAAGACTACGGAGTGGTTTGTTGACTGATGTTTGAATGGATTAGTGGGAATCCCATTCTTCTTCTCCAAAGTGTAAACAGTTGTAGTGTTGGTGTACAAAATTGGGAAATTTTATTTCAGAGTTTGTTGTTTCAAAGGTTGTCGAAGATTGCAGTTGAGGACTTTCTTTTTTTATTCATGAATAGGAACCCAATGAAAAGAAATGGTGGGGGAATAGAATTGCATGATTTCCTTGAATTGATGCTAATGTACAAATTGGTTCCCATGTAACAGCAATTACAATATGCATGAAACTATAAATAAAAATTGCCAGGTTTCCCAACCAGATTATGTTCTTGGCTTCTTGCAAAATGGATTTACCAGAAATTGTTGAACGAATGAACAGCCAGAGATGACTTTGGGGTTGAGCTAGCCCTCATTGATAGTTTTCCTGCTTGCCATTTAGCTTACTCTTGGTTTCTTATTGTTCTGTCTACAAAAAGGACATCTTCAACCCAAGCAACAATGTTAAAAGCAAGACCTTCTAAAACTCTTGAGTAGCTCTCCAGGATTGCTTGGCCCACATCCTGCAAGATTGAATTTTCCATTTAGTTCTTCCCATAGAGGTCAAAAGACTTGGCAATTTATGGAAGAAAGTATTTCAGACAGGGTCCGAACTTCACCTACCCGATTGTATTGAATCTTGCATGTGTCCAAGGATGTCTGTGCAAGTTCAGGATACCTCTGCTTCAAGGCAAATAACAAGCTCTCTGCTCTTTCAGCCAATATATGATTCTTGTCACTTCGATCAACATCAGACATGAGGTCCTTTACCATTCCCCATGATGATTTTGAGTGGCTCATGCATGCTTTACGTCTCCATGTATACATTGATGCTTCAACGCGGTCTGCGAGCTCAAGTGCTTCATGTTCGGATGCTATATTGAGACAATCAAGCAGATAGTCAGGGGAGAATTTTTCTGTCGTGTACATGAAGCGGTAAATTGGGTCTCCAATACTGGCTCTTCCGCTCTGTAGATAAGAGGAGTTTCCAGATAGAAAATAGAGTCAGAAATAAGAAATTTGTGGTAACTGTAGCTACTGGCAGCGGATTCCTACTGTACTATTTAGCCTTCATACCCGTAGTGTAATACTTGGGACATTTTGCACAGTTTGTAACCGTGTTTGTTTGTTTTGTAGACTTTCTTACCGCTACGATTCTTTGGAGTTATTGTCCCTGGGACCAGTTTCATCTCAAGTGATCTTATTCAATTGAATTTGCTATAGTTATTCTCATTTGATTCACTGATTTAATTAACTCCCAACTTTTATAGTTTTCACAATGCCTGCTCCAAATGACATGAACCAGAAAGTTTGTGCAACAAAGGACTAACCTTTGGAAGGGATGCCATGTATGAGTCTGGAATCTCCATCTCAGCAAGAACACTACTGTTGATAGCCATAGCTGCCTTGTGAATTTGATTAGCACAGTCACGTTTGTGTCGCAAGCACTTCCTTGCTTTCTCAGAGAGACCAGTTGGAGGAACGCATGGCACTGGAACCCACCATTTCTCATCATTTCTCTGAACAACCCTTCGAAAGGAGCCAGTACGAGTCGAATTCGAGGACATGCTCCCTTGCTCTGCATACCAGAATTCTCTGTCCTGGAAGCTGTCTAGTATTTCCTGTCAAAGGATGTGAGCTATGAGATAAGCCTTTTCAACTAGAAATGATTGTGAGTTTTCTCACGTAGAGCTTGTCTTACAATGAGCATTGCATCCAACTTTCTCAGTGCAGGAAGATTGACATAAATATCTGATCTTTGTCTGCTCTCCATTATCTAAAAAGTCAAAAGCATCATGTTAAACCAGGCAAAGATGACGAACCCCCATTAAGGAAAAAAAAAGTTGGTTATGGATTGTGAAATCGTACCTCAACAGCTGTTCCATTACACAAATTCTGTGATTTGGGAGAAAATTCCACAATGTAATCGCAGACAGATAAAAGACAGTCCATTTCTCTTTTCCACAGTGCCTTTTTTTCGGGGTTCAAAGGCTCCAACCTCAAATTTTGCCCAAAGACAGTTGCTGCAGAAATTAACAGAAGTAAGCAATTTCATAGCATTGAAAGACAACTACAAACAAAGTCTGCAGCTGTTCGGAAACATGTACCATAGAGATTGGTTATGGCATTTGAGATTGTAACCGCTGTGCAGACCCCTTTCCCACTTCCTGACATGTCTTCTCCTAGTAAAAGTTTTGCAAATCTTTCCTTCATCGTTTCGAGTTCTGTCAACATAATGTTACACCAATTAGCTTGGGAAAAAAAAAAACGAACATAGTTTCGCATGGAAAGACATAACTCTGCCCAATATTTTACCTAAATCCAATGAATCCTGATTGTCAAGCTTGTCATCCGCATTACTTTGTCGCTGCTTCGTTCCAAGCCTGGTAAGAACAGCTTGATTCTGAGCCCCGGATCTTGTGGGTGGCCAGTGAGAAGGTGAAGCTTCACTACAACAACTGTGATTATCAACAGGGTCTGAAAATGCAGAGGCCTCAGAATAAGTCCGGCAATACACGAAAGAATCACCACTCAGCGGTGAGTACCCCGGAGTTCCTGTAGTTGATCGATCATTTTGATCAATAGAAGAAGGAGAAGGCTGATATCCCAGATCATAAGTTTCATCAGAATTTGACATGCTGTCCATTTGAGCCTTGTTACAACTCAACTCTGCAAATAATCATGAAATTTGGTTAGTGGGTCTCAAGCTTTGAGGACCTTTTGAATCATGATCAAAACAAACTGGACGGATGGGACCTTTTAAGACTCACGGTCTAAAACATGGACCCGGTAAAAGAATTGAATTAAACTGTATTATTTACATTGGACAGAAGAAAAAGAAAAGAAAAAAGAATGACCCATCTTTCTTGCAGCAACCAAAAAGCAAAAGATGTTTACTCACAGGTCGTTATTGTCGTCAGATTCTTTACATAATTCACTGTAAACATGCAATAAAGTTTATGTTTAAAGTAATACTTGTAAATTGTAGAGAGATGAAGCAACTAAAATTTGAAAAATATAAAGCCAACGGTTGATAATAAAGCAACGGTCTCTCTTAACAATCTTTTGTAAGTCACCTTTAGAGGTTGTCGAATATAGAATTTTGAATTAGAAACCGTCGAAGAAAGCTTAGCAGTCTGGGGACCGTTTGAAACAGTTCCCTCCCAAGCACTTATTTCTCCCCTTCTCTAACCTTTTCTTTCCAAAAGAAACACTTTCTTTTTGCATATCCATGTCACCAACTCGCCATGATAGAGGAATCTCGACCGTCCGATTGCAGGGTCCTTCTCTTTTCCGATCAAAACAAGAAAGACCCAGTATCGGAATCGGTGGTGTTATGCAAATGAACAGAAGAAAGGAAAGATTGGGTTTTGATTCGAAAAGTTGCCCAAAGTTTTGGCTTTCTTCGGTTGAACGAGTATTGGCTTGCTGATAGAGAACATGCAGAGTGTGGCTTAGTTGTACATGAATATTTATGAAGGCCTGGTGGCTTAATATTATATGATTGCAAATACGTGAGAAATATTTTATAATTTACAAAAATATTTTACATGGAACAGCTACCCTGTCAGAGTTCATTATCGAAATTAATATAAATTGCCCCAACATGAGCTGATTTAGCACGTTATGATTGAATGATATATAACAGCAACTTTATTTTTTCTTATCTTGAAGACTAATTAAATATATTGAAACGATTCCCAATTAAATGATGTGGTTGGTTCAAAGCATAGCAAAAATTTTCATTTAGCCATAGATACATATTTTCTTATGATGTAAGTCCATGGCATGTGAAGAATAACAAGTTCAGAAGATGTGTCAGAGTTTAAAAGTAGGAAAAATTCAGGCCTCCTCCCATCATTTTACTCAATTAATTTGTCTTTATAACTCAAGTGGTTCGTTGGTCCCCGGAAGACAACTTGATAGGAAAAGATGACAAACACCCCCATTGCCCCTAATTTCAATACCAAGCTTATTCTACTTTTACTGCCAAGCTGATTTTCATAGCAAAAGTAGTGGCAGCGGTATAGAAATAGAACATGGGGGGATTTCGCCTGCATGTTTTGGAAATTTGATAGGGACCCGGTGGTTGGCTTGGTCGGAGGTTAGCTTGGAAGGCATGCAACATCTTGTTAAAAGCCTTTGTGGGAAGAATAATTCATGGGTTTTCAACTCTTTGTGAGTCAAACTTATTGGGAAAATCAAGGGGCTGAAAGAGGAAGAAAACAAATTCAGTTTAGTTTGGTGGAAGATTCGTGAGATAGACGTGCTTCCCATTTCTTTGAATCCTATTGGCTTGTTAGGTCTAATTGGGAGTTAGATTGGAAAGGTCAAATGGTCTCTCTCTGTCTCTTTTCTTTTCTTTTTTAATGAAATGCATGAACCTCGGCAAAATGGTGTCAAGCCCTGTTTCTATGCTATTGAACACTGAAATAAGACAAGTTATTCCTCTAAAAAGTGTAAAATCTGCTCATATTATCATAGATTTTCAGACCATGGTTCACATTCTTACATCAAACCACATACCAATCACTTGTATTGCTCTTAATTATCCTTGTGCTCATTTTTGGATTTCCTCTGTACATAAAGAAATAAAATTTTCCACCATGGAAATTTCCATAGATTCCTAATGGAGCTACAAAATGATCGTCCAGGTTCATTAGGCAGCAGAGCAAATTCTTGCATCTCTTTCTGCATTTCTTTCTGCAAAAAGAACATGAGTTTAGGCTTCTTATCAGGCTAATTGATATCAAGAATCAATAATAGAAATTTGGGTGTCTATTCATACTCACATGAGCGATGAATTTAAACCCAATCTTTATCTGTCCTTTGTAAGTGTCATCTTCAAGCACTACATTGTAGGGAGCTGGTCTCACTTCAATAAATTCTCTGTCTGTCCCCTCAGTAATTATTCCACCAAGGTGAATTCTACAAAAAAAATGGTAATTAAACAACTCACTTCAGCTTTTATATTGGTTGTCTTTGTTAATTGTTGAATTGCTTTTAATGTCTCGAAGGGAAAATTAAATCATAGCAACATTTCACTATCTGCTAGTCATTATGAGATCATGTTTTTGTCATTCTATCACTTTCCTACCAGTCCTATCTACACTTTCCATGGCCTATCTACACTTTCCATGGTAGAAGAAATACTAGAAGAAGGGTGGGGAAGGTTAGTTGTCAAATTTAGAAGAAGTGAGGTAAAATATATTACTAGTTTCTCCTGCTCATTTAAATGCTGATTTAGGTATCAGGGCAATGAGAATGGAGTAAAATGCATATTAGGGGGAAAGAAGCAAAATACATTACATGGTTTTACCAACAAATCCATTGTCTGTGAAGAATTCCTTGTCCATGATTCTAAAGGTAATATGAGTGAAGTTTTCCCATTCGGACTGTGGAAATTCGAACTTGAATTTCTCATTCCACAATACTTTTTCATGTTTACCTGAATCACAAAACACAATCATCATGGTTCAAGACAGTCCAAAAGAAAACCATTAGTAATTGCAGGACATCAATTGACTAGAAATGAACCTGGTGACACTTTGCTCCTGTATTCTTGAGTTCCACATTGTAATATAACATAGTAGGCTGGTGTTCCTATGACCAAATTATCAAAACCAAATTGTTACTTTAAATTTGTTAAAAACAACAACGACAACAACAAAAAGAGAAACAAGCGCAGGACATATTTATGGTTTGTAGCTAGGAGAGAGAGATACCAATAAGATTAGTGTGCCTAATGTCTTCAGCATTTACAAGAAGAACTTCAAGTATTCCTTCTTTCATGTTTGAAATTGTCTGCAGACACACAGGTATAAACTTAGGTTGGCTTGGTGTTTAAGAAAGGGGACAAGACTGGAACAGAGTGTGGTTAGTAAGAAGGATTTATGATGTGCTTAAGCTGGGAAAGTTAATGCAGTCAGTTTTAAAAGTTCATTTAATGCAACATTTAGTCCAATTTTAATGTGTCCATTGGAAGATATTTCAAGCCATAATTTCACTTCAAACTCCCAAGCAGAATCCATTTTTTATGTTACAAATTCCTTTCTCGTTTTTATGAAAATCTAATATTAATATGGGAAATGCTTTGAATACTGAGAGTGAATCAGTTTGATAGAGCCATCAATTCTATTTTTCCATATCCAAGTAGGTCTTGCTTGGTTTTATAGATCAAGCCTCCTTTTAAAAGAACAAGCTTAGATTAGTCTTTGTTTGGTATAGTACATGGCTTTCCTCAAGAGAAAAGCAGAACAATAGAACTTAAACTGAAGCAGATCAGAGAGCATGTTTTCTCTCAAGAATGCACAATCGAACACTCTCGTTATATCGTGCTAATGTTTTCTTTCTTAAACTCAGTATCAGATTCAGAACATGAACATTATTTTAGTCCCAATTATGATTTTCAGAACACAAAATGAAATGAGAAGGTAAGCAATTTTAGCAGTGTACAAGAAAGATCTCAGATTCCATCAAAAAAAGCTCTCAAGTTTTACAAGTTACAAATTTTAAGAATATATTTTCAACATACTACAAAATGAATTACAGACAGAGACAGGAAATCATTTGGTTACCTACTTGTTATAAAATCAATTGAAAGTATGTACAGGAGAGTAGTTGCATTGACTACTGTGGTATCCAACTATTCTTTTCCCCTCTTGGCATTGTCATCGACCAATCTTCTTAGCCTCTCGGCATCTTCCCCTCTACCCTCCTCAGCATATAGGTCTGACAAAATCATGTAATAATGACTACTATTTTGTGGGTCCAAGGTGGAAAGCCGTTCAACAACAAACTCTACAATCTTAATTGGACCAGGCGAGACTCTACAACCAGCAAGAAGAGCGCCCCAGATTCTCTTATCTGGCTCCATTGGCATTTTCCTCACAAAGTGTAGAGCTTGTTCAATATGACCCTGGCGACTGAGCAAATCCACCATACATGCATAGTGTGCAAGCTTTGGAGTAATTCCATACTTCTCTTTCATAGAATAAAACCACTTCCAACCCTCATTTTTAAGCCCACAGTGACTACAAGCAGATAAAACAGAAAGAAAAATAATGTCATTGGGCTTTATCCCACAATCCAACATGTTTGCAAATGTCTCAAGAGCCTCAATTCCATAACCATTCAGTACATACCCATTAATCATTGAACTCCAACAAATAAGATCTTTCGTAGGAACTTCATCAAAAAGAAACTTTCCTTGCTTAACCCTTCCAAATCTGCAGTAGAAATCTATCAAAGCTGAGGACAAATACACATTCCTCGAGTAACCAACTTTCGCCACAAAAGCATGGATGGTTTCTCCAACTTTATCAGATACTTCTTGAGATGCCATCAGAGAACAGATTTGTAATAGACTAACTAAAGAGAACTCACTAGGTTTCTCATTCATCAATAACATCTGTCTAAATGTATCGATGGCATTAAAAGGCAGCCTGCTTTGAGCATAAGCTGAAATCATCGCATTCCAAGCAATGACATCTTTATTACTGATGTGATCAAATACATTCCTAGCTGAAGCCACCATGCTAAACTTAGCATACATCTGCAACAGTGCAGTTGCAATGGAAACAAAAGCCAAGAACCCGGTTTTCAGAATGTAGCAATGAAATGCTGATCCAATTTTGCTCTCTCCAGATTGTAACACTGCCATAATCATATCCCGGACAACAAATTCATCCGGAGCGAAGAAAGACAACCCCCGCATCTTTGAAAAAACATCCAATGTTTTTATTCCACATTCATTCTCAATATAACCACGGATCAAATTCCTCCAAGAAACCAAGTCCTTCTTCAACATCCCATTAAAAACACAGATCGCTGTCTGAAGACTCTTACATTTTGCATACATATCAACCAATGAATTCTGAACGCTATTGACATAACAAATCATTCTTCTTATAATAAAACCATGTATTTCTCTACCTAGCTGAAGAGCGCCCAGATTAGCACAAGCAGGCAAGATGCTGACAATACTTACATGATTAGCTTTCAACCCAAGAGAATGCATTCTTCTAAACAACTCAAGAGCGTCCACATAGTCCCCATTCTTAACACATGCAGAAACCATAGAACTCCGTAAAACAACATCTTTATTGGGTATTTGATTAAACAAACTCCAACAAATTCCCATACCATAAATGGAATAAGTCCCAATAAGAGCAGTTAAAACTGAGGGTTCTGATTCAAACCCCATCTTGATCACCAACCCATGAACCATCATTGTCAATGCCTCCCAATCTAAAGTATCAACGGCTTTTACTAAGCTCAAAATTGTAACATAATTTGGCCTTTGATTACTCATTAACATTGTCTTGAACAAGCCAATGGCTTCCTCGGGCTGGCCTTGCCTTACCAACTTGGATAACTCGGATGTCCATGATATTACATGATCTTTTTCAGCATAAGGATCGACTGGGTCGTCGTGATTTGGGTTTCTATAGCATAAAGTGACGTAGCGAGATAAAGCTACGAATATTCTCGTAGGAGATTTTCTATTTCTATGGGTAATTTCTGCAAATAGCTTCTGCCTGTGCATTAGGAGACGAGTAATACATACACACGATAAACCATCAGAGCGCCGAATGGAGGCGTTCAAAGTGAAACGACGGCGTCGGACGATAAAATTCAACAATGGACTAGGAATTTGGGCTTACTGATTAGAGCCATGAAGACTATGATATTCTTGGGCTAAGCTAAACGTTCTACTTAAGTATTTAGGCTTTTGTTATCCATGAATTATCCCAAAAAAATACAAAGCCCACAAGGCCCAGGTCTTAGCAGATTGCAATTGACTTGCTTGTTGGGGCCAAATTTCATTTTAATAAATATTAAATGCCTTATAAGTTTATCAATTGCTTTAAACCTAATTAATAATTTGAATTTTGGTCTTGGAAGGATATTTTTGCGTCAATTTTTTTTATCATCATTCAAATTAATTATTACCATAAAAGAATTTTTCCTCTGTATTCTTTTTTCTTTCTTCTTTTACCTCTTGTTTTATCTTTTCTTAATCCTTCCATTATTTTTATTATTATTATAATTATAAAGGAAACTCTAAATTCTTTTTATTAGTTGAACTTATCATTCTTATTTTCGTCCAATAATAATATTTTATATTATTTATTGCATCGACGAAATTTTTCTATATTAAAAATAAAAAGCAATTAAGGATAATATTTGTACAAAATCAATTGTACATTTTTTTTTCTATTTTTTAGTTGTTAACTTGAATTTGATTTTTTCTTTTAAGCGAAAATTTAATAACATTTGTATAATTTGTTTTTTCAATTTTTTCATATTGTATATGTATACAATGTGAATTATGACATTTGCAAGTTGAAGTTTGGTTATGTTATCTAGAATATTCATACATGGATTAGAAATTGCATCATAAAATAAAAGTAATTTGTCAACTGAGATTCAAACCCAAAAGGTTTTAAACTGGTACTAGGTGAAATGTATTGAAGGCTTTGGCCTTCTTTACCACTAGGCAAGTTCCTACTTAAGGCCTATTAGCTAGGAGGGAAGGTTGCAACGGATGATAAGAAATGCTTGTTAGGAAGAATATCAGTTCCTCTTCCCCTATTACACCGAGAAAGTCAGCCTACTGAATCGAGAAATCCTACAAATACTTGTTGATGATTACTTCTGATGTGGCTTCCCATCACCTGGTTGCAACTCTTTGTAGTGCTTGTTTGATCATCCCTGCAGGTGCAATTGCTGCTCCTCGGAACTGGTAAAAACAAAAGAACATTACGACAATAAAACAGGTTGGGACTTGGGATTCAATTTTTGTTATTCTTGAGGATCGAACAATGAAGAACAGAGGAATCTGTTGGAATGAGCTTAAGCATACGAACCTTAGATTTCATGGTCACTATGACAACATCTTCGAGAGTAGATGATTGAACCGTGTGGGCATCCAAGTGTAGGTTGTTTATAGCATCCATGATATCCAGCAACAAGAATTCCCTGGAAGGACATCTTATTTCAATTATAACTTCCAGTTCCTTTATGCTTACTTTCACATCTGATGTAAGGCCATCTCTTGGAATAACCCTGCTTTGTTCTGAGCCGGTTTCGTGGCTTTCGTCAATGTCACAGGCCTTCCTCTTGTTTATCCAAGACTTCTTGACATTTTCAACCTTTCTGTTTTCATGATTATCTGATGCCTGCTTCATTGCATCCAGGCAATTCCTTCTAGGTCTTGCCTCAAAGTCCACTGAGTCCATGCAAGATTCCAACTCTTCTACCCTTGCTTCTAGCTCTTTCAAGTACTTGATTGTATCCTTAAGAATTGATGCTTTGTCAATCTGCAAAAGCGCTATCTAGTTTGTTAACACACAACAAATTAATAGAGTTAAAATTTCAAAAGAAACTAGCCTGATAAAACATTGCAACTTATCCAAAACTGATCAGAAGCTAAATTGCTTCTGATGTTTACACTTGTAATGAACGTTTTACACAAAGAACTGCAGAGAAAATCTGCATAATGGGAATCTGTAAATGCACATATGAACAAAGCATGAAGTTTATGCCACAGTTGATTTCTAGATGAGATAGTGCAAATGAAAGTCGACCAACCTCACTGATAGAAGGAACCATTGACCTAAGGACCAGAAACTTCTCTTCCTCTCTTCTTTTTTCTGGTAAAAGATATCCTTTTTCATCATCATCATCATTTTCCAATTTCCCAAGGCAATGTTTTCCACCAGTTTCCTTCTGAGACATAAGAGAACTGCCGGCATGCAATAGAGGAACTGCGAACAGAATCTTTTTAAATATGTTCTGTTGTACCCTCGGTCTATGAAAATTTGCCTTTTCTCCTTTCTTCCAACTAATAAAACTAGATTTATAGCCACAAGTATGAAAACCTTGGCTTTCAATCAACCAATTTGAAGTTCCCAGAATAGCAGAAAGAGTTCTTCTGTAGTGCAAATCATCATCAACCCCAAGATCAAAAGAGCTTAGTTTTGTGTGATTGCCTTCTTGGAATTCTTTAAAATGAGAATGGTTTACACTTCCCTGCTTGGGAGAGGAGATAGCAGCTTTTTCTTGATTTGCAAAAGCTTCAGATACACAGTCACTTGAGTTAATGGAAATTTGAACACCATTGCTAAAGTCATCATCCATGAAATGCCAACTTTGAACTTGAGAAGCAACACCATTCACATCTTCAAGCATAAATGAGTCCTCCATCTGATGATTTTGTTCACATCCATTCGAGCACTCATCAGGGGAACTGATGTTGAAATCTTCATTGATATTTTCATGTAATTCATTAAACTTCTCCTGATCAAATTTGATTTCTTCTGTAGGGGAATAGAGGTTCTCCAAGTCCAACAAATCCACTATCTCACGGTCGACCTTGACACATGCAGGATCTCTGTCATCATCTGCATTATGAGGAGCAGAGGAAGATTTCTCAGAGCAAACAGGCTTTGAGAAGTCCAGCAAGGAAGCTTTAATGTGCTGAAGGAGACTCGGGTCCTCCGGAACCTTTGGAGTTAAGAGTATTCAGAAAAAAAAAACAATTATTATAATTGCTTAATTCCTTGATAAGATTTATGGCTACATTTATCTTCATATGATGAACTGAAAAATTCCAGCCTAGGTCCACAGAAAAGGAAATTACCAGTTCAGTTACACCCAGCTCAATCACACCTCCAAGGTAGGGGAAACAAACCACAGTCTGCACAGCCAAAGAAATAGACAACACAAACATTAATGTTAAGGTAAGATGGGATCATAGCCTGCAGGTTGTTCTGACAACACATCTGCATATGATGATCAGAAGGCACATTTTATGAGCTGATTTTAACTGCTTTTCAAATAAAAAATGACAAGATTTTTACTTTGTACAAGAAGAGATCATCTTTACCTGAATAGATGCACTCTGTGGGCAATTTATGGACATCCAGTCATGGAAAACAAGTTCACAGGTAAATAATGTCAGTCAAGTGGTTTCTTGTAATGCACTTGGGATATTGTACCATTTTAAAATGGCATAACAACACTCAAGCCAAGAGAAAACCAACCTTTGCAAGCAAAGAGCGGGAGAATATTTTACTATCTGCATATTGAGCATTACATAGCCATATGGTTTCACCATTTGCTAATGCTCTTCCTGGCAAGCTATGCACAATGTCAAAGAAGAATGATTATAGTCTTATAAGGAAACACTAAGAAAACTTTGAGCATACTTAAAATATCAATAAGAGACAGACATTATGGGGAAAAAACATATAAAACGTGACTAAAATAGGTTTAGATATTAAAGATAGAGATTTATTACCCTTGTCCATGATTGAACACAAACGACATGCAAACCAAGTAATACCACTCTGCATCAGACAGATCCTCTGGAGATAATGCAGCAGAAGGCCTCTTAGTTTGGTCAGTTTCACCTTCCAGCAGAGACTCATAAAGCTCTCGCAGTTGTTCACTCCTCTGTAGACCTATTTTATCAGCTTTGAGCTCCATTACTTGAACAGTCTTCCTAGTCTTGATGTCTCCATTGTAGTACCCTCCACCCCATTGAAGTACCCTATTGATTGTTAATCAAGCCATGTCATTATCATTTCAAAGTTAAAAGGAGACTTACTAAATCTGATCTCTCCAGATACCATGTTTCCATTACATTCTACTGCACAAGTACCTCTTTATGCCAGCTATGGAAGGAAAACCAGAGTTCTATTTGTGGTAAGTTTAACTGAGAAGGAAAGTTCCGATTTGAGAAAATTAAAGACAGATAGCATTCACTAGCATTGGATATCAAAAACACATTTAAAACTAAAAATGGGAATTAAGAAACATGAACATTAAATTTGAAGAATAGAAATGATCAGTGGGGAACAAATTAATGCTAAGGGTACCCTTGTTGTGTAGCTGATAACGACCAGAAAATAGCATAGCTCCACTGGATGCTCCTTACAGCCACTGCAAGCTGTTTCCTTAAGTTTTCTGGCACCCCCTCCTGGTTTACAACAACATTAGCCATTGACAACACAAAATATGACTGAATTCAACTTACAGAAAGTGGAAAACACCCATATCAACAACAGAGTTAACCCAAGCTTTGACCCAGAAGAAGATTTTTGCTTTCAGCAGAGTGGAAAAACAGAAAATGCAGTGATCATCTGTTAACAAATCATAGTTCTTTAACTAACTTGATATATCATCAGAAGGGAGATCTCAAAACTTAAAAAGCCAGGACAAGACTAAAGACAGACAAATATAGAGCTTATATTGTTGGCTTTTTACTTCTGAAGGTTGCAAGGCCAAGAATACCACCGAATTTAATGAAAAGAATGTACAGAACAATGAAACTTTTTCTTTAAATAAAAAAAAATGCAAACAGAATCTCCATCCAGCATTTATTCCATTGTGCATAAGTTTCATGAACTCTCTCTTTATATCTCAAAAAAGAAATCCTTCAAACATTAGCATCACGTGTGTGTATAATCTTGTCTCACAAATGAAACACCAACTGTTAACGCTTAAAATGAACTAATACAGTAATTTCATTTTTACCGTCGATAATTACACAACCATGAAACCAAAGAAATTGCAACTAGGCCAACTAGTCCTAGCTAAACAGCAATAATTCGAAAATTTATTGTTGATAAAATTAAAACCCAATATTTTAAAACAGTAATCATGACTAAAAAAGAACTATTGGCATAAAGGGATAAGAAGATAGACAAAATTAACACGTGTGTCAGCACTTTTCACCACGATAACACTTGTTTATACGAAATAGACCTCGATGACCTCAAAGCTCGTAGGGTAAGATCGTGTTGCTGAAACCAAGAAAAAGAGTATAATAAAAGAAAACAGTAACTATGAGGGACCCCGGGTTTGGTCTGTGCTCCCTAGACTACCTAGTGGCAGCTTTATCTAAGTAACTTTTCTTGTTTGATCTTCATAACGCAAAATCTTCACTCACAGCTTGGAAACGGCTGATTTTTTATTTTCTGATCTAGAAAAACATGTTTACTTCATAAAAATTTTAGCTAATATCAATGAATTATTGATTTTAGATCTGATATTACATTGTATCAATGCTAACTTTTATGATCCATTTCCATCTGTAGTCCACTATCAGTTGCAACACTTACACTGTAAATGATTAAATGACTAATGTCTTTAGGTGCGGTGGAAATAAGTCCTTTTCTCATCTCTTGTTTAGCAAAAAAAACAAAAGGAATGGGGGAACGGGGTAAACAGGATTGGACCGATCACCGATCTTTGGATCACTTAAAGTTAAGCAATTGGGTACAACCCTTAGGGGAAAGAAAGGCAGACGAAGACCAAGGAATGGTAGGTGGGTGTTAAAGCGAGTGAGTGACAGGAGAAAAAGGTGATTATAGGCTTTAATGGGAGAACAGGTTGAGATGATGAATGCGTAGCTGATAGATACATTATTGAAGGAGAGGCCAAAGGGGCCTCATCTGAGAGAGGAAGAAAGGTTAGTGTCTTCGTGATTCATGCTCATTTTCTCATTTGTCAGCTTTCCATCTACAGTACACTGATATTGCTCGCTAGCCTCATTTCTTTTTCCTCCTCCTTGGCATTTTATAATAATTTTTCTGCTTTATGTACTATATTTTAGATCACCAAGTTGCCCTTTACTTGCATGATTTTTCCCTTACTTTCTTTCCTATTGGTACAATATTGTTTGTACAGGTTTGGCTTTAGGGTCCAATAATATTGGGGATCAAGAATATAGATGAGATATGAGATAATGCACTTCGCATGCATCTGTCCATATATATGTTGTAGGCGAATATGTCTGTGAACAAAAACAAAGTTTCCTTTGGAGTCTTGTCTTTGATCGAGTTATGTCCATGGAGGACAAACTTCAGCATTTTGTTGTCCTAATTCCATTTTGTCTTTTGTTTTGTTGTTTGTAGTTTTTTGGCCTGCACAACAAACCAAAACCATGCATCAGGGAAAATAAAAAACTTCAGCTCTTTTTAAAATACCCAATCATAAAATCATGCAAATTAAAAGCTTTTTACGCCACATGTGGGTGTTGAAAAATTCAACAGCTCAAAGAAAGAGATGATGATTTTTTTTTAATTAAAAAAAAGTTAAATTTAAATTTTTAAATAAAAAAATTATATATCAATAAATAAATCAAATACTCCGATGCTATCTCATGATTATATATGTAATTTAAAAAATTTAAACAGTTTAATCTTTTCGTAAATAATAAAATCAGGGCAAATTTCATGCATGGAATTCTCTTAAACCGTACATCGATCACACTTTCAAACTTCTTGTTGATACTTTATGGCTTCCTTTTCGTCCCACATGACAAGAAAAATAACTATCACCTCACCAAAGCAAAGATTCTCGTTAAAGAAAATCACGTCCTTCTGTTAAGTAAGTGTTTGAGTGATTCCATTTTCTCACTCACTTTTACTTCAAAAAGCTGTAGAAAAAGAATAACCATATTATTTGATTGGCAAGGTGGATGTCCCGCTGTAATCTGCCATGGCTAACTGGCACATCGCATCATATCCCAGCATCAAAGTTGATGAACACTGAGAGGATATCTTTCTTTTATTATATCGATTGGTAAGTGCTTTCTAAATCTCCTTACGAAGAAAAGGAATTCCTGGAAAGCTATGCTAAACGGGGTTGCTGCAATGTTTGGTTTAAACATGGCGGAAGGATGATTTGCAAATTGCATGTGAAGTCTTCCATTTCCATTCCAAAAATCAAGGGCGGCGCCTTACATTTGAAGCATGCAGCATTGGCTAACAGTGTATTTATTACGATGAGACAATGCTGTCAAGCTGTTTGCTTCCACATGATGATATCTATTTGGATTAAATAGCATTATAATTTATAATTATGAATTATTATTTAACATTTTACATCTCATAATACATATATATGTTATTAAAGTGTTATAATAAATAATAAATTAATATACTGATATGATATGTTAATGTTATTTTATATATCAGTTTCACATGAATGATAAGTGATTAATAATAATCAATCACTATTAATTAAAAAAAATATTTACAAAAAATAAAAATATTAAAATTTGTTTAAATGTTGAAAATATATATTATTTAATAATTTAAGGAATTTTTTCATTTGGGTACGGAAGAGCTATGATTAGGGTGAGGCGGACATGTGATTCGATTGAGGATTCCTATATCGGGAACCAATGAATGAACAAAAGGAAAAACAACAAATGTTCGATTGTATCCAACTCACGAGGCAAAGCATGTGAATGAATGATGATATGCTTCTCGAAATTTTCAAGTTGTATGATTTAATCCCAACAATGATGATCCATTCTATATGTCAATGTCAATAATCATTGCATATCCAACACTCTCTCTTTTTAAATACTTAATTCATTTTCATTTAATTTTGTGACTTGGAAAAATAAAACATTTAGTACAACTTGTATGGCATGCAGTCCTTTAATTATTACACACACTTGGAAAATTTTGAGAAAAGAAATATAAAGGGGTTAGAGAACGAATAATTCAATTAAAACCCAGTTTAAATATAAAAAGATCTTCTTCTTTTTTAATCTTTACAAATTTTAATTCCAAAAATAAAAATTAAATAATGAAATAACAATGAAGGAGGCCACTCTCTTTTGGATCTCGAAACTGGGATTCCACATGTATGTTGTTGGTATGGGCTAGGTTTTCCATTTTGGACCCAATCCACTGATTCTAAAAGGATGAAACATAACTAGTAATTTCATAATGTTACTATATAAATGTTGAATAAAGTCTATATACATATATATTTCATAATTCGCAATGAAAACAAGTTTTTAATACTCATAAAGGAACATAACAACGCTTAAAAACTTAAAAATTCCTCTCAATTATCTCATTTTCGATTCTCGAAGGAAAAAAAATAAAAAATAGAATTTATACTTTATAGATGGAAGAAAGTTACCTTCTCCTTATTCCTTTTATGTAAAGCTATTCTTGATGCTTTATGTATATGCTTCTTCCTTGAGCTAAAACTAATTGAGAGTATCTCACAAGTATTCACCCATTAATCTCTTTAGGTTTATCTCAAGTATTCATCCGGTTGAGTCTAGACAATTCACGAATATTCGTAGTCTTTTAGTAATAAATAGAGATTAGAGTGTGACTTATTGAAAGCCCAACTTGAAGACAAAGGGCTTGAGCCTGTGTTATGAAGCCCAGGAGTGCAACCCCTAGACTTCACCTATTTGGATAAGAAATTTTGTTTATTGGGCTTTAGATTAACAGTAGGTCATTCATTATTAGGGCCTTTAACAGCCCAAATATTTTTATTTCAAAGAAAACCAAAGGGTAAAGCCATATTATTAGCCACGTGTGCAGCAAAGAGTGGTCTGTCCCATTTCTCTCGTGTTACCAGCTAGAAACCCGTCACTCTTTACTTTACTATTTAATTCTAGGCTGCACCGGGACTCGAAAAATTGAGCTCACGGTCTTGGATCCATAAAAAGTCCACAAAACGTCATCGTTAAGTGTTCCTGTCGTTCATTTCCCCGCCACACAAAGTGGACTCTTCCCTCCCTATTTCCGTTTGGTTGGCGAGAAAGTTTTCCAGAACAAGAGAAAAAGGCCAAAAAACTGTGGCCATATTCTTTGAAAGGATCTTCAAAATAAAATGTGCGGCAAATTAAGCTTTAAAAAGGAATTTCTCATGTTTTCATTTATTTTATTTGAAAGTAGAGCTTAGCAAGTGTTTAATTGCATTTTTTATTTGAAGGTGAAAATGGCTGCTTCGTCAGTTCGGATATTCAATAGTCTAAAGCCGCCAGGTGCTTCTCTCACAGCTTACTCGACAGTACATTCTAGGTCTCCGAGCTCACTGGATTGCAACTTCTGTCGGTTGAAGGGAGGTTTTGTTTCTTCTAGCATTTCCGGATCGTGTCAGCTTCGAGCCATAGTCAAAGATAAAGGAGGGAGAGCAGAGGATCATCCACTCATTGGTGATTCGACAGATAAAGTTGTGGAGAATCAGGTAAAAACACAAATTTTGCAATTCATCAAATTTTCTATTTATTACTGTTTTAACAAGAACTAACTGGGAATCTAAAACTAAATGGCTCTTGTTTGGGTAGGCTATGGAACCAGAGCGTGATTTTGCTGGCACACCTTATGTCCCTGTATATGTTATGCTTCCAGTAAGTTTCAAAATTAGTTTATGAAGGGTTTTCTCTTTTTTAATGTTTCCTAGTGATATTTTTTGTGTTTTGAATGTGGGGATGGCAGCTGGATGTTGTTGACATGAATTGTGAGTTGGTTGACCCAGAGGGTCTTCTGGATCAGTTAAGGATTTTGAGGTCAGTTAATGTTGATGGTGTTATGGTTGACTGCTGGTGGGGGATAGTTGAGGCGCACACTCCTCAATTGTATAATTGGAGTGGGTACAAGAGGCTTTTCCAGATTGTGCGAGATCTTGGGCTTAAGTTACAGGTGATTAGTAGTACATAAATTAGTGTTTTCTATGTTTGTTTTAACAATAACTATACATTCTCTGGGTGACATTTCTTAGATTCCACTTTTGTTCTTGGTGTATATATACACACACATGTAGGGAGAACAAGATTAGTTACTATGTAGACCAGTTTTATCATTAAACTGTCAGCTTGTGATGACTTTAATTGATCGTGACACATGTTCTAACCATCGGTAGTCTATGCAAGATGGAAAACTGAGATGAGATGGTTTATTCTTTGGTGTTTATCTATGAATGTTATGCTTTTGTTTGATTAAAGTTGCTCTCATATCATATATGGGAAAATAATTTTTATGTTTGACAACAACATAGAAATCAATATATCATTTAATCGGGATTATTTTCCCACTTCTTTTGAAATTCCATGCTGGATAATGTTTCCCATTTCTTAATCTAAAATGGCAACAGATTGTAATGTCATTTCATGAATGTGGAGGCAATGTTGGAGACAATGTACATATTCCACTCCCTGAGTGGATAAGAGAAATCGGGGAGAGCAACCCTGACATATATTTCACAGATAGAGAAGGAAAGCGGAATCCTGAATTCCTCACATGGGGAATTGATAAGGAGCGGGTTTTAAAGGGCCGAACTGCTGTTGAGGTATTACAGTTGATCATGATTTTTTTTGCTCAGACTATTGAGCTATGCTTTATATTCATGCTTTGCTTTTGACAAAATCTTCCATACCCTGTTTTTAAGTTTCTTTCTTTTGCTGCATGTTTAAGCGCAGGTCTACTTTGACTACATGAGGAGCTTTCATGTAGAATTTGATGAGTTCTTTGTAGATGGAGTCATATCTGAAATTGCAGTTGGACTGGGTCCTTGTGGGGAGCTACGCTATCCTTCTTATACTGCGAAGCATGGTTGGAGATATCCTGGTATTGGTGAATTTCAGGTACATTTCAAATGACTATGTATTGGTGAATTTTTTTTTATTCCCAAAAAAAAAAAAAGTTATGATTAAGCATTGATTGTAGTTTTGATATGTGATATATTCTTATCTCCCAAGCATTAATGCAACCTGTTTCAGTTCAGTGTTATGATAAATATTTGATGAAGAGTCTAAGCAAAGCAGCAGAAATTAGGGGCCACTCTTTCTGGGCCAGAGGACCAGATAATGCTGGTTCTTATAATTCCACACCTCATGAGACTGGATTCTTTCGTGATGGAGGTGACTATGACAGCTACTATGGCAGGTTCTTTCTTAATTGGTATTCTCAGGTTTTAGTTGATCATGGTGATCGTGTGCTTGCTCTGGCCAATTTAGCCTTTGAAGGCACTTGCATTGCTGCAAAGGTCAGTGCTGCAGCAATTTCTCTTCTTTGGAGCTGATTCTAATGTCATGTTTTGAAATAAAAGTACGGGCAAACTCTTCATGACCTTTTGTTCTTAGAATCTTGGCTCTGCTTTGATTTAAACTTCCAGCTATCAGGTATTCATTGGTGGTATAAAACAGCTAGCCATGCTGCTGAGCTAACTGCTGGGTTTTACAATCCTTCAAATCGTGATGGCTATGCTCCAATTGCAGCAATGTTGAAAAAGCATGGGGTTGCATTAAACTTCACCTGTGTTGAATTGCGCACCTTGGATCAGCATGAGGACTTCCCAGAGGCACTGGCAGATCCTGAGGGATTAGTTTGGCAGGTACTAGCAGTTTTTCATTCTGTTTTTCAACTTTGGTGGGTATAGAATTTTACTATAATACATGTGTTCTAGAGAAAAAATGGGCTAATCTGTTTTCTTGGATGTCAAAAGTGGAGTAAGAAAGCATGAATTGTTTTGACTTTTGACCAAACTCCTATATTCAATTGAGTACAATAATGTTTGGATTAGCGCCATTCAGTTGGTTATCATATGTGTGGATGTTGGTTGAGTCTGAAGTCATAGTATTTCAGTATGGCTTGGTTGTCCTAGCAAACCACATCTAATTTTTCTACCATCTTGCTAACTGCCAGGTGCTGAATGCTGCATGGGATGTTTCCATACTGGTTGCCAGTGAGAATGCTCTTCCATGTTATGACAGAGAAGGCTATAATAAGATACTAGAAAATGCCAAGCCACGGAATGACCCAGATGGCCGCCATTTATCTGCCTTTACCTACCTCAGACTCAACCCAGTTCTGATGGAGACACACAACTTTGCAGAGTTCGAAAGATTTGTCAAAAGGATGCATGGTACAGTATTACCTTCATTTTTCTCATTTTGTTCCTCCTTTTATAACCAGGTTTGGAGCGTGCGCTGGCTCTACAAGTATATAAACTACTTACTTTGTAGCAATAACTTGAAACTTACGAGTTATGCTATCTCCATTGCAGGGGAAGCAGTCCCAGATCTCCAATTGTTTCCGAATGAAAAGCCTGCTAAACCCGAGGGAAAGGATGGACAGGTTGGTGCTTAGGAGAAAGATACATGATGTAAACCTTGTACACGTTTTTACACAAATAATACAGGTTCCGCTGGTCCCTCAAGTGACCAAAAGCAATGCATACGAGAAAATTCAATTTTGAGAATGTTTTCTTCATGGTGTTGGACATTTGGCCCCCCAAACAGGGAGAACTTGTTTCGTTTCCGAAAACTTCCAAGTCTCAAAGTTGTCTAATTTGTTGTTATAGATCTTAAAAATGTACAGGACTTTTTTCCAAATTCTGTAAATAGATGCTGATATAATTGAGCAGTTGGGTGGGGTCATTTTGGACAAAAAAAAAAGGGTAATTTTTGGATTCAGATCATTTCATTTCGAATCACTTTAAATTTGAATATTAGAGTTTTAAATTTCGAGTTATTCATATTTGGATTATTTCAAGTTTAAATTGTTGAATTTCTTAAATCTAAATTGAATTAGATTTGGATGGTCTATTTGAGTTTTAAACAATTTGGAGATAATTTTTTAAGTTGTTTATATTTAGATTAATTTGAGTTTTAATTAATTTGAATTTAAATCATTTCGATTTTTTTTTTGAATTGTGTGAGGTAAGCTGACAATTTTTAATTAAATCGAATTAGATTAGATTTAAATACTCGAATTTAAAGTTTAAATTAATTAAATTTAAATTATTAATTTTTTAAAATCAAATTATATTGAAATTTAATATGTTATTCAAGTTTCATATGACATATTATAAATTTTTCAAGTAATTTACATTTCTATGAATTCAAGTTTAGAATATTTCAATGCTTGAAACCGAAACACTTTAAATTCGGATTTAAAGAATTAAGTTATTAATTTTTTTGAAATTCAAATAAATCAAAGGAGTTTTGGGACTTTGAATGAATTTGGTCATCTCTGCATACTAGTAAACTTTGCCATCTGTGCAAGGTGCAAGTAATTTAATTATATATACTAAACTAAAAAAATATACCGCCAAAATATGGGACATATTCTCTTTTTGGCGACAGTAAATAAAACGGATTTTATAATCGACCTTAGCACGAATCGCAGGTCACATGATATATCCACCTAAAGAGAGACACACCCAAATCTCGTGTCCGGTCCGGTTCCTCAAACAGAGCCCACGGCAAGTGTGACACGTGTCTCCCTCGCACTTCCGTGGACTCCGCTTAATACACTATCCCACACACGCCCCATTCGTGCCAAGCCCCAAATTTCACACACAGACACGCTCGCCCATCCCACACACGCGTGAAACCCTAACTCTCACGCGCTCACCCCTCTGTCTCACGCGCCCCCCTCTCCCTAGCCGGAAATAGCCCCATTCTCGGCCCTTCTTCCTCGCTTATTCTATCTTCGCAGCTTCGGAGAATAGCAGACGCACTATGCCGGAGATACCCTCCGCTCGCCGGGAAAATGGATCTGTTCGCATAGAGCGGTCGGTTGGAGACGGGAAAGTGGAATTGGAAGAGGAGATGAAGGATTGCAGATATTTCGAAGCTCCATTTCTAGGAAATTGAAAAATTCGCGTGAGAATTACGGGAGAAATTGAGACGCTTCTTTTAAGGTAATTTTCTTTCCAAATTTTTCCTGGCCTCGTTTGTTTTTGCTGAAATATTCTCCAATTTTTTTGGAAAACTTGATATTTGAAGTTCTAGAGAGAATTTTCTTTTTCTTTTTGTCTGTGTAGGTTTTACCACGGAGAATTCAGTTAAGTACTTGAGTTTCTTCTTTTGGTTGCTGAGAAAGCGTTGGAGAAGGGAAAGAAGAAGAAAAATAATAAAATTTTGACTCTTTTTTGGTATTTTGTTGTCTTAATTTTCAAGAACAAAACTTAAAAATCCAAATAAGACATAGTTTGCTAGCCGAAAATTTGTTGGGGTTTTTGATATTTCTGAGGCTTAAGATAGAAGCTTACTTGGTGCCTTATAATAATTATTGTTATTATTTGGACATTGTCTGCAAGAAAAACTGTAAAATTGGAACTATATCTAACTGGGGAGTCCTTCCTTCCCCCTTTGTGTAATTAATATGAATTGAAGTTGTGATTGTTACCAGGATAATCAGAAATCGTGGTGGGGCAGCAATTTGTGGATGTTTGCTGCAGTATAAGAGAAATCTATGTCATAAGAGAAATGGTTATAACATTTTATAGTCGAGAAGTTAGAGTCCTAAGGTAATCTTGGAGTTAGAGGTTCAGGATTAGAGTGGGAAGTTATGGCAACAGATATGCAGAAATTGATAGGAGCTAGTGAGGAAGATGATGAAGAGGAAATGGAAATGGATGTAAAAGAAGAGGATGATGAGGATGAGGAGAATGGCGAGAAGCATATTGCTGCACAGATGATGATGGGTGTTGATGGAGTGATGCAAAGTACAAGTAGTAGTGGTCAGTTTCAGCATCACCAGCAACTTCAAGAGCAAGTCAGCACCCCAGGGGGAGGAGGAGCTCGGAGGTCTCGACCACTAGAAGAAAAGGAGCGAACAAAGCTAAGAGAGCGGCATAGGAGAGCAATAACGGCAAGGATCTTGGCAGGGCTGCGGAGGCATGGGAACTATAACCTGAGGGTTAGAGCTGATATCAATGATGTGATTGCAGCTTTGGCTAGGGAAGCTGGCTGGGTTGTTCTTCCAGATGGAACCACTTTTCCATCAAGATCTCAGGTACTAACTTTTTGAATGCATCAGTTTTTTCTTCTTAAATTGTGCAATGATTTTGTTCAATATCAACTGCAAGGTACAACATTGAAATGTAACATTCTCAACAGGACTATAGATTGTTTCATTGTTTAACTTACTACCTAATCTTGGATTATACATACATATACATATTACTCTTTGTCCTGCACAATATTGATGGTGAGGCTTAGAACCATGCATCACTCATTTGATTACACTGCTCTTTAATGCTCCTTTGATCCTCACTTCTGATGAATCTATGGAAAATCCAAATGGGAATGTTTTCACTTTGCAGGGTTCAAGGCCTGCTGCTGGCACTTCTGCTGGCATAACGTCATCATCGTCCCAAATGGTGTCACAACCGACTCCACCTACCTCATTGCGGGGAGTCTCTTCTGGCTATCGGACCTCAGTAGACTACAATGCTTGTCGAATGAAAGGTGTTTTCATGCCTACTCCTTCACCTTATGATCTATCCTCAAGTGCCCATTCTCAAAGTTCAGGCATGGTTGGAGATGGTGGAGAACAAACAGAAAGTCTTCCACTTATTGCTGGTTCCATGGAAGCAGTTAACAACAAACAGGTTTGACAGAGTTATGTGCAGGTCACATTTTCTTGGATGGTTCTTGTGACATTTGTTTACTCTTCTCATCTACAAACCTTATAGGTTATTGATTTACCTCCTAAGCTACCAGAACATGATTTTGCTGGCACTCCATATGTTCCAGTTTATGTGATGCTACCAGTGAGTTTTCTAATTCAAAATTCTTGCTCTATATTTACATTGGCTCATTAGTTATTTTTCAACACTTCGTATTTGGTCCTTTCATCAAATGGGCATGGATAACTTTTTGCAACATCACAGATTTGATGCTTTAGTGTTTCTCAAAGCTAACTACATGCAAGATGTGACAACTTTTTAAGATACTTTCCTAGTTTCAGTATAATGATTCACATTCACACTAATTGTGGCAGTTGGGTATCATCAACATGAAGTGTGAGCTCATTGATCCAGACTGTCTGCTAAAGCAGCTAAGAGTATTGAAATCAATCAATGTAGATGGGGTTATGGTTGACTGCTGGTGGGGAATAGTGGAAGCACATGCTCCCCAGGAGTATAACTGGAGTGGTTACCGAAGACTCTTACAGATGGTTCGTGAGCTTAAGCTTAAGTTACAGGTGAGTTTTAAATGAGTTCTGTACGTGGTTGAATGCTTTCTAATTGCTTGAGGTAGTATGCAATATTTATATCTGAAATCTGATATGGTAAAGACCTCCATTATCACCTACCTTTGATTTTATTTTCATTTGATTTATTTGTTCATATGAGCATAGGTCTTTGTTACTCACCCTCATGTGCCTCATCCTCCAAGAGCACTATAAGTTAATTCAAGCTGAAAGTAATCGAAAGCCATGTTACCTTAATTGGTGGCCATGTTCATCAGTGGTATGTCTTAGGAGGGTAGGCTGCATTTAGGAATTGTACTTCATAACTCCTTAGAGCTTGAGTCAAGCTTTTGAATATTGGAAAGAAATTTGAAATTTCCACCAGTTACTAACTTTAGAAGAGAAAGAAACAATCTGAACATTTACAACTTAATTTAGATAAGTAACCCGGACAATTTAGACTGCCATGAGTAGTTAAAGTTTCTTTTCTCTTATATCTGAAGCTTGTTTTTAGATGTGAAAACAGTTATGATGTGTTATTTCTTTTTCTTCACTTTTTGGATGTGATCCTTCTAAAGATTTGTTCCAAGTGTGACAGTTATCTAATTGATGGATCAGGTTGTGATGTCGTTTCATGAATGTGGTGGCAATGTTGGTGATGATGTTTGTATTCCTCTTCCCCATTGGGTTGCAGAAATTGGTAGAAGTAATCCTGACATATTTTTCACTGATAGAGAAGGAAGAAGAAACCCTGAATGCCTCTCATGGGGGATTGACAAGGAACGAATTCTAAGGGGCCGAACTGCTGTTGAGGTATTAGTCTTTGATATAATTGTCAGGCATTACTTAGTCTCTAACTTTGTAACAATTGCTATTGATGCTATTGTGTACGTCATACAAATTCCAGGCTTTACCGCATTACATTCCGCCTTCTTCATTTATTGTGAATCATTAAATTTATTTGCAAACAACTGAAGCTAGTTCCATGCATAAGTTCTGTCAATATAACTGGCAATGGATCTGACTTTGGATCTTATTTATGTAAAAATCACCATTGCTACAAAACAAAGTGACTTCAAATTTGCTATTTTGTGGAATTTACTTTTGAGGGATATTTAAACAGATTTGTAATGCTAACTTGGTTTGCACTTTTCATCCTTCAATGTCAAGCTAGTATTTTTGTTAAGGGTAGATTTTTTGATGTTTTAACTTTTTGTTGGTGAAAATAGGTATACTTTGACTATATGAGAAGTTTCCGGGTGGAATTTGATGAATTTTTTGAGGATGGTATTATATCCATGGTTGAAGTTGGACTAGGTCCCTGTGGGGAGCTACGCTACCCATCTTGTCCAGTAAAGCATGGATGGAGATATCCTGGGATTGGGGAGTTCCAGGTAATTGTTATTATAATTTGAATACCAATCCTGCATTGTTTAAATCTGACGCATTCTTACAATATTTGACGAGTTGCTTATTTAACCCATTGGGGTACACAGCGATTTGATATGAAGTTCATGCTACAAGAACAGTGATTTGTTTTGTCTAATGGGAAATTCGAAAGAAATTCTGCAATCTAGAACCAGATTCACCAATTTGATTTTTTAACCCTAAATGTGACAACTGATTTTTCAATAACTATTTATATAGATTAGTATAATGTTTTGCTGCTATATGTATGTTTTGTCGCTCAGATTCTTCAATGCCATTTTCACACGCCTGGAACCTTGGCCTACATCTTCCCTCTCTCTCTCTTGGCCCATTTATTTTTACTGGCTAGTAGGAAAGGGACCAATAAATAGGAAATGCAGACTAGCCAGGCCTTCTAGGAGTTAAAAGGGCTATATTAGCGTGCTCAGTGTTCTTATCTGTTATGCTTGTGTTAAGATGTGGGTTCCTTGCCGGCAGTTCTTTTCAAATTTAGAGCAAGTATTTTCATAATGATTATTAGTATTGCTCTAGTGCCAGCCTGGCTAGTTTTAATTCTCTTTGTTTTTGCTTCTGTTTGTCTCTGTACATTGCATGTTTGTGGTTTTCTCACCCACATTGCCAAGAGCATTAAATTTTTGGTTCTCCTGTGGGCATCATATAGATAACTCTCTCCTTTTGCAGTGTTATGATCAGTACATGTCAAAAAGCCTGAGGAAAGCAGCAGAATTGAGGGAACACAGCTTCTGGGCTAGAGGGCCAGATAATGCTGGGTCCTATAATTCCCAGCCAGATGAAACTGGTTTCTTTTGTGACGGAGGAGACTATGATGGTTACTATGGAAGGTTTTTCCTTAATTGGTACTCTCAGGTATTAGTCGATCATGGAGACAGGGTACTCTCTCTGGCAAAATTAGCTTTCGAAGGCACTTGCATTGCAGCAAAGGTGAGTCACCTGAATAGATATATCTTATATTGGATTGAATTTTTTTGCTATTACCCCCTAGTATTGATATTATTATTCATTGTTTAGCCTGATAGCAGTCTTGTTTTACTTCAACCCCTTCAACTCTGGCCCTTGTTTAAGAGTGTTGTCTTTTTCCATCCTTAAACTCCCTAAATCCTGGTGAATTGAGAAATATGCCAAGGTCCAAGTCTTGTTTCATGTCTTAATGTTTTGAACATGCTATTATAAGAGTTCATTCTTCAACATGAATGCTTAAAGTAATTATAGGCAATTGAAGATTGTAAATTGTTATGATATTTTTATTCAAGTTTAATTCTAATATGTAGCATTTGATCTATCAAATTACATAAGAAAAAAACTAAATTGTTTTATAATGGCTTTTACATGTTCTATTTTTACTCCCTATATACTCATTTTGACAAGATCTTTCAAATTTGCAAATGAAGAGTTCTTCTTGCCCTCCCCCTTTCTTTCTCTTCCTATCCTTTTTGTTGCTCCTTCCACCATAATTTGTTTAGAGGTTTCCTCCTGCAGTTAAGTTCACTTGCATACAAATTTTGGTACCTTTTCTAAACTAATTTTAAAAGTTGTTTCCACAAGCTACGGAGTATTCGCTTTTTTTTGCCATGTTTAATTGCTGAGCAGCTGCCAGGTATTCACTGGTGGTATAAAACAGCTAGTCATGCTGCTGAATTAACTGCTGGATTCTACAATCCCTGCAATCGTGATGGCTATACTGCAATAGCAGCGATGCTACATAAGCATGGAGCTACTTTAAACTTTGCATGTCCTGAACTGCATTTGTTAGAGCAGCATGAGGACTTGCGAGAAGCATTGGCAGATCCTCAGGGTTTAGTCTGGCAGGTGAGGTTTTGAGAGCTTCTGATGAGCTTTAACATTTACTTGCTATTAGTTTTCCTTTCTCCCAGAGGAACACTTTTTCTTTGGAAAAACCTGGCAAATTAGAGAACCATTTGCAATATGTGACTGTAAATTCAATGGTGCTGATTCCATATTCAAAGCTAGAAGCTTAGTAATTGTCTGTTTCAGGTGCTGAATGCTGCATGGGATGTTTGCATTCCATTAGCAAGTGAGAATGCTCTGCTTTGCCATGATAGGATAGGCTATAACAAGATATTGGACAATGTCAAGCCTGTAAATGATCCAGATGGAAGACATTTTTCATCTTTTACTTACCTTAGGCTCAGTCCACTTCTCATGGAGAGACAGAATTTCATGGAATTTGAACGGTTTGTCAAACGAATGCATGGTAAGTTATTATAATTTTTCTCTTCAAGGCATTTTTTACTATTTATTTATCTATGGATGGGGACCTGGGTAGGGGGTTTAAAAAAAAGGACTTTTTCAATTGAAGCGAAACAGGGCCAAAAAGGCCTATAAAACACTGGCAAAACTGAAACTAGAACAAGGAGTGAACTATTATTATCAAAAAAAAAGAAATTTCAACCTTGAAGCCCAAATGAACAAAATCATATTTGATTTTGCCCCAATTCATATGTTGTATCTCATTGAAGTTGAAAATCTCTCTCTCTAAAATGAAGATCCTAAAAGTGGAATAAAATCGAGTTTGGTATGGCTTTGGTTTTCTTAGTTCTGGGAGGTATAAAACTTACCCAAGATCAGAGGTTTAACTGCTTTGCTATTTCCTCCCCTAAGTTTTACTTTAGTACTCCTATCTCTTCCTCCCCATAACAATGTCTATCCTCTCCTCTCGTCATAAGAGTTGAGATTTCTTAGAATTTGTCCTATAAAGGGTGAGATCAATTTGAACAACATAGTGGCATTGAGTAAACTGATTATTGACTCCTATCTCATCTTCGTTGCAGGAGAAGCGGTTCTAGATCTCCAGGTATAGCAAGGGGTAGGGAAGCTCCTTAAAATCATGTATCATTTCTTTTGCCCCTCAACTAATGTTGAAGGTACACATGTTGCATATTAGGGTAATGTTAGTTAATTTAACAAACACTTGTGTAAATGGAAATCATGGATAAAAGTGAAGTATTTTTGGACCGCTCCTTGACATGCCTAGCTGTTTTTAACTTAGGTCAGGTAGTTAATCGATCAATGATCAATTGATTGATTTACCATTTAAATTTGAGGACATTAGTATTTCTTTTGAACGCAAACTATCTTGACATTTTTCCTTGGAATAGTGGCAAATATAGGTTACCATTGAATCATACCCTTCTTTTCCTTTTTCCTTTGTTGCTCAAGCCATTGACAACCAAAAAACGAAAAGCAGAAGGAAATAGACTCATCCAATCTACAACCTTACCCAGGCAACAAAGAAGCCAAGTCCATTTCGGCTCCCACGTATCAGTTCTCACCCATTTATTCTATTTTATTCATATCCAATGTTGGTGTGCCCCTTCTCCTGCAGGCCATGAGAGTTGAAATATAAGGTGATAATACTCAGGTGGTTGTATGCCAAAAGGTTAGCCCCTCATTCATGTTAACGCATGACCAAAGCCAATGAACATCAAGAAAAAGGGATGCTCTACTTTGATAAAATTGATTTACTTTTATGTACAAACTATCATTCTTATAATAATTCCATATTTGGTAATCAAGCAATGAATTGCAGGGTGCATGAAAGAATGCATCTTGCAGGGTTTTTTTGTTTTGTTTGGGAAGCGAGGTGGGGTGGGGAATAGGGATGGAGAGAGGTTGAGCATTGTTCTATGAAACAGACTTCTTGAACACCATGTGGCCGGACTCATCTACCTCAAAAAGGCGCTCTACAAATTCATCCCAACTCTCCCTTCTTTTCCTAGATGGTAACTCAGATACCTCACTTGATCTGCCAGAAAATTCAGCTTCTTCCATTTCATGGAATGTTCCATATGACAAAGGCGAGTAAGCTTGAGGGATATCCAAAGCAACTGCCCTCTGCATAGCTGCCTTGTGCTCTTCACTGTGTTCTCGAGCAAGAGACTCCTGTCGCTCCATTTTCTGCTTTGCAGGAATCTGCATTATCTCATCTTTCTCCACCATCAACTGCATTCAACAGAATGCGAACATATTATTTTGTTGTAGTAATGAAATCTTTTCATATTTCAACCACCTAAGGTTTTCCACCTTTAATATTTAAAGCAATCATTGAGATAATTATATGCAAACGTAACAACTAAACTCACCAAGTACCTGCGGAAGAGAGTGCATAGCAAATGCAGAATAATGAATTTATTATATATGATTTTTCCCTATGCATCTTGTTAGCAGCTTCACCTACCATACCATACATATAGATTGGAAAGAAACTAAGGGGGAGATCCCTGGCTCATAAACACAAAAGTTGATGATGGTAGCCAAACTTTCTGTATTGTTTCCTTTCCAGCACCCCCAAAAGCCCCTTAAAGCTGATTAGATTCTTAATATCTATCATTTCCAACAGAAAGAAAACAGCTAGTTTAAGATTCAAGCTCTCATGTCTGTGCTAAAACATTTCTTTTTGATTGCTTTAATTGTGACCATAGATGCGTAATGGTTTACTACCTCAAAGCACAGTCCAAAGGTCAAGAATCTGTAAACTTACATCAAGGGCTCTTTGGGACTCTCTCTCTATCCAAATAATGGCATGGTCAGAGGTTGCATTGCAGGATAGAACTATATGCTCAAACCTCCCATCAACAGGTACCGCTGTCCTCACCACTGGGGGATATCTTCCTATCCTGCAATTAGGACAAAGGAAATTCATATGAAGCAATGAAATGGCAAAAACATCTCGATTAATCCCAATAAATATGTTATGATATTTAAGTGATTAGAAAGAGACTTTTGACCACAGCTTGGACTTATTGGCCTCTTTCACTAGGAACCCCCTTCTTTATTTGTTTTATATCAAGCAGACCCGTGTTACTCATATACCAGCAATAATTATCAAGGAGTTTCACCCCTCTAATAACTGGTGTTGAAAACAAAAGCAATTCATCCTCTATTGTTGATTGATTCAAAAATTTGTCAAAATAAATCCCATAATACCTGCAGGGCTTTCTTTCTACAATGTGGTACAGGCGACCAGGTGCATACAGCCGCCTTGGATCTTTAAGCATCTTCTCCTCCATGGTGCAAGTGTCCTTCAAGCAAATTAGGCACAACAAACATGGTAAACTGCATATTGAACAGAAGTAAAACCAGCCCTGTTATGCAAGCATCAAATCATTCCTAAGATCGAAGAGAGTTTGGCTTTCTGAAATCACATTTTGCAGAAAATATTGGGAAATCCCATATTAAGGAAATTAGTAATGGAAAGGTGACTAAGACATACTATATTTTACCAGAAGAGTGATTTGAAAACATCTTCCAAAGCGGTGGTTGTTCGAGGTAAAAAATCATCCTGGGTCATTAGAATAGCTCATGTTAGAACACAAGCATACAAGATATTATTAGACATTATAATATGTTGACCTAACCTAAACCTTCTAACAAATTTAACAGACTGAAGTCAATGAACCAAGTCCATATATACCAATATACTGCAACAAACATAAGTACAAGTTTACAATATAAAAGTATGAAAATATACCTGAAGCACAACAGAATTGATGACATCCGCATATCTAACGGCCAAATTGAGAGACATACACCTAGCAGGAGCAATGGCATAGCATCTAATCCGTTTCCTCTCCATGAATCCCAATTTGCCGCGATTTTTAACTGCAACCATCACCAACAATGCCACCACCCCTGCCCCAAGGGAATGCCCAGCAAATGTCAAAGTGTAACTTGGATTCTTCTCAAGTAATTCCCTTAAAACCTCACACTCGGCATCAAAAACCGATCCTGCGGCCTTCAATAACCCATTGTGCACATAGCCACCATCAAATTTTGCCTGCCCAAGTTTGTTATCAAGCAAAACAGCATAATCACTTTCCTTTGCTAAATTAAGTCCCCTGACAGCCAAGACAATATCAGCATGATCGTGATCCAAGTAAATCATGTAAGGAGGAGCTCGGCCTTGAGTTTCTGGGTCATTTTTTCTTAAGATAACCCAATCGGGGTCAATGCCATAGCCTCCAGGGGGAGCCCATAGAGGATTATGAAGATCATCTTCATAAACTGATAAAATTAGACGACAAAGGCGTGGCACTGCCTCAAATTCCTCAGCTGTGGCTAAACCCCAGTGCTCACTTTCATGGCCTGCAGTGTATAGACATTTCTGCCATACCCAACGGGCACAGGCCAAACAGTAGACACATTCAAGGATGGGACAGCAACAGGCGATTGACATAGACGCACCTATGAATCAAACATGTTAATAACATGCCACGGACTCCATATCAATGTAAAGATTTGATAATATGTAATAAATATAAAGCGGGTACTTTTTGTTTTGATCAAAGGTGGAAATGAAAACTTCAGGTTGGGAAAATCTGGGTTTAGAAAGTTGATTAAGTTTCCAAAAGGAAACATCCACTGATGAAGGCATAAGCCAACTAAATTGAAGGTAATTAATGGTCTCTGGAATCTCAAAGGGGCCCAAGTGTTAGCAAAAAGAGTATATACACTGCCGTAGCTCAAATTGATATGCTTTCCTAAAGAGAAGTCGAAAACGAAATTCCTGATAAAGAAGAACAAAAAAGCCAGAAAAGTTTCATATTTTCACTTGAGGGTGTGCAGGAAAAGGGCGCTCAAAAGTGCAGATAATCATATCTATATATATAAAAAAAAGGTTTCTCTGCCAAAAAAAAAGTTGCAAAATTTGAGAAAAAAAGAGAAAACTTTGAATTACAAAGTGGGAATTCAAGAAGCAAAGACGATAGTATTTAATGGGTGTATCTGAAGATTGGAGAAGTTTAGTGGTGGGGTTGTTTTATGCTACAGCTACTTTTCTAATAGTGGTTGGATGAGAATTAGCAGAGGAAGAAGAAGAACAAAAGAACAGCTCAAAGAAGAGACAAAAAGATTAAATAAAAACAAAGAAAAAGGTTGAAAGAGAAATTAAGGAAGAAAGAATTAGGTTGAATGCCGTGGCTGAATTGGCTACAAAGCTTAATTATACCTGCTGGTCAAAACCCCCATTTGCTCCTTCCAGTCTTCGAGTTGGCTTTCCAGAATCTACTCACTGGAATTCTTTGATTCCGTTAGCTTCCATGCACATCGCTTTCTTTCCTGCCTTATTTAGCCATGAAGGGGAACTCGATGGGTCAACCCATTCGGCCCATTTTCATTATTGGGCTTTCGGGCGTACGGAGATTCTGTCATTCTTTATTTTTTAGGCCAATTAGTATGAACCCAAGTAGATAGTTTTTCCAACATTTGATTAACAGGCCAAGGAGCCCGACCCGAATTACAACCGATAAATAGGCCTGAAACGCGGAACCCTAGTCATTTTCTCTTGTGCAGCCGGGGAGGTGAGACCGCCCTTGGAAGCTTAACTGAAACTTGCAATCTTTTCAGAATATGCAAAGCTAATCTATGTTATTCTCTTTATCGCAGCTTCGAGGTTTTCTAGGAGGTATTCAGTTGGAGCTGTTTGGTTGCTGAGAAACTAAGCTGAAACTGCTACATTTTTCGTTGATTTGTGTCTGATTCTGTTGGAAAGGTTTTTGTTTTCAATGTAGCTTGTTTGATAGTTGAAGTTTAAAAGTGCGTGTCAATAGCATAAAGTTATCTGTTACTCTCTGGTTTCCGAGGAATTGAGGAAGAAGTCATTAGGGGTTCTGGAATTTTGAAGGTTTTAGGCTTTGGTTCCCTGGAAATGGTAATCCTTTACGCATTTTCACTGGCTCCAAAACTAAAATCTGAAGCCCATCATTCCCAGTCTCTTCTTTCTTTTCTCAGAAACTAATTAGAAACATTACTCATGTATGTCTTCAAATCGAATAGTTCTTACTAAACAGTTAAGTTGGTTGTAAAGTCTGTTTGAACTGAGGAAAGATGATTGGGACATACTTTTATCATAGTGCTGAATTCAATTTGATGATTTTTAACTATCTGATTTGATCCTTTTTAACCTCATTTGCGTTTTACCATTAATCTTTAGTATGGTTGATCTCATTTTGTTCCCTGAGTAGATAATTTGGATTGTTTTATATTTTCTTAAACATATTTTAGGTTTGTCCGGTTAAAAATATTCATGTTGGATGGTTAAAATTCATCAAATTGAGTTTTTATATTTTTTTTTCATGTTTTATATGTGAAAAAAATGCTATGCAATCCCAATGAATTTCTCATGTGGACATGTCATAACAACCTAAGATTGTTTATTTGTTAGGTCTATATTATCTTGAGTTACAATTTTTTTTTGTCTGGACCCTTGTTTGCTTGTAACTAAGTCTGTAAATTTCTTAAGGGATCTATGTCGATGAAACAGCATAAATGATGTTTCCATGCCGTTTTTAGATGTTCTAATTATGTGGTGATACTTTATATTTTTACTAATTATGTATGACATCATTGGTTTTCTACAATTTTGATTTATGATGTTGTGCTTGATGTTTGGAGGGCAATTTTTCTGGCTATCTGGTATTTGTGAATCTGTTGATTTTTGTAATACCCCTTTCATTTTTCATTATTTAAAAATAAACAAATCTTCTCCTTGATCTTTGGATAAATTTGAAACTTATAATGGGCACATGTCTTTTTCTTTAATTTTCTTGTGAGGCAATAGTATTTTAGTTTATCAAGTTCTGCTTATATTTAATCACAGGGTTAGTTTCTTATGCCATGTAAGCTTGGTGGAAAGGGAGGGTATTGATATAAGTGTAGGATTTTATCTTGTCGTTTGTATTCCTTTTAAAATACTATGCTGTGTTTTTGAAGATGTATGTTTAAAATGCCTTTTTTTTTTCTCTTTGTTTGGTCTAAGGATTGGGGTGGTGTTTGGTGTTTGAGACTGGATTCCCTGTTTCATGGTGAGATGACATTAATGTCTAGACATCAATAATTGAAACTCTTCACTAGTCAATCAATTATTATTAACAAGAATTACATTCTATACTTATTCAGTATGTTTAAGTGGTTTATAGAAATCTCTTGCCTTTCTTACACTGATATAAATTCTGACTTGTTTTGTGGGTGATGCTTCTTGCAGGTGATGGCACCAAAGCAACCTAATACTGGCCTTTTTGTGGGCTTAAACAAAGGACATGTTGTCACCAAAAAGGAATTGGCTCCCTGCCCTTCTGATAGAAAGGGGGTAAGGTTTCCTGCTGTTCAAAAGTATCATGCAGTTGCATTCTCAATTCTGTGGACTTTTTTAAACTTTTTTTATGGGCATAGAGGAAGGTTCTTATGATGAAGTCATGGCAAGCAACCTAAGAAGTGGCCTTTTTTTTTTCTTGCGGACCCTTCAGTATGTCTGTATGTTTTTATTACTTTTAGAACCTACCATCATGTTGTCTAGATGATAAGGCCTGCATTGTTGATATATTCTGTTTATTGATCTACAATTTTTTTTCCTAGAAAACCAGCAAGAGAGTCCACTTTGTGAAGAGCCTAATTAGGGAGGTTGCCGGTTTTGCTCCTTATGAGAAGAGGATTACTGAACTTCTCAAGGTTGGAAAAGATAAGCGTGCCTTGAAGGTGGCAAAGAGAAAGTTAGGCACTCATAAGAGGGCCAAGAGGAAGCGTGAGGAGATGTCCAGTGTTCTACGCAAGATGAGGTAACAGAGTCTAATGATGACTGAATACTCAATATCGATATTTAATGGCTTTTCTGTTCTGATGAGGTGTCATTGGGCGCTGATGCATTTCTTGTCTATTGCAGGTCAGCTGGAGGTGCAGAGAAGAAGAAGTGAGTTGGATTATGGTCGTACTTCATAGACAGTTCAACTTTTTGACGTGTCAATTTTTCTTCTGTGTCTTGTTTTGAGAGTTTTGACTTGCTTATAGAGCTCAAAATTTTGTAGTATTGCCTCCAAATTTTGAGAATTGTTGTGTTACAGTTGGTTAAAATTGGTGCTATATCAATTTCTTTGAATTTTTTAATCTGCAATTGGTTCACTGGATCATGAGAATATTGACCTGATCCAAAGATGGAAACAAGCTGCAGTGATGAATCCTTGAATGGAACTTGAAATGATTCAAGTTTACCATTGAATCTGATTTGCCTTTAAATGCAAAGGATTATTGAGCAGGGGCAGAGGCAGATGCAGAGGGAGAGGCAGGGCATCCAGTCTTACCCTCGGTTTGAGTATGTTACTTAGAACTGAGTGACTTTCCGCAAAGTGAGGGCTTATGTGATTTGATATAACCGAGATAACCGAGATCGATGCTCTAACCAATTTTGAAATTTTCAGCACGTGAAGATTATGTTTTCAACTTCATTCTGCGTTTGATATGCAATTTGGACTTGGTTCAGAATATTATATACATACATGCATATATATAGATATAAATATATTTATACATGATTACGTTCACAATGTGATCTAGAAGAAGGATTAGTTTCAGTTTACAAGCATTAATTAATATTTAATAAAACCCGTGTTTCAATCATTTTGCAAGTTTTCATTGATTTTTTTAATAAACACTTTTCTTATTTTTACTAATATTTCTAGAAAATAAATAATAGAAAGGTTTAAATAGTTAAAAAGTTTCTACAGTATGATTATTTTTTAAATTAAGATTTTCACTTTATTGTATCTAATTAAGTATTTAAAATTTGAAATATATCTAAACAAGTTTAGTTTAAACAAAAGATTAATCATTGTCAAATTTAATTATAATTTATTTACACTCGCATGATAATTATATTTAAGATAAATTGTAAACAATTGATAAAAACTTTCCCACTGGGATTTTACCTCTCTCACGGTTACTACTATGATTAACCTAACAACTCTTTGACAATCAGAGTGATATTGAAGGAAAGTTCTTTTCATTTTCTGCTTTCTTAAATCTTCAATAAAATCAAATTACCAAACTTGTTGGGTTAGTAGTTGAAAGCAAAAAATTAATTTAAACCTGACATGTGTTTATTACAAAACTTAAAACAGTGTTAATAAAGATTTCTCATAGATAATATTTCAAGAAATGTATTTTTTTTTTCAGTTGATGTATCCTCTAAACACCAAAACAAATAAAAATACTACTATCAGTTAAAATGTAAAAATATTTGCATAAAAGTTCACTCTATCAATTGTTATATACTATTATATATATAAGTTAAGTGGATTATTGATATTAATTTTTTAAAATTATTATTAGGATTAATCACATGGCCTAAGGTTGTGTTATAGATCAAAATTTAAACTCAACCCTGGACGACTTTAAATTTTAAAATAAAATTTAAATAAATTTATAATTCATGAGTTCACATTTTCAATTCAAAAAGTATATTTGATAAATAATAAAAAACTCATATTGACCAACATCCATACCATTTTTGTGGACTTAGGTTCTTAAACTAGAGCTGAAGTAAACTTGTAAATTATCGATTTACATTTGAACTCAAAAACCATACTTGATAAATAGTGAAATATTTATATTTATACACTTTACATCTATCTTATTTTCGTTATACTAACTCTTTACCTGTAGAGAAAATAAATTGTTATACTAGTCTGAATCTATTTCGCTTTTTATATAATTATGTAATCTCATGTCAATAAAAAATTGAATTTATTCTAATATTATTTGTTACGAATCATACTTAAACACAAAACTTAAGTTCAACTCCATTTAGAGTTAAAAGTAATATTATAAATTATAAATTTATATTTTTAATTAAAAAAATATGTATAATAAGTGATTGAAAAATTTATATTTATATGGTAGTTCATAACTAACCCAACCTATTCCTCAAAAATCACGTGGATCCCCTCACCTTTCTTATTTATTCCACTTCTTTTAAATAAAAAAATTTATTGCTTTGACTCTTCCAGCTTCACTTTCATGCTGCTACATTCGGAATCACTTGATCTCCACAATCACTCCATTTTTTTTTCCTTTTTTTTTTTAATATTCTCTGTAATCTCTCTCCTCGGCTTCAGTTTCCGTGTTACCGCTATTCCACTTAAGCTCAGCCATGGACACCGAAGCAGGTGAATTTTTCTTTTCTCTATCCTTTAATCTCCGGTATTCCTCCGATTGGTCACCGACCAACCGCAAGAATTATTTTTCTGGGAAGATTTAATCTCCCGCCTAATTATTTGCTTACTTTCTCCAAATTGTGTGAAATGTTTTTGTTTTCTTTGAATTTTTGCAGTAATCGAGTTTTTAGGCAACGTTCCGTTGCTGCAGAGATTACCGAGTTCTTCGCTCAAGAGAATAGCTGAAGTCGTGAAGTTTAAACACTATGGTAAGTTTTCCAAATTCTGATCCAAATTCAGTTAAATGAAATGCTTGCGATTGGCCTTTCCGTTTGATTTGCGTCTGTTTTTTCTTTCATCTGCTTTATTAGCAACAAAACAAATTCTTTGATGAGTTTAAGTTAAAGTACAGTGGAGAATATTAGAACTGATTCATTTACTGAATTTGCTTGAACCAATTTGGTTTGCAGAGAAAGGAGATTATGCTGTTCGTGAAGGTGAATTTGGAGATGGAATATATTTCGTATGGGAAGGAGAGGTCTGTTTTAGCTATTTATGTCCATAATATATTTCCTTTCTCTTTCGAGGCTTTGCTATTTTTTTTTTTTCCTTTCTAAGAAATTGAAACAAGTAGATAATATTTAATTGAGGATGAGGAAATAGCTAAAATGCAATAGACAAACGACCATAATTGTTTCCTAAAAAAGTAAAATTTTTTATTCAAACTCTCTTTTTGATTATGTTTTTAGAAGCAACATTCTAACTAAAAGTAACAATCGAACGGATTTGTTTCTTCTCAAGCTTGTTAAGGTTCAGTTTTGTGGTTTACAGGCTGAAGTCTCTGGATCAGCCCATGCTGAGGAAGAAAACCGACTTGAGTATCAGTTGAAACGATATGATTACTTTGGCAATAGTGAGAAGCTTGTCATTTTTTCCCTTATGTCGATATTTTTTGCAAATTGAAAGTTATAAAGTGCTGGCCTATTTTGTATGTACAGTTGCGTGTGTGCATGTGTGTTTGAATAATCTCATATTAACTGAAGTGGCTTAAAATCAACTAATGATGGAGACATTCATCCGCAATAGGAAATAACTGAGCTTGCTTTTGCAGTTATTTTCTCTGTTCATGTGGCTGATATAATCGCTTTAACTAAGGTAGCTACTTGTTTCTTTCTTCTCCCTTGCATCACTTTTCTTGAAAAGCACATTGAACCAACTGCTCAAACATATGAAAATGCGCTCCGAGGGAAAACTAATACGGAGTGTTTGTTGTATTATCTGTAAATACAGCTGACCTGCCTGGTGCTACCTCATAAGCATTTCACTTTGCTTCAGTCAAAATCTATCTGGTGCGCAGATAAGACACTTGAGACCTCTGCACTTGTGGAAAGTATATTGCATTTGGAGCCAATAGAAGTATGCTTCTTCTGTTGTCATCTCTTTTTTTTCTTGTTTGGCTCAAAGCTTTACCTTTATGCATACCTTATGGAGCATCTATACACTGTTGATATTTTGGGAGCCAATAGAAGTATACTGATATTTTTCATGCTAGTGAGTAAATGTTTAGTATAACAATGTTGCTTGTCGCAACTTGTGATTAAGTGTCTCTTGTTGAAGAAATACTTTTTTTTTTCTTTCATTTTACTAATTGTCATAAATACTCAAATTTGCCTGAGTTCCAAATCATAATTACCTGTATGTACTGCTGGACATGTTCAGATTATATTGTCAAGTCTGAGCAGTGCTCACCCTTCAACTGCATAAGCTATGCATGTATATGAGATAAGAGCTTTGAGGCTTTTAAATAATGTCTCCTTTAACATGTAATACATAAATAAATAAATAAATGACATGGTATCTTTGAAGGAAAAATAGCTGAATAATCATAACTGAAGGCATGGAAATCTTTGAGCTTGCATAGATTTTAAGGCTCAACCTATGAGCCTATGGTCCCACTCTCCCAGTTATTTATTGGAAACAAATATTTCTCCCATTTTCCTCCACCTGGAGTCCTAATCTACATGTAACCTTCGTTATCATGTGCCCTGTTCACCCTTTTCATCAGCCACCAACTTAAGCTAACAGAAACATTCTGCATTCATAGTTTCCTACATCTAAAGTTGGTTAAAGTAAGATGAAAATACTTATTAATATTTCCATATGGATAGTGAGAAGTTTTATAGCTCATGTTTTCTTGGTATACTCTTAATCATGCCATTTTTCTTTCCTTAGTGAACCATGCTAAAAAATAGTGATGGAAAATATTTGACATCACTAATTCTTCAGATAACCTCTATAACAAGACTTTGTTTCTGTTTGTTGAAGTTGAACATATTCCAAGGAATTACTTTGCCAGATGCACCGAAATTTGGGAAGGTCTTTGGAGGACAGTTGGTTGGACAGGCATGTTTAAGCTTCTTTCTTTCCTTCATTCTGCTTGTCTACTTCTGGTCCCCCAGGTTTACCTTTTACGATAATATAGTTTAGACAAATGTATTAAATGTAGGCAAGATGCTTCCCTTGTATTTACTTGTGTGCTTGATGTATGCCATACTCAATGATCTGCACTGTTGTTTTAGAAGAATATTATCAGTTTTTAAAATGGCTACTATCTAGTGATAGTTTGTGAGGTCAAATGGTGGCCTGATATATTTTTGCTGATAAGTACAAATGATTCATAGATGAAATTGCTGGCAATCAAAACTAAACCTCTTGCTTGTTGGGTGAAATGGTAGACATACATTAGTTTATTTTAATGAATATATAACTACATATGGAGGTTGGTATTTAGTTCATATCAAGGTAGGCTGTTTTCTGCTCAAAATCTTTGAGAGAGAAAACAGAGAATTTAAAGAAACTCAGCTCATGTCCTGCTATGCAGACAAACTGTTTGCTTCCTGATATGTCAACATTAAGTGGTTTAATTCACTTAATGGACTTAGTAATTGTTGTCCTAATTGCTTCCTGTTGATTATCATATTGTTTAAAATAGCTAACTGTTTCCTTCCTTTTCTTTTCTGTCATCATGTATTCAGGCACTGGCTGCAGCATCAAAAACTGTTGATTCTCTTAAAATTGTCCATAGTTTGCACTCTTATTTTCTTCTGGTTGGGGATTTTAGCGGTAAGTGCCTTATCTGTGAGCATTAGTGCAATGAATAGATTCATCATATGTTCTTTGTTTTTAGAAATGTCCTATCCATGATATATTTACATTGTGAGTTTGTAACTCAATATGTGCATGACTCACTGTAAATGGGTCATTATCCTGTCATTTTCAAACTTCATAACTCATAAGAATTTGATATATGTCTAAGCTAATAAATTTCATTCTTGTTTCTTTGTTGTCTTCCTGTCATATGGAAGGGTCTAGTACTTTTTAAATTGAAGTTATATACTGTCATTACCGACTTTTTATTCCTCAAAAAAGCTTGCACAAACTGCAGAAGCAATGTTGTTCACCTTAGCCTCCAAAAGATTATCAGTGCTACCCTGTTGTTTATCTAAAATAGAATTTGTCATAGAGATGGCGGTTGGGTGAAGGCATTGAGCATGCTATTCTAGTTTGTGTTTGTGTTTAATGTGTATGTAGTTTTGTGAGAAAATTATTTGATCATCCTTCCGATCAAGAAAAAGATCAGCAGTACAGATTAATCTTGGCTTTTACATCATTTTTCTTTATTGAACTTTGCATTCTAAATCACTGATTTATGCTGTTATTGAAATTAGCAGTTCAAGTGAAAAAGTTCTTAATAACAGATATTTATACATACTTTTACAGTACCAATAATATATCAAGTTAATCGTCTACGTGATGGTAGAAACTTTGCTACCCGTAGAGTAGATGCAATACAAAAAGGAAACATCATATTCACTTTGCTAGCTTCTTTTCAGGTATGCAGTGTCCTCATTTTTATATTCAAGGGTCATCATCTACTTTCTTATAACTTCAGTTGTTGACTTTTTTGTATGTTGTATGGGCTTGAACGTTTGACATCTCTTGAGAGGTAGAGTGCAATTTAAATCTATGAAGAACTACCATTACCCAATCTTTCACTTCAGGGAGTTAGTTTGTTTCATACTATCTGAAGATTGATATTGTTAGGAAGAAAAATCAGTATACAAGGTGGTTTGAAAGAACATCAAAGAAGAGTATCTGTTTTGCAGTGCTTACTCTGATCATTTAGGAAAGGTTCCAATAATTGCAGAATTTTTTGATTTGGGATGGTAAACTCGAAAGCGAGTTGGTAATCATGTATTACTATTAAAGCAAAAGAAAATTGAGTTGAATTTGCTCTTTCCAACTTGTTAATAAACCCATTGTTTTATCTATAGAAAATATGTAAGGAAGATTTTAACAAAATTAGGTGCAGAACATACAACAATAGTTTACTCCAGCAGCCATGTTATTATACCTTTTTGATACTGGTTTGTTGGTTCAATAATCTGTAAGACTCTTATTGTTTTACCTAAATTCATGATCTATTTTAATATGTGCTCAAGTGATTGCTGCTGAAAGGATACTTGTAGCCTCTCAGATTTCTTGTAATATTAGGTGAGTTGATTTTACAGAGAGAAGAAGAAGGGTTTGATCATCAAGAATCAATTATGCCATCTGTGCCAGCTCCTGATGTGGTAAATAATATATGCTTAAGTTAACATTTCCTGTCATTTGCTGCGGTGGATAATTGTATTAGACTTTGACCTATCACAGCTTCTGTCATTGGATGAGCTACGAGACTTACGTCTCACTGATCCCCGTCTTCCTATGTAAGAATTTTAATACTCACTACTACTATAATTTATTGCTATATGTAAGTGTACATGGGTGTCCTAATATTTATGTCTCTTTGGATAGTTTGCTTATTTTGAGTCTTCCTGTGTTAGGTGCCAATGACTCATAATCTGTTGTTTCAGGAGTTATCGGAAAAAAATTTCTACAACAAATTTTGTTCCTTGGCCAATAGAGATAAGGTTTTGTGCACCTAACACTAACACAAACCAGACTAAATCTGCTCCAAGGTTAGCTATGTTTTTGTGGTGTTGCGTAATCTTACCTTTGCCAATTCACATGGACATATGAATGTTATGTTTTAATTTGCGTTTACCCATTTAGCTTATGTCTTTCACTTAGGTGCAACCTTATTTGAGAATGATAATTTGCTTTACAGATTGAGGTATTGGTTTAGAGCCAAAGGAAAACTATCAGATGATCAAGCTTTGCATAGGTCAGTGATCTCTTTTTAAATGCTAGATACTTCCTACTTTTTGTCTATGTGTTTTCACTTTTCATGACTACTTTTTCTGTACTCATGACTTGGCGAAATGTTTAATCTTCTTCTGCATATAGTGTAGCTTAATTAGTCTGTTCTGTCAAAGAATAGCACATGCTTATGCACGCACGCATCCACTCTGGTTTCCCATTTTATCAGAACTGTAAACATATGGGAATACTATTGGACTAGCAACTTCAGGAAGCATATACATACATTGGGTTGTAGATCAGGCTTTCTTATCTTTCATAGATTTTATGTGCTATTATGTGGTTGTTTTTGCAGATGCGTGGTGGCCTTTGCTTCAGATCTGATATTTAGTAGTGTCAGTTTGAATCCTCACCGCAAAAAGGGTTTTAAGTCAGCTTCCCTTAGTCTGGACCACTCGTAAGCATCTGTTGATCTGCATCATATCAAATGTATTCTTTTGGTGTGAGGGTCATAGATCCCCCGAATCTAGCAAAATTCATTTTCTCTTGGTTACTTTTTATTCAGAAAAATTTGCATATTGGGCAAACTCCTCCCCCCAGCCCAACTATAAATACACCCATACATACGTGATATGATTTTTCCTGAATTACTTGTGGTCAATGCATATCAAGTTGACAGGGATATGGCTTTCTGACCCTCCAACTACAAGGAAAAACTTAAGAAAAAATTGAGCATACCTTTGTCAATGGGCACGTACCAAGATAATCATAAAACAAAAAGAGTTTCAACATATCTTTATTTTTCCCAATGTAACATGTAAATATCTTTACTGCCTGTAGGCTCACTTGATATATCACATTTATTTACTCTTTCATTTCTCTTTTGCCAGGATGTGGTTCCATCGGCATTTTAGGGCTGATGACTGGTTATTGTTTGTGGTAGGTTTCAGCCGATGTTTGAACTCGTGTGGTTACATTTTGTTTTTTACTTTTATAATGAAAGAACATCACTAATGGAACCAAATGTCATGCAGATTGTGAGTCCTACAGCCTGCGTCACCCGTGGCTTTGTCTCAGGCCAAATGTTCAACAGAAATGGAGAGGTATGCAGTTTACTTTATCATTTCTTGCTTTTCTTTTCCACCAATCATATTTCGTGTAATTGGCCAACCATTCTTATGTCGAACTGCAGCTTGTTGTATCATTAACTCAAGAAGCACTGCTTAGGATGGCTAGGCCTCCGAACCCTCCGGTTGTATCAAAGCTTTGAGCTGCTGTATGTTTAATTTATAAAGCCTTATGATCACGGCTGCAATAACCCTGGAAGAATCCAGGGTGCACCTAGCATAGATTCTTCAGATAATTGCTTTGTAGCAATGCTGGTGGAAAAACCTACTTCAACTACCTACTGCCATTCATTTGTGCGCGTTATTGTGGGAAACTGCATCATTATCCTAATCCACGATAAAGATGGTTCAAATCCCAATAAAATTATATATAGACAAGAAAAGAAGCGAAGAAGAAATTTCAACTCTTTTTAACTTTAACTGCTTCCAGTACTTAATTAGTTTGAAGGATTGGCTGTTTTAAATGGCTGTGTAGGTGTAGTAAAAACGATCCTCTTCCTCTGAAATATTCGGGGGAGAGTAGGTTGGTCGCCGACTTAGTTTTCTCACCCAAAGCGGTTAACAGAAACATTCAGGAGCCCATTGTCCCATTGTTGTTCATCATACCAAACCAGTAAGCTTGCTTCAATGGCGAAACAAAGAATCCTTCTGCTTTCCTTTAGTGACGATTTAAGGTGGCGTTTGGTATGCTGCAATGTAAAGCACATTACCTGCAATGTGGTTTATTAAATTACATTGGTCAGCGTTTTTTTGTAACAGATCAATGCAATGTAAGATTGCAATGCAATCACATTGCAGCCAATGGATGTAATGTGATTGCAGTCCAAAACCAATGCAATCACATTATATTGCACTCTGTAATGTTCTTAAAGATAATTTTACTTTTAATTTTATTACCTTATTAAAAATATTAATAATATTATAATTAAAATAAAATATTAAAATAAATATATAATATAAGAATAAAAATTAAAATAAAATAAAATATAAAAAATTAACATTTATATAATATAGGTAAAACAATTAAAATAAATATAATAAATTATATAATAAATAAAAATAAAATATATGACATTAAAATATATTTAAAATATGAATTATATAAAAATTAATAATATAAATATAAATATATTTAAAAATAAAATATAAAATATTTAATAAAATAAAATAAAATAGATGACATTAAAAATATATTTAAAAAATAATATTATATAAAATTATAATAAAAATATAAATATATTAAAAATAAAATATATAAAATTATAATAATAATAAAAATAAAATATATGATATTAAAATATATTTAAAATATGATATTATATAAAATTAATAATATAATATAAATATATTAAAAATAAAATATAAAATATTATAATAAAAAATAAAAATAAAATATATGATATTAAAAATATATTAAGAAATGATATTATATAAAAATTAATAATAAAATATAAATATATTAAAAATAAAATATAAAATATTAAAATAATAAATAAAAATAAAATATATGATATTAAAATATATTTAGAAATGATATTATATAAAAATTAATAATAAAAATATAATATATTAAAATAAATATAAAATATTATAATTAAATAAAAATAAATATATGATATTAAAAATATTTAAGAAATGCTATTATATAAAAATTAATAATAAAAAATATAATATATATAAACTTATATTTTAATAATTAAGGGTAATTTTGACAATTAACATTACATCCCACTAAGTACTTGTAAACCAAACACTGCAATGTTATCTTCTTGTATTTTAATCATTGTTTTGCTTACATACCAAACACTGTAATGTTATTTTTCTGTAATCACATTGCTTGCAATCACATTACTTGTAATCACATTACTTAGAATCACATTGCATTGAAATGTACCAAATGCTACCTAAATGTTAAGAATCTCGATCCTCTCTCTTCATCTCGCTTTTCGTGGTTAGAGTGGGGTCACATCTTGCTTTTCTTTTTTCGGACTAGTACAAATTCACCAGGACCTCAATCTGGGCTGATTCTTAGGCCCAAAGGAAACTGGGGTTGTCGTCGCCCCTGTCGCAATACAATAGGCCCATAATCGTCCCTTTCTCAATAATCACGTTACATAAACTTCAACCCTCCAAATATCTTTAATTAGGAAATTCGTTCCCCCGCTTTTTCACCTCTGCAATCCCCGTTCGTCGATTTCCCTCATCCCCGATTATTCAAGCAACTAGCAGCTAATCACAGGTCGGCATTTTCTCTCTGTTTTCCCCCTTATTTTTCTAGGATTTTGCGTATGTATATGTGCATACCTGTTTGATCCTTGCCTCAATCTTGTCGTCTGTTTTGCGATGTTGATTTTTCCTGTTCGAATCTTTAATTGCAGCGTTTTCTTTCCCTCTTTCGGACCTTTGTTTTCATTTAGGTTAGGCCTGTTCTTTTGGATAATTAGCTTAGCGTATTTCGTAATTTTCTATTTATTTTAGTGATTGATCTCGTTCGTTTGACGTGTATAATTTTTCGTCAAAAATTAAGTTTGGGAAAGAAATTATTCGGTCTTTTTTTTTTTCTTGGGTCAATATGTAGCTCAACCTAGTTTCTAATGTCCCTTACAAGATCAATGCTAGCTTGAATTTTTTGATATTTTTCCCAAATTTAAACCCAAAAGCATGTTGAATGTAATGATATTTCCAATGTTTATTTATTAGATTGAGGACTTTATTTGATTGTGGGATTACAATGGATAGCGCGGAAGGTGGATCAGATGGTAACAGTCAAACGGAACAAACTCAAGAGCCACTGATAGGTGGGCTTCCTGATGATATCGCACTTTCCTGCTTGGCCAGAGTCCCTAGAGATTATCATACTGTCCTCAAGTGTGTTTCAAGGAGATGGAGGGGCTTAGTGCACAGCGAAGAGTGGCATGTTTATCGTAGAAAGCACAATTTAGATGAAACTTGGATCTATGCTTTGTGTCGAGACAAGTTTGAGAGGGTTTGTTGTTATGTATTGGATCCCAATTCTTCACGAAGGTCTTGGAAGCAGATGCGGGGGCTTCCATCTCGCAGCTTACGGAGAAAGGGAATAGGGTTTGAAGTGTTGGGGAAGAAACTTTACTTGATGGGTGGCTGCAGATGGTCTGAAGATGCTACTGATGAGGCCTACTGCTATGATGCTTCTATCTACGCTTGGACTGAAGCTAATCCCTTATCAACTGCAAGGTAATAAACTTTCTTCTGTTCTTCTCCTAGAAATTACTCCTAAAGGTTGAACCGGTAAATGAAGCACTTCAACTCCGTTTCCCTTATCTTCAGTGTGCAAATAAATGAATTAACAAATTGTTATTTATACTTACCTAATTTTGTATGCTCTACTTATTGCATGGAATTGCTACATGATATCGAGGCCTGGGTAGTTTCTTCATTTTTGAGATAATTTTAAAGTGATCTGGGAATTTTTATTTGCTCAGGTGCTACTTTGCTTGTGAAGTCCTCAATCAGAAAATCTATGCAATTGGTGGATTAGGTTTAAACTCAAATGTTCCACATTCTTGGGACACTTATGATCCTGGCACAAACAATTGGAAATCTTATTCAGATCCAAACATTGTTCCTGAAATTGAAGATTCCTTTGTGTTGGATGGGAGGATCTATATTCGCTGTGGCAGATCTGCCGTAACTTCTCATGTTTATGCAGTAGTTTATGAACCATCGAGTGGCACTTGGCAGCATGCAGATGCTGACATGGCATCAGGCTGGCAAGGTCCTGCTGTTGTTTTAGATGGGACTCTTTATGTGCTGGATGAGAGTTCTGGAACAAGGTTAATAATGTGGAAGAAGGATATTAGGGAGTGGGTGCCCCTAGGTAGGCTTTCGCCCCTACTTACAAGACCACCCTGCAAGCTTGTTGCTGTTGGAAAGAGCATTTATGTGATAGGGAAGGGGCGTAGCACGGTAGTTGTTGATGTTAACAATGCAGGAAATATGGGAGGGATGATGGTGAGTTCTTCCATACCTAAACTGACTTCAAATGATGAGATATTAAATTGTAAATGTTTGTCCATTTAAATCCTTTGGTTCTTGGAAAACCTGGACTTGGATTTGTTGTCTATTGTTGTGCAATATTCTTTGGTTCTGACCTCAGAAAGGAAAATCATTACTTTTGTAAGTTATACAGGCTATCATTCTATATAACACTACAGCTGAATCAAACATGTATCATTTTGTGGATTGACATCATTTTTGGCAACTGCTAGTTGTAATTGTTTGTCAAAAAAATCAGGGCAGCATGGTTACTGTCCCGCAGGATACCGACTTCAATTCATTCGAGCAAGATTAGTACTAATTGTTTGTCAAGAAAAAAAATAGATTCCATCCAAAGAAACACCAAAGGATACAAACTTTAAGCAAAAGTCAATGCTAACAATAATTACATTCAGACAGCTCTGCATTTCTGGAACACACATGAAATCTTGGTAGAATTGAGCAGCACAAGAAACACTAGTACAAAAAAATTAGCATATCAATACAGCAATGATGCCCCTTTGTAATATATTATCAACTGAGGCACTGAAAGCAATGGTTTCAAGTAATTACACCTATGTGGGAAAAAACCTCCCAAATCCAATAACCCTTTTTCTTCCAAAATCTGGATGCAATGGATCCACCAGTTCCACACTTGTCAATTATGGAAAAACCAACCTTCATTGATCAACTGATTTTTCTCTTTTTAAATGCTGGATGTATAATGCCATTGCAAGAGTCAACCTTCTCAATCCTGGCTATACACTCTTTCATCCTCTTCAAAACAACTGGCATAGCTGAAATACTACTTGATGTTTTTTCCCTAAGTAACCGAATCTTCTCTTCCGTCCTTTGCTCTTTATCTAATGCAATCGCTTCTGAATCTATGCAAACAAAAAATCTTGGTCAATATCTTGATTAAATAAGTCAGCAAATGAAATGGCATTCAAGAAAGATTTATCAAACCCCAATTTTACAAACCCTAAGAAGTCTACGGACCTGCATTATGTTCTCCGGATGGTCCAGGCTCGGACCCGTCATCGATGCCGGGCCAATTGGGTCTTTGAATAGAGAGAATTGAATCGAGAGTGGTTTTGAGCTGATCTGGAATAGTGGCTCTGTATTCTAGAATCTTCTCCGCCATTTTCTTCACATCCGATTCCAGCTCCTCCAAGTCCTCTTCGTATTCCGGCTCCGATTCGGCTCGTCGATTGTCAATGCGGGCCTCTAGGGTATTGGTTTTGTTGTTTAGGGCCATGGATTAAAAGGAGAAGACTTGAATTTGCTTGCTGAGAGAATTTTTTTTCCCTATTGGGGGGACTTTAGGGTTTTGAAATTTGAAAAATTTCGAGCGTAAATCTTGTCTGAGATTTTCTTTGGGTTTTTGCCTGTTACTAGTTTTTGATTTTGAAACACTCTGAAATGAGCCCGTTTGCACTCAGTTGAAAGCGACGTCGTATCAGGCCTGGCCCGTTAAACGAAAAATTAACGGCGTCGTTTTAAAAGGTCGACAATGAATCGATGATCATATCTCCTCGTTCGAATCCCCCGCCAGAATAAAAACCAGTTGACAGAACTTTCTACTGGCTGTTTGATTAGCCAGTAAACGGATGGAAAATTGCCTGAAGCCAAAATCAAGGAAGGAGAAAAAAGAAATTAAAGTAAATTATTTTTCCGCTGAACCAAACAGAAAAATTCATCTTAATTCTTCTTCCAATCCCAGCGTTGAAACCACTGAAGTCCAGCTCAATTTCCTGGCGAAAGTAACGAGGCAGTTAATCTGCTTAGTCAAAGTCTAAGAATGGAGACAAAACAACAAAGGAAGATAACTTTGAGCGGCTCCGAAGAATACGATGAACAATCACTTGGTACTTTCCTACAATGTTAACTGTCACTGCTTCGATTTTAAGCCTTTCTTATTGAAGCTATTATTTCTTTTACTCTTTCAATCCTTTTAAGTTTCAACAACTCCGCGTTATCGGTTCTGCAATCCCAATGGAAGATGTCAGACCACCCTCAATGGTAAATCCAATCTCTTCATAAAGATCATAACTCAAGCTGAACAACTCTTTTTTTTATATACTGTTTATGAAGTTAGTAGGATTCTGTTTTGGAACAGAGCATGCTACCTTCGAAAGTTGATTCAGGGGGTACATATAGGCTGCTTGAATATTCAAGTAAAGGCGATAAAGCCTGTGTCATACAAGAATTGGAGAAAGGAGTGGATCTTAATGTGGCTGACTACGATAGGAGGACTGCCCTTCATTTAGCAGCTTGTGAAGGTTGGACTGAAGTTGTTGTTCTGCTTCTTGACAGAGGAGCTGATGTCAACTCTTTAGATCGTTGGGGTCGAACTGTAAGTTTAATTCATGTTCTTTTCTCCTCATCAGGATTTTTTTTGTTTTTGGTTAGATTGATCAGAATGGATTTGATGTGGGTAATTTTGCAGCCATTGTCCGATGCTCGTAGCTGTGGTCATGATGAGATTTGCAAGATACTAGAAGCTAAAGGGGGAATCGATCCGGTATTTTACCTTATTGATGCATCTGTGCCTTGTTTTTCCGATGATTTCTGTTTAAGATTGTGTTTTTGTTCCCACAATGCCAATTTCTGCATAACAAAATGTGCTGCCTTTTCTTTGTCGATAAATTATGCATGAGAACAAGACCACCTTACCATTTTGTTCTAGGGAATCTTGTAAAGCTCACTTCCAACATTATCTGACTCATCCACTGATCTGTATGGTTCTAAAAGCAAAAGCAGGCAAGCAGCAAATGAACTCATTCACATACATGACGTCTCCTTATTAAAATTTCAGACTTGTGCTTAGTGTTCAAATATCATATTGCCAATGCAAACATAAGGTCTAGAGTAGTCCGTGTGTGTGTGGGTGGGTTGAGGGGCTGGGGGCTGGGGCTCTACATATGATTTTGCATCTCATTTGATATCCTATCATATTCCTTGAGATAGGTGGGCGATGACTCTCAAGCTCCGTGCTTTGAAATTGATCACATGGAGGTGAACATGGATGAAGCAACCCTTATTGGAGAGGCAAGTTTCTCCCCTTTTTTAATTTTCTTGAGAATTCTGATATGATTTCCCACCTTGCTTTTTCCTGTTTTAGCCATTGCCTTAAATCTTTGATGCTTCCCCCTTTAGGTAATATTTGCCTCATTTTTTTATCTATTTTTACGTTATTGGTGGTATTTCACCCATACTTAAAGTTATTGAGTATAGCAGGGAGCATATGGTGAAGTTTATCTGGTAAAGTGGCGGGGCACTGAAGTTGCTGCCAAGACAATTCGTTCCTCCATTGCGTCAAATCCTAGAGTGAAGTAAGTTTCATATGCTATGATTTATAACAAGCTTTGTTCTCTCTCTATCTGTAAGCCCTCCTTAAAGTGCTTTTTAGTCAGACTTTAATCTGGTTGTCACTACAAGTTTGAAAGGATCTGGCTTTGTGACAAAGGTTGCAGATCAGTAAAACTTAACAATAATAGTGACTTTGCCACTTTGTTGTTGACTATTCAACAGAAATACCTTCTTAAAGGAACTGGCTTTGTGGCAAAGGTTGCGCCACCCTAATATAGTGCAGTTTCTTGGCGTTCTAAAGCACTCTGATCGCTTGATCTTCCTCACTGAGTACCTTCGGAATGTGAGTCTTGTCCGAGTACATTATGATCAACTCTTGTACGATTTTCTTGTGCTTATTGTCGTTTAAATTGTGATGAGCTAGGGAAGTTTGTATGATATATTGAAAAAGAAGGGAAGACTTGATCCAACAACAACCCTTGCTTATGCTCTAGATATTGCAAGGTACATATTCCTGCCACTTTTCTGTTTATCAGTGTTAGTAGAAAAAAATCAGTTCGGCAAGAGTTGACATGAATTTTCAGGAAAGGACAAGAATTTGGATTGTGAAAAGTAATAATAAAACCATTGATAAACTTCTACTTCAAAAAAGCTTGTTATGTAATTCCGCATTTGCTGCTCTGGTTTTGGATTATGTTTACTTATAGTGTTGGGGCATTGTTATTGAATCCAACAACCAGCTGATATCTGCCAAACCTTGCAGAGGGATGAATTATCTACACCAGCATAGACCACATGCTATAATACACCGAGATTTGACACCAAGGTATTGCAAATTTGATCTTTCAGCTGATGCCCAAGTCAAATGTTTGCTACTCGACATTTTGTGAACCAACTTGGAGGACATGCTTGGCTAGATAAGCAGCCATTGAAAGGGAAAAATTCTGACGCCTTCATTCTGTTGGATCCGTAGGAATGTCTTACAAGATGAAGCTGGCCGCCTTAAGGTTACTGATTTTGGTTTGAGCAAAATTGCCCAGGAAAAGGATTCATATGGTTACAAAATGACCGGGGGAACTGGTTCATGTAAAAATCCCTTCCTTCTGACAATTAAATATTTGTAAGTAATGAGTGTTTACTCAGATGCTCTTATGATATTTGCCAGATCGTTATATGGCACCTGAGGTTTACCGCCGAGAATCCTATGGGAAGAGCATTGATGTCTTCTCCTTTGCTTTAATCGTGCACGAGGTAACTTAAGTTGGAAATATGGATTGTTTATATTTGAATTTTTGTTCATATTTTTTTGGTGCAATATGGGATACTAGGCTGATGTTCTGTATAGATCAATTAAACTTCATGGAAAAAGTTCTACCAAATGCTTTATCTTTTAAAATTTCTTACTGATAGTTTTCATGGCAGATCAAGCACGGCTGTTTGAATATCATGTGGTTGTTGCTTTTTAAATTTCCTTACAGATGTTCCAAGGAGCACCATCAAACAGGGTGGAAAATGCTGAACAAATTGCAGACAGAAGGGCATATGAAGATTCAAGGCCACCTCTCTCTTCATTCATATACCCTGAAGAAATGAAGACGTGAGTTCTCTTGGTTTGCTTTCCTGATTTGCCACTTGGGCTTGTTAATAACAATCAAAATTGAAATGTTATTCAATATGATCAAGTGTACTTGAGAATCTAAGAAAAACTTTCAGCAAACATTTCCGTAGATCAACCGCCTACTTGGGGTAGTGCAGATACAACATAAGGCATCCTTGAGTTGGTTAACATGGTTAAAAACTAGCAATTGATGTAAACTGGCATGTGATAATTTGGTGCCATAAGAACATGTAGGAATTGTAGAATTGTGTTTGAAAGTTGATGCATGTGCTAATATAAGGCTATCCTTGAGAATACCTTCCCCCTATCGCTTCTGCCATATAATTTGTATCAGCAACTCTCAAATGTAGATCTTGATGATTTACTCAGAATTAACTGCATTACATTGTTTTTGTCATTTTCTTTCCTTTAAATTATTTGTTCTGCATCATGTATCTAAAACTAATGGTTTTGTTGTCTTCATTCAGTCTTCTCAAAGCATGCTGGCACAAAAATCCAGACTGTCGACCGACATTCGAAGAGATAATAGTGCAGCTAGAGGTAATCCTGGATAGTTTTACAAGTGAGAAAGCAACGAAATCCCGCTGTAGGTGTATTGTGTTATGAAACTATCTCATCACAAGCAGGAGTATCTTATCCCTTTTTCACTATAATCATTGTACGTTTCTCCTTTTCACTACTTGTGTCCCTTCATAAGAATCTGTATCAATTTCTTGACCCCAAATAACAATGTAGACAAGAATGTTAATCATCCCTTTGATGTTGTGTACAAAAAAAAACAACCTTATGGGGAACTAAACTATATACACAGGTTATGCAACCCATGCTCTCTCTCTCTCTCTCTCTCTAAGTTTTGCTTTCATCTCTTTGATGAATAATCTGCCTTAGTTTATGCAGGACCTGGAAACTTGAATCTGTAATCAGTTTCCTTGAGATATGAATGTATCAAATTCTAAATCTGAAGAACTAAACAACTTCCTCAGTTTTGTGCAATTGTGCTAGCCAGCAGCTTGTCTCTTTTTCTGATCAATAAGCTTGCAAAAGGATTTGAAACCACATTTTACCAAAGGAAAATATGTGGAACTGACATTCTTAGTTATCTTATTGCTAATATTCTCATAAATATGGATTCATACATGTGCCTAATCTAATTTGATGCATTGCTCCAAAACTTTTAAGGCTTCCTTCAATGTTTTATCCCTCCACATTTTTTTTTTATTAATAAAGAATATAATTAGAGTGAACCAAATCTACATTTAAAAAAAAATAATTTGAAATCGATCATTGTATATCTGTATTTATATATAAATCAATTGACAGAATTTTTTACATTAGAATTTTGAATTACAAAATTAGTATAATCTTTTCATACTAGATTTAATAATAAAAACATGATTTCATAAATAGGAAAGTTATATATTCTAATTTCCTTCGTTTGTATTAAATATGTTGCATAAATATTTTTTTATTTGTTTAGTGGACATTATATTTTTAGAAAAATATTACAATAGATATATATATTTGAATATTTAATAATTTATAAATAATTCTTAAATTCCCGTTCAACATCTAGGCAAATATCAAATTGAGCAAATTTAATAACATTAAATGGCTAAATTTTGTAACATTAACTTAGTTTCTACCTTAGAAGAAAGAAAAATAGCACTGACAACTTGTCTGGGTGGTGTAGTTGGTTATCACGCTAGTCTCACACACTAGAGGTCCCCGGTTCGAACCCGGGCTCAGACATTTTTAATTTTTCATAAAGCCTCTTTTTTTACTGAATAAAATTAACAATTTTTTTTGTTAAAATATTTGAGAAGTCTATGTAGGTCACTTTGTTTGCTTTAGTTTTTTTACTCAAAATCACAATAATTTACTCTTTTAATTTTAAAAATTACTTCAATTTAATCTTTTTTCTTAACAATATTCAATTTTATCGTTAAAAAAGATAACATCAGTACTAACGTGAAGCTGACGTAGCACATTTTCAATGATATGGTATCAACATACTGACGCGGCATGCCATGTGACATTGACGTGATGAAGTGATAATGTCACGTGATACTAAAATGATGACGTGATAATACTGATGTATTGGTGTCACGTGATAAATAAAATTTTTTTTTAAAAAATGTATATCACGTCATATGGATTAAATTGAATAAAAATTTAAAATACATTAATTAAATTAAATAAAATTGAGATATTGAAGGATTAAATTTAAAAAATATTTGAAAAGTACAAATATTTAAGTAGATGAAAGACATATTTCTTAATAAGCAAAATATTTAAGAATAAAATATTTATGTTGTTAAAAGATATATAAATATTTTTTACTTGATTATTTGATTTTAGAATATATATATTAATTTATATTTTTTGTAAAAATTAAGTTTAAATTCTCCTTCTATAAAAGAATTTCTAAAAAATTTTTTAAAAATTTTATACTTAAAGTCAAATTAAAATGAATAACTTGTATTATGTTAGAATAAAATCATATAAAAAGACTAAATAAATTCTTTTTTTCTTCTATTTATAATACTATAAAAATTTAAAATTTATTTAACTTAATTTTTAATTTGAACTAAATTTCAATTAACAAAATAGGTTTATTTAGTTACAACATTCACAATTTACAAATACCCATACTTTTAAAATTATTCAACTCTAACTTAATTTACTTTTCATTTAAATTTACTCAAAGTTTCTTATAAAACGATTTTATTTAAGTTTAAATACCACAATTAAATTCTACTAAATTTAAATTTAAATTATTAATTTAGATCTATAAAAAATTTACAAATACAAAGTAAAATGATACAAATATTTATTATTATATTTAACTATATCATCCATAAATATAGTATTCAATGCAAAAAATTTCAATGTAAAAAATATAACTTGAAAT